GACAGATTACTTAAATGCTCTAAGCCTTGATTTTCTCATCTGTAAAATGGCAGTAATGATAATAACATCTCATAGGGTTGTCAGAATTAAATGAGATGACACATGTAAAACAGTTAACAGAGTGTCTGGCATGCAGTGAGCACTCAATAAATGGTACCATGTTTGCTGCTGTCCCCCTTATGGCTTTTGAAATCATTTACTTTATATTCCATTATAATTGCCACTTCAGGCAAGCTATTGCATTTTAAAATCATTTAAAAATTTTAAAATCATCAAAAACTTCTTCCTTTTTTTGAGCCTAAGCCAGCCATCAGTAGGTGATAAAAAGAATATGAGAGAGAGTTTGGAAATAGTTGACCAGTTTGAAAATTATTGCAAGAGTCCAGGGATAATAAGACCCTAAGCTGGTCCCTTAAGTGGCCCTTAGGAATAGAGAAGAGACCCGTGCAGGAGGAATCATACAGGGAAACAACTGGGTTTGAACCCTGATGGGTGCGAGGGGAGAGGGAGCTGAAGCAACGGGAAGAGGAGGAGATTCAGAAAAGAAGATGAGTAGATTTCAAGGTCGTTGTGAAATTCATGGAGGATTGAGTTATTAGATGTAACCCTAAGGTTTTATTATCCTAACAGTTCAGACAGCAGGTTACAAAGAGATCTGGGCATTATAAGTGGTAAGAAAGTAGGAGAAAGTAGATTACTTTTAAGAAATTTTGTGTCAAAAGATACCAGAAGGGGTAAGAAGCGAGTACTGATTTCATTTTTGTTTGATAGATTGGAAAACATCTAAACTACTTTTAGACTCAGAGAAAAGTCCTTGAAGAATGGAGAGAAAGAGTGAAGAGAGGATGGAACCAGGAAATGGAATAAAATTACCAAGAAGCTTACTTTTTAGAAGAAGGGAGAACCCTGGAATCAGAGCGGGGCAAGGAGAGAGTGAAGGGGGAGGAGGAAGGGAGCAAAGCAGGATTTATATGAACGGTCACAGTCTCAGGAAGGCAAGAAGCAAGAACATTGACTACAGGGGCATCAGGAAGTGTCCTTTGAAGTGAAGACAGCAAAAAACGTATGGAGTAGGTGATTTAGGAAATACAATAATAGTTGATTACATAGAAATGAAAGCATTGCTGAAAAAGGATAGAAAACCCAAAAGATGGCCCACCACGTGCATCAAGCCAGACTAGCTTCTGAAAGGATGAAACTAATTTCTGCATTCTCCAGTTTCTTTGCTGGGTATAATGTGCTGCCAGTTACGTCACAAATTTTGTTTGTGGGATTTCTGCCTCTGTATTTTAGTGGAATAGAATGTCTGATATGTAGCTAGAATGAATTTTTAGAAACAGAAAGCATCTCAAAGATTGTCTAGTCCAACCCTTCTTCTTTTTTAACGGAGAAAGTTGATGCATAAGTGGGCAAAGAGACTCTCAGGCCTGAGGTCATGCTGCTAGTTTGCAGCTGACAGATACCCAAGCCGAGCCACTACCTGCCTTCTCCACTACATTTTGAGGAGCTGTGGACTTTTTAAAGCTGTAATTACACTTATTGTCAGTATGGAGACTATTCGGGAGATCCAAGCACAGAATAATGTCAGTTGAACACTACCCTCCACAGTTTCTTACCACTTAACTAGGAGATGAGATGTTCTTGTTCTTAAAATCCAAATTGCTAGAAGCAGGCTTTCCAGAGGTTTGGTTTGAAGACAGTCACAGGCTGTATCTTCAATGGACTTGCTGCCTCTCCATGCACTTGTGCCAAAATTTAATCATCCACAGAAAGAGGTGCAATCAATGTTTGGTCCTGGGTGTCTTCAGACAATAATGTGAGGTCTGTGACTGTATGTGATTGCAAATACACACACACACACAAAAAAGCCTTAAATAATGCTAAGAGGAATTCTAGTCCCTTTCACTCTTCATTCATTCTGGGTCGTTTTACCTGTCTTTTTCCATCTCCTTTTGCCAGGCACCACAGTCTGATGCAACACAAAAGGCTTAGCTTAGGAGTCAGAACCAGCCATTTGCCCAGGTCTGCCGCTGGTTGTCAGACATCAGACACTCCTCGGCCCCTTGTTTCCTTCTTTTCTAATTCTTGCTCTGCTCATTTCAAAGTTTATTGTATAGATAAACTGAAATAAATTAAGAAGAACTTAAGCCCTCTGCAAATGTTCAGTGCAAACATTTATCGTATTTTCCTGCAGCTTGCATTGATACTATAGGAATGGTGAATTTTGGTAAGTGAAGCTTTACACGGGGACACATTGCAAAATATAAGGGTAGACCTAGTGGCTTAAACAGTATTTTTTGGTGATCGAATCATTGGCTGTTTAAAGCAATTAAATTCTAATTTTAGAATGACCCCATGAGCCCCTAAGAATCCATTCTATTCATTCCACAAATATTTATGAAGCACTTGCTGTGTGCGCGGTTGTGCAGCTCTCTGTTTGTTATCATAAGGCCTATATTTTGCTTGAAAATCAAGGAAAATTTCACTGCTTTATAGCTAAGTAGTCTTGTTTGCTATCTCTTAAAACTTAGAGCTTGCCTACATTATACAATTAGCAATTCAGCCAAGATCGACAAGGGTGAACCTCACTGGAGCAGAGAAAAAGGGTTAGCTGCCTGTACACTTATTTTTCCTGACAAACTTGGTACAAGAGAGGGCATTTCAAACGCTTTGTGATCAAAATAGAAAATTTTACAGGCTGGATTTGTTTTTTACATGTAGATAAGTTTTTAGAACAGACCATTTCTGTCCCATTTTATTCCTGGGAAGACGATCTAAAATCAAGCTTATTGGGAATCCCAGAACCTGGCCTTTAGTAGGTCTGTTAGCAAGGGGCCCCCGGATCATGCGAGCAATTCAGGAATGTATCCAAATCTATCCAAACTAGAGACACATGGTTGTGGTAGCCCATCTGGTCTGATTTTAGCTTCTCCGTGTTTCTTTAAGGTCCTGTAAAGCCAGGGCAGGGAAAAAACAACAAAAATTCCATGCAGCGTACTTGTCAAGAAATGTGTCTCATAAATCACTGTTGCTGTTTCGAGTCCCAGGACACAGAGGATTCCTGTCCTGTAACATTTGTTCCCAGCAGCCGTAAGGGCTTTGGCTGGAACAGCCTCCGCACCCATTCTGTCTTTTGCTGCTTTGGAATGGGGGATCGGGACCCCGAGAGCAGCTTTTACCAGAAAGAAGCAAGCTAATGAATGATTTCAAGCATTTCAGTAGTTTGTGACTAGGGAGAAAGTGGGCTGAGTATACAAATATAGCCCCTCTCTTCGTACTTATTATACCGTAAACCCTTTGCTGCCTTCATGGGTGTGCAGGTCCATGGGGTCCCCCATCTAGAAGGGCCTGTGCTTGGTTTAATGATCTACTGTCACTGTCTTGAAATTCTTAGCCATTTTTGAGCAAGAGGCCCCATGTTTTCGTTTTGCAATGAGCTCCGCAGATAGTGCGGCCAGTCCTGGCCTTGGTTCCCAGATATTCTGGGTCATTGCTTCTGCATCATCAAGAGCTTGTGTCTGACACTTAGAGGCTGCCCAGTAAACATTTGTAACATGAGTAAATGAGTGACTTTTTAACACTTTAAGTAAAAGAATTGTCCCAAATCTTAGTCCATTTAATTTTGCTGGGGTGGGGAGTGGGAGAGAGGTACTAAATTTTTGAGAGAAAATTTAAAATATAAGAACCTAAAATATTATAACAAACACCTATGTTTCCATCATGATATATGATGGCTGTTTTTTTTTTTAATTCTGTTTGCTGAAAATGTTAAAGAATAAAAAGCAGATAAAGTTTACCTGTTGGCCCCACCTCCAATCCCATTTATCACCGTCCCTGCTCGTTGGGAGCCCAGCACTATCACGCAGGTTGTATCCTTCCAGCCTGTTGTCTCTTTATAATGCCAGGAAGAATATGTGGTAACATAGTTGGTGTGTTTTAATATTTATGTAAATGATACAAAACTACATACATCATTCTGCAATTTGCTATTTTCTTTCAATGTTTGTTTATAAAATCTGTCCATACTGATACATGAAGCTTTAGTTTATTCGTTCTTGTTACTGTGCACAGTAGAAACCACATGCGCCTTCCTGACCTGTGGCCCCACTCAGTGAGGCTGTTTGGAGCAGAGCCAGAGGAGTCTGGCTTTGTGTTATGGTTCTGCTTCTGCCACTGGTAAATGTCGCTAGCTGGGTCATTGGGCAAGTTAAGTGATCTTTCTGAAACTCAGTTTTCACATTTGTAAAATGGGATTAACAATTTCTACCACTTAGATGTTCTGTGTCAACTAGACGAGATAACACATGTAAAACTTAGCCTGTGATAAGGGTGCAAAAAAATAGTGGTGGGGATTATCATTGCTTTGCCATATATTATCTGAATATTGTGAAGCCCTAAGCAAATATGTAACAGCAATCTTGAATTTGCGTTGTTCAATTTTTCCCTTTGTACCCTTAGCTTGGCTATTGGTCTTGATTCTTTTTTTACAAAGATAAGAAAATCTCACCCGTGAAATGCAGTCCTGGATGCATCTTAGAGCCTCAGGTTCCTCTTTTACAAGATTGAGTGACGTTACCTCTAGCGCACCTTCCGTGGGGCGAGAGGCTTAAGCCCATACAATTATGAAACTATGATATTAAGTATTTATAAAATGATGCCTATGTTCTGCACTGTGCATAACTGGAAAAAAATGAACATCTAGTGTTTTCCAACTTTCACTTTGCAAACTAACAAATAATGGCACTGAGAGCTCTGGGGTTCCGTCAGATCATAACTACGCTGCTACACGGTCCCCTGACTTGCAATTAGAAATTAAAAACTTAAGCACACTTTGAGCTATTTTCTTCATGTTCTCTGCAAACTTCGGAAAATTTTAAACAGAAGCTTATATTAAATATAATCTTCAGAGTAGATGGGAGTCCATAATGTATTAAGGAACTTGAAATAACATTTTGAATTTCCTTCTGATTTTAAAGCATTATATTTTGGCTGTTCAACAGATTTTATACAATTCGCTACAGAGAAAAGGATAAGGAAAAGAAATGGATTTTTCAACTCTGTCCAGCCACAGAAACAATTGTGGAAAATCTAAAGCCCGACACGGTTTATGAATTCGGAGTGAAAGACAACGTAGAAGGTGGAATTTGGAGTAAGATTTTCAATCACAAGACTATTGTTGGAAGTAAGTACCTGGAACGGTTTGTCTCAGCAAGCTTTCTGTAATGTTTTTTCTTTTTTCCCTAATTAACAAATTCTCAATTATCTTCTTAGTTGTGTGATGTGAGATGATTTCGTTCCCATCCTCTAGCATTTGAGAGAATTCAAAACTGAAGTTATTGACTATTGATATTACAGAATCTTTTTTATAATGAATGCTTTTTTAAAAAAATGTGATAAACTAATATTTGATGCCTCCATTGATAACAATTCATTGGCTATTGTGGTATTTTAATCAGTCCTGACCTATGAACATCAAGTAAGCAAAGTACCCAATAGTGCGTGTGAACGTTCAGAGGGGAGAGCTGGACCCGTAGACGCGAGCCCGCACAGTCTTCAGGGCCCCCGGCTTTCTTCCTGCCCTCCCTTCATTCAGGTTTCACTGAAATTAACATTTGAAATGACAGTAAATAAAGTAATAGCCAACTTAGAGAGCGTAGGAGGTATAGTTGTCTTCATAATTATTAGTTAGAATTGACTTAGGAACAAGAAGAACAAAAATAATGTCATTTTCCTTTGTTTTTGTCAGGTAAAAAAGTAAATGGGAAAATCCAAAGTACCTATGACCAAGCCCACTCAGTGGTACGTACCAGGCTATTTTCAAGCATGTTTTCTAAAAATTGTGTCTACATTGTATTTTTCTTTTAATAAGGAAATAGTCCTATTATAAGATACTAACACTGAATTAACCGACTAGCTATGGGATGTTGTGTAAAGTAGCTAAGGTTTTAAGAATTAGTTTCTTTTTCAGAAAATGGAGCTGAAAGTATGAGATAGGTCATCTCTCATTTGTTTAAAGCTCTAAGATTCCACATAGTTACTCTAGTATTTCAATATTCCAAGTATTTTGAGATTATGCTTGTTACCCTGTCCTCTGGGATGGTTTTCACTGTATCGTCACAAGGTCGAATTAGTACCTGTTCTTCTTGACATTGCTATTGTTCAAATCTTTCCTCTATTTTCTATCACTTCCTACTTAAAAGAGTCAGTTCTTTCCAAAATGGAAAGTTTTGGTTTTTAACATGCCCAGCTTCTTTCAGTTCAGGATATGTTTGTATATTTTGTGTGTCAGGCATTTTCCCCCGTTTACACAGCCTTTTCTCTCTCACTTCGGAAACTCAGTCCCTTGTTGTCCTCTTTCCCTCCGCTTTTCAAAATTGTTCTCAGGCAGCATCGTCTCAGTTATGTACCACCTACTGTAAGTGTCAGCCACTGCCTCACCATCACAGAGTTGTGTGCATTTTAAATCACATGCCAGTTATAAAGTGAGGGGCTTTATGTCCCTGAGCAGGTGGTGGAGGTGCTTTGGTGAGAAGAGGGGCATTTGGTGCTGGCTTTGCTCCCTCAGTGTTGGACGAATCCAGCCAGGGAACTTTCCTCCAGTCAGGTGAACACACAAAGGCTCGGTTCGTGGTTGCAAATTTGCTCTATTCAGTGTGTGCCTGATGTAGTGGATGGATATGTCTAATTCATGTCTAATAGTCCACATAATAGCCCAGTGACCAGGCAGCGCAGTCTGGAGAGAGAGAAAAAGTACTACAGACCTCCCTAGAATAAAAAAAATGTAGGATTCTTTTCAGTGACAGAAAATGGGTTTGGATAAAATAGAACTGACTGAGTATCAATCCTGATAAGGTGAATGTTTCTGTGGTTTGAAGTGGCAGAAAAGTGTGTGTGTGGGAAAATTATTATCAAGTCAAATGAATTATCAAATGCTCAGGAAAGTGTTTTGATGTATTTCAAATCATAATATAAGAAAGGAGGTTGCAGGTAAATTCCCAGACCTAGATTTTTTCTTTCTTTCTTTCTCTTTCTTGCTTTCTCTTTCTCTTTCTTTTTTAGGTTTTGATTTTTCCCTAAATATCTGATATTTAGAGATTTAAAATGTATGAAAATGGGAAAAGAAATTTTAACAAAATTACCTATAACATCAACAAATAAAGATCAGTATAAAATCATTTATCCTCTACTGATAAAATTTCAGATTTTATTTTTCTGTTTGCTAAGCATGTTTTCATTATAAAACTAAAATTATGCTATATATGCAATTTTATGTCTTACTGTTTTCACTTAGCCAAAATAGGGCATAAGCATATTTCATGTCATTAAATGCTCCTCATAAACATAATCTTAATTGCTGTAAATTACGTAATCTAAATACTCTATCATCTACTCAGTCAGTTCCCAATTTGTAGGCATTTAAGTTATTTCTAATTGTTTTTTAATCACCAGTGATGTTATGGTAAACATTTATGATCATAATCTTTATTGACATTTCTAATTGTTTCCTTACAATAGATACTTAGCATAGAAATTAACAGTTTAGATTTTTAAGATTTTTAAAACTTCTTAATATGTATGGATCAACGTTCTTTCCAGAAAAGTTGTACCAGTTTACAATCTTGCCCACAATATATCAGAGTTATCTTGCTATAGTCCCCTGATTACCAACATTAGGCATTTCAATGATGAAATTTTTGATTAATGAAATAGTTTAAGGGGTTTATTTTAATTTCTATTTCTCCAATTGCTGATAAAGTAGTACTTCCTTCTCTTGTTTATTAGCCATTTGTATTTTCCATCTAATGACCTTTAGCTTCAGTTTTTTGTTTTTCGGGCGTCTTGTGGTTTTTTTTAGTGAATAGTTTAAAGACTTTATAGATTAAAGAACATTGGCCTTTTGTCTGTGATATCATCTAGAAATATTCTCACATTTGTTATTAATTAATTTTATTTATGGGAACTTTTGAAATAGGCAAGTCTTGAAATTTGCTTAACCAGATTATTCGTCTTTTCCATTGTCATAGCTTCAATTGCATTATATTTTAGGAAGCCCTACCCTATCCAGAGGGCAGCTACATATTTCCCGATTTCTTTTTCTTTAGTCGTATAAGTGGTTTGATTTTGTAATAATTGAGCTCTAAACTGTGTGGGTTTTATTTTGCTGTATCGGATGGAGTAAGGTTCTATACAGACTAGGTTATGTGTTTTTTTCTGAATAACCAACCAATTGGCCGAGCACCGGTGTTGATTTGTGCCATTCCCTAAGGTCCCTTTGGCTTTGTCTCCTTTAAATCCAGTCAATGTTGTGTAGGAAAGGGGAATCTGCTGTACCTCCAGGGGAGCAGTTGGTCTGTCTTTCTCTTCTAGAACGTCCTCCCTCTTGTTGTGAATGGTTTCCTAGGAAGCAAATCTTATCTCCCACCCTCTTGGCTGTCGTGCTTTATCTTCATGTGACTCGATGTCGTTTCTTTCATTCCTTCTTTTTTGTGATGATATCCCCATAATTTGTATTTATTTTGGCAAAATATTTCATTTAGGGTGAGTTACTCAGCAAGATTGGGAAAGACGATTGACGTTTTACTCCCAAGGAATTTAATTTCTTTTTCACATCATAAATAGCCATGGCGAGAAGGGCCAGGAAGAGACTTCCTGCATCAATGACACAGAGCCAGGCACTCTATCACTTCAAGCTGTGAGGCGGAGCACCCCAACTCCCGCCAGCTCTGACGAGCTGCAGTTTGAAACTCTTGGTTATTTCTGAAGGAAAACCCAAATTGATTGAAAAAATATTTTAAGGCTTCTCTGTGAGGCTTTCTTCATTGTTCCCTTCTAGACAAGAGGAAAAGTGTTTCATGAGCTGACATCTGTGCTCTTGAGTAGCTCTAGAACGTGGAGAAGTTAAAAAGGAACCACTTGGGACAGCCTTGAACATCTTATGAGGCCACTTAGAACTGATTCTGAAAATTGATTTGATTCTTTAAAAGTATATTTTAATCCAAAGTCAATATCCAAATATTCACACATCTCTTCTCTAAGACTGATCTTAGAAGGCAGTATTTCAAGAGATGTGAAATTAATTCCAGATGTTTTGCTTTTAGAATCTTAAGCAAAAGACGCTTTGAAAAATATTTTCATTTATATCTACGTGCTTACACCTAAAACTGACATGCAGCAAAAACTCTAATTAACACCTGCCAAACAGAGATCCTGGAAATGGGAAACACAATTTGAACTTTAGGCTATCCATTTTAAAAAGGTAAATAATATTTAGGTTAAAAATTTGAAAGTTAAATACAGCCCCATCTTAAGCATCTGGGTGCATTATATGCTGTAATTCACGTATCTGAGTCTGTGACCTGCTGGCAGCCCCAGGACCGCTGTACAAGTGACACGTCACAGGGGTCTCTTCTGATTGGTGAGTGTCTTTGTTCTATCAGGGCTTAAATACTTTCGATACCACCCCTGCCTGTACCTCTAGAAATATCAGAGAAATGGCATATGCATAATCAAAAATGCGATTCTTTCTTTATAACTTACGTCACTTGAGATCCATGTAATTAAGGAAGAAAAAACACATTTATCATGATAATTGTTCTATTTAGTCCATTTTGAGAATCTAGAACACTCTTTTTATGAAGATGAAACCTAATATTTTTCTGTTGGGTTTTATTATATAAAAAAATAAAAGATTGATGGCCAGAAGGACCTAATTTTTATATATTATATTTTTAAAACCTTAGTTATCTAACTGGTTCATTAACTAAACAATCAATTTTTGAAGTATGTAGCATTTATTAACAGAGATTTAAAATACAAGTTCAATTATTTAATTAATCCAAATCCAAATCAGTATTCCCCTAAAATATGATATCTATTTTCACCCTTCCATTCTTTCTGTCAGAGACCCACCTATCTTTTTAAAAAGCCATGTCTATTATTGGCAAAAAAAAGGAAGTGGTGTCAATTTTTAAAGTGTAACAAGCACCAGACAAATGAAGTGAATAGGAAGAAATACCATACGGTCCCCAGCCACCCCTCACCATCAGGTACCACTGTGTGATGCATGAATGCATCGGGATCCCTCCATTCTTAGCCATTGTTGTCCTGAGTAGAAACTGGAAAGTTTATATCTAGGCCAACGACATCGCCAAAGGCGTATGTCTGATTCCTCCCTAGCTGACCAGAAATTGGAAGACTTTTGCAAGGAGGACATTAGATTCATTCTTAGTCAGATGTTGGGTTAAATCAGTATGTTTCGTAACTTTTGTTAGGACATCCTAAGAATGAATTAAAACCAGAATGTAATATGCCCAAGTTCTTTCCATGTGGTTTGGCTCTCGAGCCCCTGAAATTGGATTCTGCGCAGCCCTCAGCCACTCCCCAGTGGGCAGCTCCTCCTCATCTCAGAGCCTGGAAATCTACAGTGAACATCCTGGCACCACGAAAATGCCAAACGGACAAACCCGTCAAGAATAACCTGCAAAAAGTAGTGTCCTGGTGTTATCACTACTTCTAGTAAAGCTAATTTTCAAAATAATATCAGGAAGCAGTTAGTATAATGCAGAGTCCATTGAAAGCCCCTCGCCCTGTGTGGCCACTGCTCTGGTTGTTTCTGGATAACCACAGGCTTTTCCTAACCGGGACTAAAAGGCAACTATCTACATCTTCAGGGACATAACCTTTTAGCATCCTCTCTTCATTGAATCTCACCAATTGGCTACTTAGCCACAACATCCCAGAAAAATGGTAAAAGTGAATTCCCTTAACCAGTCACCCTGCTCGGCATATAGTACAACCTGGGTTCTTAAGGGACAGGTGTCTCAAAACAGAAAAAAATAAAATGATGCATCTCTTATGGGATAGGTGGGAAATATGTTTACTTCTTGGTATACCATAAACATTTAGAAAATAGTTATTGAATGCAGATGGGACAAGAGCAGAGAAAGGAAGTGGTGATGGAGGTTTGCAGCAGGAATGGGGGTCAGCAAGCTATTAGAGAAAAGAAAGCCAGCAAGGAAATGGCCTAGGAAAGAAAACTGGACCAAGTAACATCCACAGACAGCAGGTGTGCTGAGGCCGCACCCGCAAAGCTGTGCAGCGGCTCGCGGGACTTTCACTGCCTCGCTCCCCACTCCGCTGCGTGAGACTCCTGCGCGCACCATGTGGTCACACAGTAAGCCTGGGACAGCAAAGAAAGGCTAGTGGTACCTTCATAAAAAACATTGTACATGAAAACAGTTCAATTAAAATTGGTTTGTGGGGCTGGCCTGGTGGCACAGCGGTTAAATTCACATGTTCTGCTTGGGCAACCTGGGGTTCGCCACGGCACCCCTTGGCAAGCCATGCTGTGGTAGGTGTCCCACATATAAAGCAGAGGAAGATGGGCATGGATGTTAGCTCAGGGCCAATCTTCCTCAACAAAAAGAGGAGGACTGGCTGCAGATGTTAGCTCAGGGCTAATCTTCCTCAAAAGAAAAGAAAAGAAAAGAAAAGAAAATTGGGTTGTAAATGGTTAAACACTGTTAACTTGGAAATTATCACAATCTTTCATTTCTCAGTGGGTCCAGGTAACAGATGTTTTCCTACACTTTTGAAAGAAGACACAGAGAAAGGATTCACAGCATGGATTTCTTATTGGGGATTTTAGAGCCTTCAGCATAGAAACTTTGAGTAGAAGGACTGTCCTGATGCCATTTAGAAACCTACCTATAGAGAGGTAGCTACTTGCTCAGTAGTCGAGTCTTGGTGCGTCTTTGGGTTACAGATTAGGTAAGAGAGTAATTATAGGTCAAGAAGGAATTGGATTCTGCAGCTCAATGATTTCTTTATTTTTGGCAGTACATATTGTACGTATAGTCTTGTCATCATCTTAATAGAACACTGGTCTGTACTCAAGAACTGAAAGAGAAACGTTGTTCCATTCATGTGAAGAGCGGAGTATTTTCCATTTGTCCTTGTCAAAAAATTGTTTAAAACCAGCCACCACAGCAAAGGAAATATAAAATTGGGATAATGGAATTCAAAGGCAATCAACACAGCAGCATTTAGGTGTTCTTGCTATAACATGACATGTCTCTGAAAAACTTCAAATTCTGCAAAACGTGCACTAGACACAGGACTCCTCAGGAAAATAGAGGACAAAGCGTTCGAAGCCCCTGGACTGTGGCCACAGCTCTAACAAAAACAATTACTAGTTCCTGGAAAGATAATGTGGCTCCTCTGGAGCAGCAGGCATTTCAAATTCTCAGAAATGATGGAGGCCGTGTGCTGCAAGGCTCTCACTGGAGCAGGACAGGTGGAGGTAAGGCAGCCACATGAGGCCGAGCCGTGGGCCTGACTGCTGCTCTCTGGAGAAGGATCCCATGTGTAAACGTGCGTTACTGAATCTTAGTCCATTCAGGCTACCATAACAGAAGGACCATATCCTGGGTGGGTTAAAGAACAAACCTGTGTTCCCCACAGTTCTGGAGTCTGGGGAATCCAAGATCAAGGCGCTGGCAGATTTGGCATCTGTTGAACGCCTGCTTCCTGGTTCACAAGCAGCCATCTTCTCACTGGGTCCTCACATGGCAGAAGGGTGGAGGGAGCTCTCTGGGGTCTCTTTTATAAGAGGACTAATGCCATTTATGAGAACACCACCCTCATAAGCTAGTCACCCTCCAAAGACCCCACTCCAAATACCATCACATTGGGGATTAAGTTTCAACATATGAATTTTAGGGAGACACAAGGTTCAGTCTATAGCGCTGGGTCAACAGGTATAGAAGCTCCTGTTAAACAATAACCTGATAATAGTAAACTTTTATTTTTTGTGGTTTTTAAACACAAGAATCTTAATGTAAGAAGAAAAATAGGCAATAGTAAGCTTGGTATTGTGGCCCTTCTTTGTTATGGGCATATCATTTATTAAAATGGGAGCATGTTGTTAGCAAGTCTCTCTTACTCACAGCTATAAACACCTGTGTGGTGACTATCTCATCCAGCACATCCTGGATCATCAACAGATCTGGTCCATGGGGCATCCGTATCACATACACAGGTTAAGTCAAGCAGCAAGAAAGCAATCTCATGCTTGCCCCATTAATTCAATCTAATGTTTCTGTCTCTATTAGCTGCCCTCTCTTAGCCTGTTGCCATGTCTCTCACATGGCTATCTTAGCCTTGGCTCAAATGATGTCCGGTGATGACTCCGCCTTAAAGTGAGCACTATGCGTGTCTCTAATTCCGGCCACTCTATGACATCAGAACTTCCTGGGGGAAGCCTGAGGCAATTTGGGAGAGGAGGGCACAGTCCCCTGGGACCTGCCCTTACAATTCTAAGGTCCTTCATGAATAAATACGTGCAGAATGGTTAAGAGTACAGGCTTTGGAAGTAGAAATGTCTGGATCTGATTTGCAGCCCTGTCTTCTTGGGAGAGGACGTGCCTGGTGTCAGGAGCTCATGGTGGTTGTGTTGTCTGCGGTGGCAGCAATTGAATAAACTCAAATAATTGATGGTGACTGGTTTTAAAAGATAATATGTAGCTTAACATCTTTTTCAGAGGAATGTAAAGACTGAATTTGGCTGGGTATCATCACAAATGAAGTGAAAATCAACTAGTATTCAATCCAGAGGACTTAGGTTCTTTTCATTGCATTTTCTGAGTAAACCAAACTAATGCGAGTTCTCAAGAAACTGCTTCTGTCGAACCTTTGGACATTAATGGGGGAAAATCAAGTGAGTCCAACAAAACAGAGGCAGGAATATGTCTGAAAGATCCTCCAGCAACTGTTAAGCCAGTGTTACAGGAAGCTTCATTGAAGAGAAGAAAACGCTACTTCTAGCTCTTTGATTGTTTTTAAAGTTAACATTAACTCAAACGCTGACTTTCTTCCTCTCTCTTCAGCCATCGTATGTCCCAAGGAAACTAATCCCAGTAACAATCATCAAGCAAGGTAATCTGTGCGGGTCTGCTCTGGATATGTGTCCCGAACTATTTTTAACGCACTTTTTAACTGAGATAATTAAACATAGCCTGTATTTTCTCAATTTTTCTGATTATTGTTTTTCAGAAAAAGTTTGAAGAAATCAGCATGGTCTAGTAAATTAGAAGTTGATAGATAATTTTGGCTGAGCCCGGGCTAGTCCCTTTATTTGGTTGATTAGGAACGAAGCAACTATAACAAGTATTAAGTTTTAACGAGCCAGTTAGATGCGTGTGGCTTTGCTCGGGGTGAAGCGACGTACATGAAGAAAGTCATTAAGACGCTATTTGGACTAATGGCATGAAAACTATGATTTAGGGGCCACTTTGGGGAAACAAAGACATCTAGGTGTTAAGAATTATAATGTCTTATTTCATGTTAGTATCCATTTGTTTTTGTTTTGACTTCCAGTTTTTCAAATTATTTAAAATGACTCCATTGTTTCCTGAAAGTTTCTTGATAGGAGAGAGCGGGCACTTAAAATAGTTCTTCATTTTAAGAAAACACTGTCCCAAGTGAACTCTCAAAACAGGGTCAGCTAATATTGGAATTACCCAAAGATTCTTAGCTTTGAGACTCTATATTTTCTAATTTTTTACTACTGAGTCATTGCCCCATTTTGTGCTGGTACTCTAGCTTGGGTAGGCCACAGGGAGGGGAGAAGAGGAAGAGAATTTTCAGCTCAGGATGGACCACTTTATGAGAGTAAGAGCCTTTCATTACTTAAATGCACAGGTGTTAAGGTAACATCTGCTTTCTAGTCCTTCTGTTGGCTGTGTAGCCAACCCAATGAGTTTCTTTCTATTAATGAAAAAGTTAGATCAGGGCTTCCCCACTGCAGATGGCTTTGCATTATTAGCGTCTTACTGCTTCCTGACTTGTTTTCTTTTTTTTTACGTCACACTATTAACTTTCTGTATCTCAACAGTGATTCAGAATGTCACTCACAGGGCTTCAGCGAAATCTCCAGATAAGACTCCCTATGGAGGAACGATACTAGGTGAGTCTGTCTTGAAATCTACACTTAGGTTAAGCAAGTCAGGCTATTTTTTGATAATAGGGGCCTTGTGGAAGGCACTGTGAGCAGGTCTGTCAAACTGACTCATTTCCTTTCAGTATTTAGCATCCTGGCTTATGTCCATTCCAGGCGAGGAGCCAAGAGGTGCTACCTCTGTCACAGTGTTGGAGAAACAACTCTAGCCCGAGCCTTGTGGGAACATGGCACCCAGCCTACCTGCTCCACAGGGTTGTTGCAGTTATGAAGGAATCTTTGTCATACTGCACTGATCTTTTAAAAATTATTATTAATAGGAGTGTTTTTTGTTCAGCACACATCTTAAGCAGCTAGTTTACAGTTTTTGGGTCTATGGATTAAAAGCCATAGGATTTTGGTAGTTTGGTTCTGAATATGGAAAAGATTCTGTTTAAAAGTTATGATCATATTTTTTCCGACATTTTAAACTTTGGGTTAAAATTGACTAAGCAAAATAAGTGCTAAACTTCATAGTTTCTAGTGTCTGGTGCTCTGAGCTTCATGTCATGGTGCATTTTCTTTCTCTTATCTTATTTACTTCTTTTTCTTTGCAGTCCACCTTGTTATTCCAGGTCTTAATGAAACCACCGTAAAACTTCCTACATCCATAATGTTTGAGATTTCGGATGCACTCAAGACACAATTAGGTAAGCAGAAAAGTTCTGTATTTGAACTTTGCAGTGACTGAGTACCAGCACAGAGATTCTTAGGATGTCCGAGGAGTCTAACAAACGAGCTGGTTGGGGACATCAAAGTAGAAAGTAAGGGACAGGCATGGGTGCTGTCGGTGGGAAAATAAAATGGGGCAGCTGTTGTGAAAACAGTATGACCATTCCTCAAAAAATTAAACTTAGAATTACCATGTGATCCAGCAATTCCGCTTCTGGGTATGTAACCAAAAGAAGTGAAAAAAGTTCTCAAAGAGATACTTGTACACTTACCTTCATGGCAGCATATTCACAATAGCAAAACATGGAAGTAACCCAACTGTCCATCAACAGATGAATGAATAAGCAAAATGTGGTCTATCCATACAATGGAATATTATGCAACCTTAAAAGGAAGGAAATTCTGACACGTGCTACAACCTGGGTGGACCTTGAGGACATTATGCTCAGTGAAATAAGCCAGTCACAAAAAGACAAATACTGTACGATACTGCTTTATGAAGCCCCAGAAGATTCAAATTCATAGAGACAGAGAGTAGAATGGTGGTTGCCAGCGAAACGGGGGTGAGGGGAATGAGGCATAAGTGTTTAATGGATACAGAGTTTCAGTTTTACAAGATGAGAAGAGTTCTGGAGAGGGATGGTGGTAATGCTTGCACAACAATGTGAATGTATTTACTACCAGTGAACTGTACACTTAAAAATGGTTAACACTGTACATTTTGTGTTATGTATATTTTGCCACAAAAAAAAATTTTGGGAAAAAAAAGTAAGATGCAGAGAAGTTGGAGTGTTAGAGATACTCATATAAATCACATTCAATAGGGAAAGAGTTCCTTTATACTTACATAAAATACATTTACATTTATGAAAGAAGAGACAGCATTTATCAAATTATCCAAAATATACACATTTCTATAGGTATGATTTTCAAATAGAGTAATTGTTATAAACTGTCCTTATTATACTATACTATGAAGGGGCCACTAGATATTTTCAGTGGGAACTGATGCAAAGGTCAGGTCTATTAGAATAATTATTTACTTGAGATTGATACGGCTTCCTGCTTCTAGAAAGAACTCGATATGGTTTCAGTGTTTAAAAAATGTAAAGCTTAACGGTTTGGAAAAATGCCCAACAAAACCCTTTAAAAGGGAATAATTGTGGCGGTCAGTGGGCTCTGTTAGTTGCTGCACTTGAGTGTCAAATTAGTCTGAATTTTCTCTGCAGCAGGGGATCTTAAACTTGATGGAGCATCAGAAGCCCTGGAGGGCTTGTGAGCACACAGACCGCTGCCCCCACCCCGCAGAGTTCCTGACTCAGGAGGCCAGGGTGGGGCCCGAGAATTTGTGTTTCTAGGGGTTCCCAGGTGATGCTACGGCTGGCCCAGGAGCACCACTTTGAGAACCGCCCCTCTAAAGTCTCTGGAGAATGTCTTGGGCTATTGAGAAATATGGAAAGAGACAGCAGGCTGTGGTAGAAATTGAACAAGATTTAAAAATGCAGAATATTTTCCCTGAACTGGATACTGTTAATTTGAGAACTTCCTGGAAGAAGGATGAGCAAAGCCTGAAGAGAGTGGAAGAGCACTTAATTGGTGGACTCTTAGACTTACAATTTTAGAAAAATTTTCACAATTTACGTCTCACCATTTTATTAAGATGTGAAAATATTTGCCAACAAGTCTTCACGATTTTGCGCAATCCTTACATTTTTACAGTAAAATATTCATAACTGTTAGTCCTAGAGTGAGTTACCTCCAAGCACGTAGACAGATGACTGTAACTTTGTACATCAGGCTTGATCACCTCCCTTTTAGCTATAAAACCCCGTGACTCAACTCTGCATCATCTAAATGCTGTGCTGAAAGCCAGGAAGCCTCCAGATTAAATTTCCTCAGTGAACCTGTGTTTGGAATGAGAGCTCAGGACTCTCACACTCACCTAGTTCTCTGCCCAGAGCCTGTACACCCGGCCCTGAGCCTGGGGAGTCCTTTTTAGAAGGAGAAAAAAGGAGCCCACCAATCTCATATTGATTTGGTCCCAACCTGTCCATGAAAACTACAAAACCCAGGATTTGTGAAGGAGACTGAAAATGAGCAGAGTTTTTGCCGAGACCACTGCTGTCCATTTTGAGCTGGAAGGTGTTCTAGTCCTTAGTTTTGAGAGATATTTCTAATTTTTTGTTTTTCGCGAAGTTCCACATGCTATCTTAATACCAGGTCAGCCATTTTGTTTAATTTAGAGAGTTAAACTGTGAATTTTCTTTTGTTTTTGCTTTTGTTTTTCTGATATGATTCATGAAGCTTCAGGATTGTGATTTTAATGAAAAGAAATTCTATGCAAATAGTAAATGTCTTTTTAACTTGTAATCTGGGGAAACACCTATCTTAAATTTAACACATTTCTTAGCAAATTTCTTACGCGTTGAAGAGATCGACAGCCAGTATGTTTGAAATGGTCAGTAAATTCACTGAATGTACCACCTTAACAGACTATGCTTAAAAATTACATTGTAACTTTACCATATTTTTGTGAAAAGAATGTAAGCATAAACAATTCTTTATACTACTGAGGGAAAAATAAACTTTCCTGAAGCTATCATTGCAATTCAGAAAAGCCCTGTTTTTTTGAGGGGGTAAATCCTAAAAATAATGTCCTCATTCCAGCAGGGCCCATCACGGGACATCAAGAAATTAATAGCTTTTGTTCTAAGAACACGTGGTGTGAATAGTGAGAGAAATAAACAAGAAAGCTAGTGTGAACCGTCTCCCAGGGACATACAGAGGGTTTGCCAAAGCCAAGACTTAGCCAGCCAAAAATGAGAGGAAACAACTGTGTTGAGAAAAGGTACAGAAGAATCAGACAGGAAAAGGAATTTCCTGGGGTTTTGGCAGTGTTCTGATGGCATTCTACTCTGCTATTGCCGAATCTGCAGTTGCCCAGGGGCAATGTAAGTGAGTGCTCACGGCGGGATAGGAGACGTAAAGAGTGACCCATTCAACTATCTTCCTTATCAACCAATTCCTCTGATGCCTGAAGTGCCACATGCAGAAAGACGATACACCTTTAGAAGGAAGTAGTGATGTGAAAAGAATACAAATATTTCTTGGGAAGGTTGTCTACCATTTTTAATTCATTTACAGCCTAATTTTAGATTGATATGATCACCAGCTAAGGGCATGTTTTGAATATAAGGAGCTAAAGCAAAGCAATTCTGAGCATTGCCTAAAAGTCTAGGATCTGGAAGTTAAGATAATAAATGAATAGTCCTAGTTAGCCAGGGACCCCGCGAGAACGTAGGCTATTGCACTGGAAGGAGAGGGTTAGCAAAGTTGTCCTGACCCAGAGGAGGACACTGAAAGAGGAGAGAGTGTCAAAGAAGAACCCGGTCATCTAACATTGGAAAAAAGGACAACTTCCTTTGGTACATGCTGAAAATAGCAAGATCAGAGCTCATAAAAATTTGCAATCTAAATGTTTTTTCTGTGCTAACAATCACAACGGTTCTACACAAAAGCTATGACTATAAAAGAAGCAGGAAAAAACATTGATAAAATTTAGGAATTTTAAAAATAGAATTTATCATAAAACTCTACTGGATCTGTTTCTTTAGTTATTCCAGAAAGAGAGTCCTTTCTCTTTCTGTCCTGCCAAATGAATTTGAGCAGTGATACTGAACATTTCTGTTGTGCAAACAAGCTAGGCCACTTCATATGCACATAAATCCAAAGCATGCACTTGACTGTCAGATGTGGCAAGTGTGCCAGCCCTGGTGACACCTCCTGCTGGCACTTGCAATCACTCCTGGGAATGACCAGCTCTCTGCAGGAATGGATTGTACGCCTCCACAATATGGAAAACTGATTTGCCTCTATCAACAGTGTGAAGGAATGACTTCATAAATGTTTTTAAGTCCATCAGAAGTAAATAAATATTTTGTGCCCACGTTAACTGAAAAGAAGAAAATGGTCTTGACAACAGTGCTGGGAACTACAGAAGGAGGTTACAAAATCTGCATCCTCAAAGAGCTTTGAGAGAACAGATTAGATCAGTAGATCTCCACAGAGAGTGATGTTGTCCCCCACTGGATATTTGCAGTGTCTGGAGATATTTTCGGTTCCCACAGCTGTGGAAGTGGTAGTGGAATCCAATGGGTAGAGGCCAGAGATGCTGCTCACATCCTACAGTGCACGGGAAAGGCCCCGGCAACAAAGAATCATCCAGCCCAAAACATCCATAGGGCCAAAGTGGAGAAGCCCAGGAAGTTCTGAACAGCCTTAGGACTCAGAAATCTCATCTGATGAGAATCAGTTCAAGGGGACAAGGTCAGGGTATCCCAAAGATAAAGGAATTCTTTCATACCACTAGACTGCTTCAAATTATTACAAGTAGATCATTGAGTCAGTGTGCTAAACACATGAATCAAGTTAATTCTAAGCACAGTTTTTAAATGAGAGATATTTTAACCATTGGGAACTGTGCTTTAGAAGTGTACTTCCTTTGAAAAAGAATACCTAAATTTTAGAAAGAAGTTTCCTGAGTGGTTGTCTGAAGAGGGAGGGGGAAAAAAAAGGAAAAACAGCTGATTTCATTCTTTACACTAAATTCCCACAGAGACCAAAAGAAATGATCTATGTTAACATGTGGCTGAAATAAATAACTGTTGGTATTTTTTTGTGACAAATATTTTCAAATAATTTTGTATCCTATGTGTGTTATTTGTGTTTTTCTAAAATTTCAGTGTCATAACCTATTACATTTTTTTCTGTGCATAATCACGGAAAATTTCTACTCATTGATTTTGTTTTAATTAGGAGTATTTGAATATAAAATTCCGAGGAGGATTTGCAATACAGTCTGTGCCGTCCAGAAACTCTATTTCTGAATCAGAATGACTTGAGAGTTATCCAAATATTGGTTGTAATTTGTTTTCTTCATTCCAATGTTAACTTAGATCTTAAAGAATTACCTAGGGTTAATGAGAAGGAATTCTGAGGACTGTCGTCTCTCATACTAATCCTGGTGGAAATGCACAATGACGTTGTTGACTGCCTGGGGGAAAGGATAAGAACAGAGTAGATTTCTTGAAGTAGTTGGTTACTTGATTTTGTTTTGAATGAATTATAGTGGGACACTGCATTATGAGGAAGTGAGGTAAATTGTTTGTTCTCTGACTTTTTAGCTAAGAATGAAACCTTGGCGTTACCTGCTGAATCTAAAACACCAGAGGTAGAAAAAATCCCAGCACAGCCCATAACAGGTAATGAGATCCCTATGTTGTTAACGTTGAGAGAATGAATAATATATTTTTTCTAATGGCAAATGATTGGCAAACCTGTACCTTTTTTTCAGTGAAGAGCCAGTAGGAAATTCATTTTGATCATGAGCACGAAATGATAGGAGGTTCTAGGTTCTTCATCTGATGTTTGGAAAAACAACAGACGCAAAATGAACTGTTGAATCATGTAACTAATACATAATCCGGAAGCTATATTTTTGGCTCTAAGTGAAAGTTGTTACCTCAACATTCTGAAATATTCTTGTACTTAAATGTAGTACTGTGTGTTTGGGGCTTTCCTTTTATATGAAAACGTAAGACCGTTTTTGATTTCTTCATTTTCACAAGTGGTCTATTTAGCAAAATGCCATTATCTCTCATGAATCCATAGCTTGATATTTATGAAAGTACCTGGAATCATTCAATGACAATGTCTCTGGAAGATTAACAAACCTAGTGTGAAGAACACATGAGAGCTCAGTAAAAATCCTTTAAAGAATAAATGCAGTATGCGTTATTCCCCATAATTCATCAGCTGTTACTAACAAACATTCAGCGTTTCTTCTATGAATGAACTACCCAAGTCCAGCCCAACAGAGACATACTATTCTCTGAAATATGGAGTTTTTGCCAAAGTAATACCACCTCATCCAGGACTCAGTAACACAAACATCTGGTGAGAATTACCCCAAATCCACATTTAGCAAAGTAACTCCAATCTAAAGTGAATTTTTTAACCATAAAATTGCCTAAACTGAAATATTCAATTCATAAAATTGCCATAGATTGAAATATTTACCTTGTCCTACACTCTTGGACTCATAACTAGTCCAGAGAAGACAAAGATTGGTGGAGAAATAAAATAACTTGATTTCAAGAAACCTATTCAAGTACAAATATGTCTGATGGACTAGGAAGTATATGGTCCTGCCTACAGGAGAGAGATGGACCTTCCATCTCCCACTTTCCAGAGAGCTAAGGCAGAGGTAGAAGCTATTCAAGATGCTGGGATAATCTATTCGAATGAAATTCCTAGTTGGTTTTCTGACTTCAACGTAAATGGTCGACACCAAGAAAAGTGTAGGCGTCACGTTCTTTTCTGCCCAAGAGATTCTACTCATTTTTCCCAATTATACTTTCTTCTCTTGGTGCACTGTCTGATGGGAGAGTCTACAGATTTCTTAGTTCTCTGCCAAACCTTCCTCAGAACTTTCCACTTCAGAAACACTTAGGCAAACACCGTAACAGTATTCAGTGTTATTGTGTTTATTTCATGTCCTTACTCTGCAAAATTCTGGAGCTGTCTAGCTTACCATTAATTCCAGATCTCAGTGAAAACTATTTTCACTGAGGAAACTATTTACCCAAAAAATTCTTTCTTATTTCTTGAAAACTGTTTACTCGAGTCGTCTTCGCCTTTGGTCTAGTGCTTGGAGCAACCTCGTGGCTAAGGATTTGAATCTTTATCATCTCAACCCGGTTCCAAGCTTTGCCTGGGGCTGCAGTTTGGAAGAGAGAAATCTTATAATGTCATAGTTCTAAATAAACCTTTTTGCCCTGGGTCATTCTTTTACTTGCCCATTTATTGATTCACTTAATAAACATTTATCATGTGCTTCCTTACTGTACCCCAGACATTGTGCTAAAGCCCTGGAGATAAAGAGAAAGAAAAAGGCAGACAAATGAAAAATTATGATTCATCTGATAAGTGCTTTGATGGAGGTCGTTTCAATGTGTTTTTTGGAACACAGAAAGAGACCTACCCAGAGAAAGGATTGGGAGGAGAGCCAGCTCAGGCACCTCGGGCAACCCCGGAAGTCCTGAACAGAATTAACTTGAATTGGTCTATATAAGTATCCGTTACTAATTCTAAAGGGCAGCAAAAGTGCCTATGGTCTGTAGTTGCTTCATCATTTTATCTTAATTTCTAAAGTTGTCTTTTTTGCCTTCCAGTGACTCCTGAATCAGTTCCAAGAACCACTAAACCCACCGTGCCTAGTGCATTAGACATTTCAGAAACAACACTGGGTAATTCTAAGAACTTTTTTTTCTTAAAAAATAACTCCCAATACTCATAGAAAAGAAAAGTAAGCCCAATGCCTTAGCACCCGCCCCACTCTCCCCCTCCCTGGCAGTAGTCCACCTTCCTATTTCTTGGGTCAGTTCGACTAAAGAGTTAGCAACACACCTTGATCCTGGTGACTGATACCTAGGCAGCTCTGGATGCTAGATGCTAACCACATGCCCTTTAGCCAGTCTCTCGGGATGTGTAGAAAAACCGAATTCCAGCCTTTTGCCCCACAAAGCTTGGAGGGGTGGGGAGACCTGGAAGTCTTGACTATGTGTGTGCTTTCTGCTTTGATTGGCTTTTCCAAGTCTTGTGCGTACTAAACTTGAGGAGAATCCCTTGAAGTATAATGCTTTTTAATAAAAATTTCACGCCATGCAAGTTAGCTGCCTCTTGGCCCAAGAGATTCTAACTTGCTTTGCTCTCTTCTCCTGAAGAAAAGAGCCAGTGTGTATTTTGTCTGTACTTGTGACGTTGATCTTCATGCCACACCATGGGCCTTTGAAAGTATACCTTCAAATTTTAACAGCTGTGTAAAACTTTTCCAGGGGCAGCCAGCTATTTCCATGAAAGGCATCAGCCTCCTGGTGCGCACTCCCTTGTAAGCGTGCTTCACACGATCATGGTTAAGCCACAGTGCAAATCCCCACTCATGCAGCTGCTAACCGAATTCTTCTCTATTGTAGTTCTCAGTGAAAGGACGCCGGAAGCATCGCAAACTAGTCTAATACCTAGGTTTGAATTGCCACTGAGCACTCTAGGTAAAATTTATTAACCACTGCAGGTTCTTGTTACCTCGGAAATTTTATACATGCTTGGAAGGACTTCTTAGGCTCATTCATTCAAATTCATCTCCTCGCAGGAAAGGAGGGACCATGTTTTATAGAACAATGACCTCCCCAACTGCAAGCCCTCAAATGTTATAAAAATCTTTATTTTATAATTTAGGATCCTAAAGAGTCACTCTCTATGACAAATCTTTCGGTTGTTTTTCTTTTTGGTGGTCATGATTTGATTCTTTTTAATTCAAAGTCACTGTGTCACTGAATAAATTATCTTCTATATTTTTCCTAAGTATCTTTTTACTCAATTGTTTCTCTTGATAGAGAAAATAAATTTATGATATCTCTTCAGACTGCTTCTTAGAATTCTTAGAATTTCTTTAAGTACAATATCAAAAAAGTTGTTGAGAGGGAGCTTTCATATAAATCCACATAGTTACCACAATTCTATTTTTAAAACCTCTTAGATGGACATTTTCCAGTCCAGGTGTGTCTGATGATTGGTTTGAGTTTAAATGAAATATTTCTAAGAGCATACACACACATAGCTGAAGAAGTTAGGAAACTAATAAGGATGAGAAGAAGAGCCCACATTCCTCAAATTTAGGGGCTTGATTTTAAAAAATAGAAACCGAAGCTTTATTGTATTATCCAGTATTAAAACACAGGAGTAAGAAATACTACTAAGGTCCCTACTTGATGTGAGTCACTTGCTGTTTCGTGTTTGTTTTTTGTTTTTGCAAGCTTGAGATTTTTAAAATCTTTTCTCTATTACTTATACCTCAAATCATAACATTTCTTGTGTGTTTCATTACAGCTCCGAAAAGCATTCCAGAACTTCCTCAGGCAAAAACATCCTTCCCTTTTGAGAAAGCTGGGGGCACCTTGGGTAATAACAGCACCTTAAATCTGGTGTGAAGATGTGGTTGGTGATTGCTCAATTCTGTGGGACACACCACTGGGTCCTATCTCTGCAGACCTCAATGAACTGATGAATTCAGTTAACTCAGCCAAACAAACAAGTGGTCAATCTGGTTAAAAAAAAAAAAAAAGAAAAAAAGGAGCCAGCCTGTGGCATAGTGGTTGAGTTCCTGCACTCCACTTTGGCAGCCTGGGGTTTGTGGGTTCAGATCCCAGGCTCAGACCTTTGAACCACTCGTCAAGCCATGCTGTGGTATTGTCCCACATACAAAATAGAGGAAGACTGGCACAAATATTAGCTCAGGGCCAATCTTCCTCACCAATAAAACAATTAAGAAAAAAACTCACCTGTTTGTCTGAATGGGTTTTCTACAAATTTAGTGACAATCATCAGTCTGTTAATTCTATACAGCCCATTTAGTTAGCTTTCTGACCTCAATGTTGAGAGTATGATACCACACTCTGGTCTCTCTCTAGTCACTGATCAAATGCTGTCAGGAGCGGATGCATATTGATTTCTCCCTGATACGTGATGACTTTTTATTGGATCAGTATGTGCGTTTTATTGCAGGCTTCTGGTAGCCACTTAACCATGCCAGCAACCTATTTCTGTCTCTTCATCTTCCCAAAAACATCTTCAGCAAATTCCTTTTCTTTTTGCTGTAGCTTCAAGTGAAAAGCCATGGATTGTACCTACAACTAAAACATCTGAAGATTCCAAAGTTCTACCACCTCGAACTGGTAATTGCTTTCTTTTTAAAAAATAGATTGGCACAACAGTATTGAATAACTTGTTTTTATTTTTATAGACTCCTTAGTTGAATATCAATATACTTTGTAGTAAATGGTAAAGCTATAATCCATTCTGGATACTTACATCAATCTCACTTTTTTCTCAACACAAAAGCAAAATGGTTTTGCATTTGTTTTAAAGATCTGTGTTTCAATGTCTGGATATATAATCAGAAATCTGGCTAGAAGATGGACCATGAATTGGCTCATTGATTTTCTAGAGATCTCTTTACTGACATGAGAACAGTAACAAAAGTAAGATGCATCATGTCACGGTCTGATGTGACAGTGTGAATTTAACGTTTCCCTTGCAGGAAGATATTTGCTTCTTTTTCAGCAAAATATTCAACAAACATTTGAGAGCTTACTATGTGCCAGATATTTTCCTAAGTCCTACACTCTGTAAACACATTGTGACACAGAGCAAAGACCTCCGGTCCTGGCATTAGTAATGGACTTCAGTTCCAGTTCTGGCTTCCCCACTAACCATATGACCATCTCCCCTTTTCTGGGTCGTCATTTACTCTTTTGTAAACTGTGGCGACTGCCTTTTTTCCCCTGAGAATTCTTGTGTTCCGCCACTACAACTCATAGAAGGAGATCACTTTCTTTTTGAAAAATAGATTTTTCTCAGTTAGAAAGTTTTCTCCTATACATCTTTTCTTTGATGTCTAGCAGTCAACTAAAGAGAACATTCAGCAAATGAGAATTACAAGGAAATCTCAGAAAACACTATGATTACTTCCATGAATTTTGTTTTACTTGTTTTTTAATTTTTGTGAACTTGGTAGTTGTAATTGTTTTGCAGACATACAATATAGTATAATAATATAGTATGTACCATAATATATTATATGCTATACAATATATCTATATATACTGTACTATAGTATATATAGTACATACTATAGTATTACATATCATAGTTAGAAGTTCATGTTATGAAGTTAAGTACACCGACATTTTGTGGTATTCTCCAGAAGAGTCCAGCAGAGGACTGGTGTGAGAAAGGATGAGATTGAGCCTTCAGATGCGTAGATCTTAGTCAAATTATCCTTTCTCCGGTAAGTGTAATGGGCTCAGATCTCAGCAAAAGAGAAGACGGCATCAAATGAAGCAAGTGTGTCTGTTATAGACTCCCCCAGTTTTCTCAAGTGGGAAAACCCTTGAAAGTTGGCTACGGTTCTCAGCCAATCCAGAGAAGCCTCACATTGGGTCTTTGGTTCCGCTAGTCATTGACCCTAAGACTCTGGTGCAATTACTTAATGTGGGAGCAAAGATACCTTTAGAAATCCAGGCCACCTGAGTCTAAAATCTGGGTTTGGGGTGGAGTTTCATACTGAGTGTCTAGTTCCATTAGCTGTCACGCAGGCACAGCTGAGCTGTGACTGTGGAACAACAACTAGTCCACCGGTGTGTGTGACGGTTTAAGGCTGCACTACAGCAGAGCTGGCCTGACGGCCACATCCTTCACGTCTCCCAGCCCAAACACTTTGGGAGCCCACTGGACTGGAAGAACTCTTAGGTCCCTTTCATCTCTCAGCTTTTGGGTTATAACATAGGGAACATAGGATCCCCCTCGGTTTCCCTTCAGCACCCTCTAGTTTTTCTGACTCTATGATTATTCAAGAGCAAACTGACCAAACTCTCAAGGAGACCATTTATGAAATTTTAACACCTAGGACATGAATTATATATAAAGCCTGAATTGAAGCAAACATTGGGGATTGGGAAGAATATGCTGGAAGGTGAAGGTTGCAGAGTTACAAAGAGACCAAGACAGATAAGTTTGTAAATCCCAATAAAAGAAAGGTTCCTCCGTGGGCCAGGCCCCATGGCTCAGTGGTTAAAATTCCACACACTCCGCTTCAGGAGCCTGGGTTCAGGGGTTCAAATCCAGGGCGTGGACCTACTTCACTCACCAGCCATGCTGTGGAGGTGTCTCACATACAAAAAAAAAAAAATAGAGAAGAATTGGCACAGATGTTAGCTCAGGGCTAATCTTCCTCAAACAAAAAAAGAGAAGAATTGGCAGTGGATGTTAGCTCATAGTTAACCTTCCTCAGCAAAAAACAGAAAGAAAGAAAGGAAGGAAGGAAGGAAGGCAGAAAGAAAGGAAGAAAGGAAGAAGGAAAGAAGGAAGGAAGAAAGTTAGGAAGGAAGTTAGGAAGTTGGAAGGAAGGAAGGAAGGAAGGAAGGATGGAAAAGAAAGGTTCTCCTTGCCTTTAATTCCAGAAAAGGAGTATTCTGGTCTTGCCCTGACGGATTATGGACAGTGGCTAACGCAGCAGGAAGCAGTTTCATTTTGCAGCTGCCTCACTCCTGCCAGGGCAACCTTAGGATGCCAGAGACTTCCAAAAACCTGTCACCTGCCAACTCTCTTTGCGTGATGTGCTAGGGCTTGACATAGGCTGTCCCAGTTCAGTAGGTGATGACTACAGGCATGAGCATTAGCCCCAGAGACTTCCTCGCCTGCCCTTAGAGCATTGCATTTTCCTCTCTGCTATTTAGTATAATCCTTGGACCAGCAGTATTGGCATCACCGGGGACCTTGTTAAAAAGGCAGAGTCTTGGGCTTTACTCCAGATCTTTGGAATCAGGATCTGCCATTTGACAAGATCTCCAGGTGATGTATATGAACATTAAGGTTCAGGAAGCACAAGCTGATGGCCGTAGTCTTTAATCTTTCACATGGTGCAGATAAGAATCAGCAAATGATTACAGGACAGTTAGAGGACAGGAGGCCTCAAATCAATCTAAGATTGGTTTCTCAAAATGGATGATTAAGTATCTCTTGTTTCTGCTGAGCAAAATGCTTCCATCTAATTCTTGCGTAAGTGTCTTGTGTCATCTTCCTGATGTGTTAAATTTCAAGTTGAAATTTGCCATATGCATTATTTGTGATTTAAAGAGTTGATAAGTTCATGCCATTCTTTCATTCATTTCGGCCTTTCTTGTTTCTTATAATTGAGTTTGTGTGATTACAGATGTGCTGAGTTTCTCTCAATTTCTTATTTAGTTTTGATGCATATGATTATTTATTTTGTTTTCCAATTACTCACATGGCTTCCTAATGCAATAGTCTTGAGAATTAAGAAGAGAGAGGTAGAGATAATACTTGAATACTGGTTCATAAAACCATTGGTCCTGTTTTTAGTTGTTAAATCCTTTGAAGAAATGACGTATTTTAGCTGGTATTAATGACATTATTATAGCAAAATGAACACATTTTGTTTCCTGTGTTGGGATACAATGTGTCTATATTTACTATGTCAATTTCCTTCAGCCAAAGACCACCAGGAAGACACCTGTGTTTAAACAAAGTTAAGTTTATTTACTCATTGCAACAATGGAGAATGCAGACCATGAGGAACTGGGGGATCGCTTAGTAAGAGGGTTTTGGAAAGGATTTGTTATAGGATTTGGTCTTATATTAGGTGATTCTGGGGCAAGTCCAAAGAAGGGAAGCTTTGCTTTGGATTGGATGCTGTCAGAAAGTGGAGTGATTCTGTGAGTGAATATCTTCATAATTCTTAACTAGAAGGCAAGAAGAATAGAGTGAAGCTAAAGCTGTGATTGGTAAAGAAGCAGCAATTACTCATATTAGCCAGACTGTGAGGATGGTAACTTTTGTGTTCGTGCATTTGTGTGTTCTGCACAATTACAGAGTGGTCTTGTTTTTGTCTTGATCCATCTTGGTCACTAAGTGGTCTTGTCTGATATTGGTGTTCTTTCAAACTGTGGACTTTCAGCAGGACAACACCACAGCCCAGCTGTGGGAGCCTGGCCAGCTCCTGGATGCCAGGGGCTGCTTTTCTCGTTATTGACCATTAAATATGATTTATCCATACCTTTTGTAAAATTCATTTTGCTTTGGCATTTACTGGATTTGTTTCCACAGTTACTTCATATTCTGTACCAGATCATCAGGATGCATGCTCTCAAAAGGATTTGTGTATTACTTTTGGATATAAAAAGCTATGTGGAAATTCTAATTTGCATGCTGAATATTGAAATCCCTGGGTCATTCCAATAGTTTATGACGAATGGGACAGGGTATTTGGAATGTGGAATATTCCAGGAAATCTGAGAAGTGTAGTCATCAAACATTCCTCCCCAGTGTCAGCCTATTTGCCCTAATCTTTCATTGTTTGGAATTGTATTTTGTCTTAAGCCTTCTCTAAAGTGCGTTTAAGTAGGATTGATTGATTTTGATTCCCTTGGCAAATCCAATTTTCCTTAAAGTATAGAAAGGAAATTATAAAAATCTGCTCTATAGTTACATGCCAGAAGGTAAACCTATTTACAAATTCTGTATTAAAAGGAAGTTGGCAACATTTTAGAAATACTTAGGTACTTGTGACAATCATTCAGAAAAGTCAATCTTTCTGATGATGCAATAGAATTAGTCTTGTGTTCTATTGGAAGGGGCCAGTTGACTATGATTTCTGTGTTATTACAGAGTGAGTTCTAGCAGAGTTCTCAGTACCTTCCACACCCCCCACCAATGCATTGTGCATTTGCATGTATGTGCACATACTTGTTGGATTACTTCTTCACTGGAATAATATAATTTTGCATTTGCATAGTATTTTCTATTAAGAGATTCAAAGGTTGAATATATACCATCATATTGATCCTCCAGAAGTCCCTGGAAGCAAAGAGAGTTATGATTTTATTTATCTTGAGGAGATATGTGAGAGACTTGCCTCTGAATGGATGAAGGAGCAAAAACTAGATTCTCGTTCCTTACCTAATCTTCTGCCCAATAAACCACTCCAAGTTAAAAGTGGGACAATGTCATATAGCTTGCTTTGAAATTTTCCCAGAGCAGCTTTGCAGCAGAGTAAATTAAATGTTCTTGTTAGGGCCAGGTGCCTTCTAGATTTTTAAGAAACATCAAGTGGTCTGTGAAAATGGCTGCCCACTCCTTGAAGTGTGTTCTCATGGTGAATGTAATCACTAATCTGTGAGCTAGGGGGTGAGACAGAGCTGGGTTCATAACCGGCTCAACTGTTTACCAGTTATGTGCTGGTAGACAAGTGATTTAACCACTTAGAGTCTCAGTTCCCACATCTATAAAATTCAAATAATATATAAATTTTGTCATTAGGTTTTATGTCTTAGAAATAATGCATAAGTCACTTAATCTACTTGACAGCCCATAAGGGGTGCCCTGTTGCCATTTCCTTATTACAATGGACTCATGTTGAATGCATCCTCTTCCCACCACCCTACCTATCCCAAACTTCCAGAATTGCTGTAGACACTCAATAGTGACAATAACAGCAACAATAAATTATTTAACTAATAAAAAGAAAGAAAAGAAGGAAGAGAGAACATAAAAATACTCTAAGCTTGTATATATGTGAGCATATCAATTGATTCTTGGGTCTCCATCTCACTTGCATAAAAATGTTTAAGGAGAATGGAAAAGATAAGTGCCTTGTTACTCAAAGAGGCCCTGTAGCCCCGTGGGAAGGGCCTGATGTCCTGTTAACCCCATGGCGGGGATGGTAAATGGTAAATCGTGTCACACGGTCACACTGTTCAGTTAGAGCGGCAGCATGAATCATTCTGTAAACCGGGCTCTGAGGCCCTGCGTAGTCTCGGGGAGTAAAACGATGGTGTGCCCAGCTCCCTGTGTTTTCCATGGGCGTCAGAGGTGGGAGAAGCAGCGTAAATGCTGTGTGTTCATCATCCTGCAGATGAGGCATGTGCATGATTTCTAAAGCCCTTCTATGGCTGGAGCAGGAGGATGGAAGTCCACTTTTTGTTTCCGGCTTGATGATGCCGTCAGTGTTAGGCCTCCTTAATTCACTTGATCATCCTCTTAAAAGTCCATCATTTAGTACCAGGAGGGATTCACATCTCAAATCAAATACGGAAAATGGTTTCTTCATATAACCCGGGATGATTCCGTGTGTTTGTTTCTGTCTTTAGAAAACCCTCCTGCCTCTTCCTCCCCAGCACGTCCAGACAAACTGAGCTTCCCTCCAAATGTTCTGTGACTTGTTACTAAGTCTTCCTTCTGGCGTAATTGTTTCCCCTTGAGCAGTAAAGTTACCATTAGAGACTTCCCCTGATGCAGAGTCAACTGAGGGTGGTCGGCCTCAGTCTCTTCGTGAGAATCCGCTTTGAGAACTGCCTTTAGGAGTTCATCATTCATTATCTTCAGTGTTTAATTCTTTCAGTACTTTGTAGAATTTCAGTGAACTGCAGTGTGTTTTAAGCTCTATAAATTATTTAAAGAGCTGAAAGCTGCAGAGATCGGCGTGCGCGAGGAGAGGTACACGGACTGGTTAGGAAGTTTTGACGACAGGTGCTTTGCTCAGAGTGGTTGAAAAGAGGTTGACCTCTACCTTTAGACCTTCTTGCCTGCCTGTGAGGTTCTGATTAGCATAGATCTGGCCCACCCACCTGGATTAAGCCCCAGAAAGGACAGAGAGTAGGAACAAGTGGTGGTGTTGATGCTTCGAGAGCAGGAAAATAGAATTCAGCATAGCAGATGGTTTACAGATTTACTGTGGCCTCTTAGAGATTTATAGCCTCAGCCTTTAGTTTTGCTTCATGAGCATTTTCTTGCCGGCAATATTTTTACAGATCTCAAGGCCAACCAGAAAGGTATTTTATTTTTCCATGGACTGAAGAAAGCGTTATTTATTTATGTAAATGGTACTGAGAACTCTGTGTGTGGTGTTTATAAATGTTTTTCTCGTCCAGCTACTTATTGAAAGTCCTGTTGCATTTTCCTGTTGCTTCTTCATATATGTTTCTAGGCTTCTCTTTCCACGGCAGGGTGTGACACATGGCAGGTGACAGTGTAATAGAGGAAAAGATTTGTATGCACGTGTACGTGTATCATAAAATAACTAAAGGATCTGTTTGTTTATTCTCATTTATCCTTACTAAGAGCATAAACCACCCAAATGTCAAACTGATCGTTGTTTGTTCCTTGTAAAGCACGTCTTGTACGTTAGTTCTGCAGAGTCTCCAGCAAGTACCGGGCTCTGGGGTAGAGAAACTTTGGAGTGTGTAATGAGCATGACAGACACAATTTCTGTCCTAATGAGGGCTTTTGTCTAAGAATCTATGTTTAAAAAGGAAAGTCTTTCACGTAGTTATTAATATTCATGGATTTGAATAAAATAACATGAAAAATTCTCCATCATTGGAAATGCCTTAGCGTGTGCCATCAAATGTCTCCAGAGCATTTTTATTATGGAATTTGCATCTAATCAGTTTTTAAAAAGTAAAAATAAAATGTACAGCCAACAAAACATAATTTAACAATGTGATTGTAGGAAGTTATGAGCAAATGGTTGTGCCGCTTATTTCCTATTACTAATATTTTTCTCTGAAAAATATCAAAGTAAAATTTAGTTATCATGATTATAAGTCATTAGTGATTTTTTGAAAGAAACTAGTATTGCTTTTCATAACCTTTGACTTGAACTGCCTATTTTACTCATTGTATCAGATTTCTCCTACAACTTTGGGTCCCATTTATGTTCTGTGAAGGCAAGATTAGAGATGGTGCTTAATGTCGGAGAGCTGGAGCGCTTCATCCACTCAAGTGAGCATAGGTGACAGGAGATGTTTGCCTGTAAACAACGTTGCATGGTAGCATGTGGAGTGTCTGAAAAATAGAAGGGTTCAGCCCTAACCCTTAGCTATGTATCGATTGTATGGCTGGGGTAGACCCTCAAAAACCAAGGATGCCTCACCATTTCATGCATGTGCTCTGGTATAGACGTGCGTATACAAGATTTTGTAAAGAAATCAAGAGCTGTTGATTTTTAGAGAGCTCCATTTTTGACACTGTCCTCTCCCCTGACGTATGTTGCTTCAGAGTCAAAAACTCTTGTATAAGCCATGAATGAAATAGGGGTGGTGTGCTTCCTGAAGCTCCCCAAACAACATATGTCTGCCATCCAGTGGTGTTTGTGTGTTTTCAGCACTCTTGTTCTTCATTACTCAACTCTCAGAAACAGAAATATCAGGGACCAAGTCTGTTGGCAAAGGTTTTATTTTGATCTTAAGTATATTTGAGAAAATATTTGGAAGTTAGAGGTCCCTGACAATGTGGAACTTCCAGACATAAGCCACAATTGCCAGAAGATGAGGTAAGGACGGCTTCTTTCCCCAGAAGAGTGCCTTCTTGGACAAACTTGAGGGAAGATGGCATCCCAGCTTGGAAACTCCAGAATGGAAGGGAATTGTAAATATGGAAAAGAAGTAGAAAGAGAGTGAATAAATATCATCTCTTAGGACAAAAAGTACTGAATATAAGAAAGTTGGTCCAATGTCACTGAATGGAAGGAAAATGTGGGAGTTAGGATGACATCAAGACAGTCGTGGCATTTTTCAAAAGGAACAACATAAATAAGTCAAACTATTAATTCACAATTTCTTACCTAGTATGAGAGGGTCAAATACAAGTTGGTCAAGTTTTCCTAATTTATTTAGTAGTAGGTAGAGCTGACTTTGCTGGAGCCATGACATGAAACTGGCTTAAAGCCAGCCTGAGATCAACAACTGCCAGCATTTTTGTCCCTTAAAAGATTAGTCATTTATCTCACCCTTTAAAATTATAGCCGGGCTAAAGAAAAGTTTACATTACGAAGTAATGGATTTACTCTCAGAATGTTTGCATATTTCAACTCTTAGTATTCTTTCTGTTTTTGAAGATTTTGCAAAGCAATAGATCCACCTTCACAAACTGGAATGTATTTCCTGCCTCTTCAGTATGTGGTACAATGTAAACTGCCTTCTCTGTCTGCCAGAGTGTGTCACAGGCCTGATGTTGTCTTTCTTACAGCTTCAACTAGCAACGGTTCGAAATCATTACATTGTCACTGAATTACAAGTAACCCTGATGAGTAAATTTCCCTGTAAGCTCCCGCCTTTTTAGTTTATTTGAAGGGGCAAGCAAAGTAACATCTACCTCATAACCGTTCATGCTTTCTCTACACCTCTCGTTACCACAGTGACAGCTGTTCGTGCAGAAAAGAGAGCATTTTTATTTTGATGCTGTTTTTGCTTGCAGATTCAACTCATGTGAACATGAAAATTATCTCTGTATTAAAACTAATCTTTATTTTTAAGGGCCACCCTGCCTTCTTTATTTCATGTAGAGTATGAAAGTTATCTTTAAATCCACTTAGATTATAGGAGGGCTCATGGCTCCCCGGGGGAGCAGGAAGGAAAGCTGCCTCTAGGAAACATGGCGGGAGGGTTCGTGCAAGAGGAGAGGATGGGTCTTAACTCTGCCGTTCCTGGTCCTGCTGATGGAATGGAAAATATGACAATCCCAGTGTGTGACCACTGGCAAATGTCTTCACTGCTGAGAATTGCAACTTCATTATGTAGAGGATGGAGGTAATACCCCATTATCTGTAAAATGGGGATAATGTCAACTTCACCTATTTCTCAGGGACTTAAGAGGATTAAATAAACTGATATATGAGAAAATCTTGTGCAAACTGTAAAGTGCTGTCCAAACCTAAGGTATCATGACAGTAACTTTTACTAAGTAGAAAGACTAAACGGCAGACTTTGTGCAAATAGCCTCCATGTGGCTGCTGTTTCCTTCGCTGGAAATCTCTCCCCAATTTGCCATCTGACTTCACTTATGTTTACACTCTGAAGCTCTTTGATTTAGAGTTGGCACCACTTCCTATGCTCGCACCACCCTGGAGGCCAGTGTCGGGGCTCGTTGTGTGAAGGCCCTCAGTTCCGGGCAGGAAGGACTGGAGGCAAGTCTTAGTGATTGCTTACACTCTAGTGACAAGCCCCACAGCCCACAGCCAGAACTCCCTAGCAACCACACAGCTGTCCTTCTGCAGCCAGTATTAGAATATGTCATGAAATCTTTTAAAATTATCAAAATTAACATCTTTTCTTTTGTTTTATCTTTTCTTTTAAAAGCAACTTATGATGTTTTCTCAAGCCCTGCAACATCAGATGCGCCTGAACTGTCAGAGCCCCACACAGGTATACCCGGCCTCTCAATTATTTCTTTGGATGCCAAGTGTTCTAACAACACTGCCGAGTTCTCCCTGCAATTTTTGCAGAGTGAACAAGCGCACTCTCTAGACCTGTGCAGGGAAGAAATGGCAGCCTGCGTCAGGGAAATGGATGCGACCCACTCCTCCTACTGAGCCATTATTTCTTTACCTCCATCAGTACATAAGCTCGGCCACGTATGGGACATGCACACCGAGTTGGTCACCGAAGCAAAGTCATGGAATGGCCTATTGCTTTACTGTTCAGAATCATTCTAAAAAGATTTTAGATTGCTAGAGAACTTTCTCTAGAGCAGTGCTTCTCAGATGGGGGTGATTTTGCTCTCTTCTCCCCACAGAGGCCTTTGGCAACGGCTAGAAACATTTTTGGTTGTCACAACTGGGTAAGGTGCCACTGACATCTAGTGGGTAGGGCCAGGGATGCTGCTAAACCCCCACCATGTACAGGACATCCCCCATAACAAAGAATGATCCAGCCCTGAATGGCAATAGTGCTGAGGTGAGAAATCCTGCTCTAGGGCGCACATCATTCTTTGGTCTATAGAAGCTCAGTTGGAACTAATCTTTGACGTCACTTACTGGTCCACCTACAGTGAGTTTAACTCAGTTCAACAGTTCCTTTTAGCAAGTGCTTATTAAGCACCTGCTAAACTAGGTACTGTGGGAGGTTCAAGGTGAATAAGACAGGCCTCTGCCAGACACAGATAGTTGTCTGATATTTTGTGTATGTGTTACCTTATCCCAGCATTATTGTGCCATGGTAAATAGAGGCAAAGAATTTTAAACAGCAGCAGAAAATAAGAAAAAAATGAAATAGAACACCGAGTGGATTCAATTTCACAGTTAAGAAACAGAAGGAAGAAACCAGAGAAACCAGTTGAAAGCAAGTTGAATATATGAAGCACTGTTTTATCATGATTTCTAATGTTTAAAGTATGTTTGTTTTTAGAAGTGGGCTCATCTTCATCTCCTAATGAATCACTAGTTTAAAAATATTGGTCAGCAATCTCTCAAGTGTTCTTGGTATTTTTCTCCATATGAGGTTTAATTTATTACTCTTGAATTTGCATTTTATTCCTGGGGCCTTTTCCTGCTTTTATAAATGTTGACGTTTATTCCAACAGCAACAAGTGATCCATTTCTGGATTCTGTCCCACCTAAAACTTCTAGAACTCTTGAACAGCCAAGGGCAACACTCGGTAATGTTTTTAACAGAAAAATCATACTTTGTTTTCCATCAAAAGAAAATCCATGTGAATGCCTTTCTTCCAAATGACCATTTCATTCCATCACATCTAATCATTTCTTTCTTTCCTATTTCTGAATATATATTTATATTTTTTTTCCTGAATGCAGGCATCTTATGTTCCATTTTGGGCTCACCACTCTCTCTCTCTTTTTGTTTTTAACTGTAATAGTTGATATTTTCTCCATCCTTAAAGGAATGACAAGCTTTGAAAGCTGCATGGACATCTCCATCATCCATACCATCCCATCTCCTGTGTGTGTGGCCTGTGTCATCTCCCTTCCATGCATTGAGTCTGCCTGGAGTGAGCTACTGAATAATTATCACTCCGATCTTTTTCCCACTTTAAATCATCATTTCACCCACCAGCTTTCAAGACTACATGCATTTTTCATCCTTAATCATGTATTTGCAGCATGTGCTTTGCAACACCATCTACAAGCATGTTAAAACTCTTAAAATACCTCATTTTAACTGGAATTACTTGGTGGGATGGGATGTTTGTGTTTTCAGCTCCCAGTGAAACACCATTTGTTCCGCAAAAACTGGAAATCTTTACCAGTCCTGAAATGCAACCTACAACACCTGGTAATAATGACATTTGTAAAGTTGTGTGCTTTGTATGAACAGATAAAGCGACAAAGAAGAATCAGTCCTGTTGGCTTTTGGGGAATATTTTCAGTAGTAAACATTTCTGTTCATTCTCTGCCATGAAATTCTTCAAAGAACTAGCTTAATGATCACATTTAGCCTTGTGATAATCCTCAAAGAATTTCCATAGTCTTGATGTCATTATATTTTGAAGAATTATTTCCTTTCTATACGACTTTCCAATTTGCCAACCAGAAAAGAGTAGCAGAATTATAGATGATAATTATGTTAAAATATATTCCCTTCTATTTAGCACGTTTAGATATCAGTTGGTCAGAGTATTTTTCTGAAAGTAGTCTAAGTATAAAGAACACCACATGGGCTCTGCGATCTGGATGTGATGAAGAAAGATGGTAAAAGAGAGGGAACACAACCTGCATTTTATAATAGAAAGTTTCTGGAATAATAAAGTTCATTAACTCCTGGTAAGGTTAGCAATGTGCCAAGAATTAAAGATCTGAACTTTCCATTCTTTAAAGCCCAAGTGTTTTGTTTGTGCTTCTGCCCCGCTGTTTGGTAAATCGTCTTTTGAGTTCTTAACTGCCTTGTGTTCTTAAATCCCTCAAGAGGCTCGCTTTCCAGTACATTTAACTGAACAACATGCCTTCAATTTTCATATAGAAATTTCATCCCTTTTGGCCCAATCAACACGTATTTATCACGCACCTACTATATATAAAGCATGATGCCCCACGTTGTGGGGATACAAAGAAACAAACAGCAGCTTTGGTACTCAAGAAGTTTACAAGTTTACTGTTACAACCTGATCGACCCCTGAGAAATGCCATTTATCAAAGCTGTATTTAATCTTCTTTCAGCTCCCCTGCAAACTACGTCCATCCCTTCTACACCTAAACGCCGCCTCAGGCCCAAAACACCAAGAACCAAACCTGGTAAATAACTGTCTCTGGATCCTTTCAGGATATTTTTTTCCTAATAACCTTCATCTCCTTATCATAAAAAGAAGTGGTGTGGTTCTTTAGGGTAAAGTTTCCTTACAAAATTTGAAATTAACCGAAGATGAATAATTAATGCAAAATGACAAGAATTAAACATTTTCAATAAGACTTGATCGAAAATTATGTAAGTGATGTTCTTACATGCACATTTTGGTATAAACATAGAAACCAGTCCTACTGTCACGGCGCACAGAGCAAGCTGAGCAGTGTGATTCATTTTCTTGGTATGCATCTATGTTTAAGTGTTTATGAAGCAGACACTTCTTGTTTTGGGTGCCTGCTGTGTTTCCAGTTTTGCACAAGGGCAATGGCTGAGATGGACAGGAGATGACTCCGGCTTTCCGACTGCTTATAATCTTAAACAGATAATACATCATGAACAATGAGAGAGCAGCATAAGATGGTATAATCTGCTTGTGAGACTAAAATACTTGTGTAGAAGCTCAGAAACGACAGTGAGTTGAGAATGCAAGTCTCATAATTTGTGCAGAGTTTAGACCGCGGAAAAGGAGAGCGGAATGACATGAATTGCAATACAGCTCCGGTGGTGGAGGTAGCTTATCCACCTGGAGGTGATGCTCTCCATTGTCAATAACATACTCAGAATCACTCTCAACGAACAAGTTTTGCTTATTTCATTGTAGCATAAATTCAATTTTTATAGCCTATACTATTATAACTGAGTTTAAAAGTTCTTTCCCAAAACTTTCACTCACTGCACACTTTGTAAACACTGACAACTAAATATGGCAGAATTTTAAAAGGGTCATTCAGTTGCTCTTTGAAGGATATCTTTTGTTGTCTCTAGGAAATCTTAATATTTTTTTTCCTTTCCATCACCAGAAAGAACCACAAGTCCTGGAACAATTGCATCTAAAGTTTCTAAAAGTTTTGAACCTACACGGACAACGCTGGGTAATGATATGTCCTTAGTAGATGTGTTACTTCATTTCACCATGGAAATCAGAGCCCCAGGTTTTCTGTAATGTCTCAACCAGTGTTCAATTGGATCATTTCAACAATACTGAAAATCCCATAGAATACATCAACTCCATGGCTTTCCTGGTTTTGAATAGCTGGCCCTGTAGCCAGCAGATCTGAACTCAGCATTCAGACATCATCCTGTACCTAGGAAAGCTGCTAAACCACTGCTGCTTTCTCATCCTCTACCCAACTGTTGAATATGAAGTTGAGCCTTATATACTGTTTTCCATTTTTTTGAGTAAGGCCCCCAAGTTCACCTTCAGACTTCATTTGGAAAAAATGACTTTCTATTATGGTGTTAGTAGAATTTTTTATGCTGCCAATCATGGCATTATACCTGTCAGTGAATATTATTTTTAAAAAATGTCTTTTTTCTGGTGCTTAAAGACTTAGACGTGGCCGAGGAATGTGAAATAAGGGGGCAAAATGATGACAATGATTTTTTTTTAAATCATGCGTTCAGATCACTTACTTTGTGTAGTTATTGTGACTACTTAGCGGCAATGCTGTTTCTCTTGAAATGTTTTTTTCAAACCGTATGAAAATTTATCACTGTATTTCCATTAAATGCTGCTCTGTGAAATATTCTTTTAATGGAATATTTCCAAAATCTTCCAAGATGATGGTTCATTCCGCTTACAGTATAGGTTTTCCTTTCGTGGTTTTAGACACTGAAATGCCTAAATATTGATTTGTTGATTATTTTGTTTCTTTATTTTTCCAGCTCCCAGTAAAACACAATTTATTTCTTTGAAACCTAAAATCCCTGTCAGCCCAGAAGTGACTCACACCAGACCCGGTAATTACCCTGAATTCTTTACTGATACTCCAAAAGCAGGTTGAGAAATTGTCTTATGCCACTCTTTGCAGCAAGAACTTCTGATTTCTATTTTGGTATTTGATACATTTTTCCATGAAAAGTGCAAAAATGTGATGAAATGATCTCATTATAACCAGGCCCTCTGATGTTATCACAGCATCACTCTGAGCTGTGTCAGATGATTATGTTCATGACCATCACAGAGAAAATATAGAAATATAGCGATGTGAGTGACTGAGGACTCCCTTGTCCAGGACTACGAAATAGTTTCCAATACCAAAGTTGACTGGAATTCTGATCACACTGAACAATAGCCTTTTAGCTGGAAAGGGAAGAAGTGTTTCCAGCCCCTAGGAACGCTCTTTTTGGGGGACTTCTCAGTCCTCAGGGTGCAAGACTGGAATGGGTTGTATTTTCCTAACGCTTCATGCCTTCTTTTTAAATTGGGGCTGATTTCTGAACACTGACTTCTGTTTACTTCTCAGGAGACATTAATTCTGTTTTGCTGATGAAAAAAAGGCTCTTTTGCAGGGAGGGGTTGATCTGTACATATAATTGAGAACAGAAAACTTCCTGCATAAGGATTGCGGGACATACAGAAGAACCAAACCTTCATTTCTTCTATTTCTTCAGAATCTATACTTAAACGCCGTCTTAAACGCTGACTGACAAGATTATGTATGGGGAATTTTGTCACTACTCATCATTTTTATCTAAATTTTAAACCCTTAGTTCAGGGAAGAATATATTTCTCACTATCATGGTCAATGGGTTTTTCATTAAAGCATGTTTACAAAGTAGGATTGTTAAAGCAAGAGATTTTCTGCTTTGGGGCATGATCTGAAATGAAATGAGTAAGAAAGAAAAATGTAACTGCTCAGAGAGAGCATTCTCGTGCCTCCCTTTAAGAGGGCCGTGAGATTTCCACTTGCAGGTGTCAGACTGAAGGAAACTGAAAATTAGGCAAAGGGAGTGTGGTTGATGCTGGGACCAGGGGCGAGGTCTCCAAGTCAGAGAAATGGAATGAGCAGGCTTACTCAGAGAGGCTGTTTGGAGAAAGAAGCATAACTAATAAAACTCAAGAGCCCTCACAGTTTAAATCAAAGAACTCTTTGATTTTAAGTCAAAGAACTCTTTGATTTTAAATCAAAGAACTCATGAACAGTTAGCTATATGAGAGGAGGATTTAGTGTACATTTATTGAAATCATGCTGAGAGGACTTTGGAGTAAGGCTGTAACTATTATATTTATGCTGTATTTTGAATAGAGAGCTATTACCAAGCAGGTCGAGAAATAGTACTGTATGCTTAGGTCACCAAATATAAACAAATGTTTCTCCAATCTAATTATTTCTGTTACTGCAAGATAAAATTTGAAAACATCAAAAAAAAGTCTCCAAATGTTGATTACAATTTACACATGATAAGTTACATTATTGATTTCAGCGGTTTTTAAAAAAAGTTTTCTGAGAGGAAATTCATTAGTAGAAATAAGGGTGGGAGGGTGTGTTCTTATCATTCTAAGCTGTTTAAGCAAAGAGACTTCTTAATGTGACATTTCCTTTTAAAATGTGGAAAATTACTTGGAAACTAATGAGTTTTTATTCCTTTGATTTCCACCTTCTAATCACCTAAGACTGTCCACACCTTTTCCCCCAACAGCAAGTATAACCACTCTAGAATCTGCTCGTAAATTTTTGCCAACTCAAGTTGACCGTGATTGGTGTAAGGCGGCGCAGTAATGACCGGACCTCTGCAATCCATTGCTTGGCTTTTAGCTTTGTAAAACATTCATTTTTATTTTAGGGCAGACCACCATTATAGTTCTGCTGAAGATTTCTCTTTCCAGCCAAGGTTCAGGAGAGCAAATAAACCACCAAAAGCCTGTTGATTGGAGTGACTCATTGCCTTTCCCAGCCCTCTCCTCACACTCTCCCATTTTCCCATTCCACTTTCCATGCAGCCTGCTTTTCCTTTGGTTTTCCTTTGGTTTTCCTTTGTGGTTAAACTAACAAGTAAAAACCCACATTGGTTTTGGCTTGTTTTGTAAGCAGAATCCAGTGCTTTCTTGAAAATCCGAGCCATCTCCCACATCCCAAGTTGCCTGCCTCAACCCAGAAGAATTGTTTCCTTCATAATTTATCTTTAAGATTGTGATGGCATTCGACTCTTCAAGCTTTCAATGGAAAAAAAGGAGAGATTTCACAGGTGTTGGTTTCACGCAGCTCCATGACATGCTGGATGGAACTGTCAGTTATCCTCAGTGCTGACCACAGATCCATGAGCGGGCTGTGGCTGTCTTTCTTTTGTGCATGCCACTCAGCTTTTTTATGGCACAATTTTATACCTTTATCCATAACACCTAAGACTGTCCAATAGAGGAAGTCTTGTCAGAAGATGTATTTGCTTTTAATAAACACTGACTTTAATATTTTTTTTTTTTAAAGATTTTATTTTTTTCTTTTTCTCCCCAAAGCCCCCCGGTACATAGTTGTGTATTCTTCGTTGTGGGTTCCTCTAGTTGTGGCATGTGGGACGCTGCCTCAGCGTGGTCTGACGAGCAGTGCCATGTCCGCGCCCAGGATTTGAACCGACGAAACACTGGGCCGCCTGCAGCGGAGCGCGCGAACTTAACCACTCGGCCACGGGGCCAGCCCCTGACTTTAATATTTTTATATGCAGGTGAATTAGAAGCATAATGGATGGGACTCCATACCTATTTGGTCTCGGTCTCAGTCAGAAACTCAAAAAATGTAGATTTTTCTTTATAAAATTCAACATACAGCATTCTTTAATCTTTGTAAAGGCTAAGAGATGCTATGAGTAGCAAATCTTACTTATTTTTTCACTCTTTTAGAAGGCAACTTTGTAGAAATTAGAACATGAGTTACAACCTTGAAGTTTTAAAAGAATTTTTGTTGTTTTCTATTTTCAGATGTGGATGCTTTTTGACATTTGTTATATTTAATGTACTGATATTTACTCTTTTCCCTTTCTCCTATAGAATCTGAAACATCCGGGCTCCTCTCCCTGTCGGTCTCTCTCTTTCACACAAACACACACACACTGTTTACCTTGTTATGTGTACTTCGATCTGATACATCTCTATGGCTTTGCCATTCATCTCTTATGATCTATGTCTGGGCAAGTTCTTGAGAAATCAGAATTCCTTTGTGGCCACAAATGTGCTAAGGAATGATGCCACCTTTCGGGAACACCTTATGCTATTATGCATTGCTTTCAGAATAATGGAAAATTCTCTATCTGCATTATTTGTTGTTATATTTTTCTTTTTTTAGTTGCTAAAGAGCCATTACTTGCTCCTTAAAACTTTCCACCTTCCCTAGTTCAGAAATATTAGAGATAACTCCCAGTAAATGTAATGTAAGAAATGTGTAAGCGGCAAAATTATTTAAGTTCTGCTAAGCTGGTCAGTGGGTCCCATATTAATTAATTTCTTTCTGTAAGACAAAAAAGTCATAGAATCTTTACTTTTTCTTCTGTTTCAAAAATTGGGTTCCAGGCTGGCCTGGTGGCATATTGGTTATGCCCGTGTGCTCCACTTCGGCAGCCCGGGCTTTGCGGGTTCAGATCCCAGGTGTGGACCTACACACTGCTCATCAAGCCGTGCTGTGGCAGCATCCCACATACAAAATAGAGGAAGATAGGCACAGATGTTAGCTCAGGGTCACTCTTCCTCACAAAAACAGAAAGTTGAGCTCCATTTTTATTTTCTTCTTGAAAGAAAAGAATTCTTTTTGTTCTGTAGCATCAGAAGCTCCTGGATGCTCTTCTTTTAAAAGCCCAAGGAGATATGGTAACCAAACCATATTCAGCATGCCCTATAATTTACGTACTGCCAATTTGAATGACATTGGAGGGTTTGTTATCTGTCAGACTATTTAAATAATATTGTTACTGAGTTTATTGTTTCATGAATCTGAGACTGTTTTTTGACTTCTGTTAAATTTATTAAACAAAATGGACTAAATTTGATGTGTAAACCAACTTGTTCACCAGCAGTAGATGCTAGTAAATATGGGGAACCCCAGACAATGCTGTGGCCCTTTTTAGACCATAAGTTCAATTCCTATTCTTCATGAAAGAATATTGGATCCAGCCAGCTGAAAATCATCCAGAGCTAGCAGAGCTCAGACGTGGTCACAGGTCTGATGGAGTTGTTTCCCCCGCCTGCTTCCGTGGTTGACCCTGACTGTTTGGCATGAAAACAAAATGGCAAGTTACAGGACACTCCAGACAACCTAAGGGGGGCTCCCTTGACCTCCCTCTGAAGTGGTGTCTCCTCAGGCCCTGGGAGTAGTCTTCAGAATACTAGGAATGGGGGAAATAGCTAAAGATCAGCAACAAAAATTAGAATTCTCAATTCTTACTTTCATTGTGTGTGTGGAGAGGATTTGGGGTAACTGAGCTTTACTGTCTTAAGCCAATAGAACCTGATTGTTCACGCGAGAGGACACTTTTTGTGGTGAAGGACATTTCATCTCTGTCCCAGAATTGCCTTTGATAAAACTTGCTTTTCCTGCAGCCCCAAAACCTCAGACTCTACCACCATCACAGTCAGCACTAGGTGGAGAACTTTTCTCTAGTGAGTGAAAAAGAATTATCTTCCTTTCTCACTCTCTATGTTCAACTTTGTCCTCAGCTTTGGCTTTTTAAAAAGTTATTTCTTAACTGTCCTTCAGACCTTTCTTTCAGTCATTTTTGCCGGAAGATACACTCTCTGCTTGTGCCTGACTGGGCTCTGAGACAGCCCTGAAGGCCACGCTGATTTCGATTTGACACGTTCTTTATTGTCCCTCTTATATTTGAGGAATGTGCCCTGAGCTTGTTTTCACCCAGTTCTTTCCAGTGGAGGACCACAGCTCTCGAGGACATGTCTGTGCTTTCATGTTTGGCGGTATTTCTCTGACTTTCGAAACTCTAACGTTTGCAGATTTTCTTGAAAAGCATTATGGTCTTTCCAGATCTAAATATCCTGATGTGTCACTAGGAAATTCATTAAAAGAGAGAGATAGAAAATCTAACCTCAGTCTTTATAGCTCCTTTTTCTTCAGGAGAGCAAAAAATGTGTTCCACTGGTGCCATCTTAACCAATGACCCATATTTTCCTTCATACCGTGGACTGTTAGTTACTTTACTGCGTTCACATCTTCCAAATGAGAATCATGCCTTTTGGTTTCCATTTCTCTTTCCAAATTTAACTGACTGGCTAAATTTTTGTTCATTTTGTCTAAACACACAGGAATCTATTTAAATTAAAAAGGAATTTCTTATGTGGACAAAATTTCATTGCTTATATTTGCTCATTTTAGTAATGAAAAATTAAGCCTCTTTCATATTTAAATAGATTTTATCAGTTTTCCTCTGATTTGCATTCCTTCTTGATGATTTTTCATGCAGTCTTAGGACCTGGAACACTGGCAACAAAACCTTCAACGACAACATTAGGTAATGCAGTTACTGTGTGACTGACCTGTGCTTCCTCTTTTCCTGACGGCTGGTATCTTTATTAACATTTATGTGTGTGTTCCTTTTCTGCTTCCAGAGAAAATTTTTAAATCCTGTAGTTTTATGACTTATATCTTATTTTTTAAAAGTTGCCTTCCCTGAGATAATTTCTGAGTTCAAAGCCTTTTTACACGTGTTGTTGATTTGTGAATTTTCTAATGCTAAGTGAAAAAACTTTTCCTATCAAATCTTAGGTCAAATAAATTTTAATTTTTACCACGAGTGGCTTCTTAAAAGTAACTTTTCTCTTATTGCTTTCGAACACACGCCTTTAATTTTATGAGCCTGTCTTCTCTAAGCTGTACAAAGTTCCGAGTCTTCCATCTCAAAGTGGAAGAATAGAGAGAGCTCTTGAACAGTGATTGCTTATCAATCTTTGACAAGAAACAATACTATTGAAGACCTCATTTAACTGGGTGAATTATGATAGAAAGTTGCAAAGCAGAAGGATACGCATCCACAAGAAGTCAAAGGCTTGAGTGGGCATCTAAGATGCACGTGGGAGTGATGTCAGTTTGTAGCGCTACAGCGCCTGTGTTAACTAGCTAATTTTCTTCCTTCAGCTCCACCAAAGACCAAACGGCCAGGTCGTCGCCCCCGCCCTAAAACCACACCTAGTCCGGATGTGCCCAAGTCCAAGCCTGGTAAATGTGATGTTCAGGGTTCCAATTAACATAGAAAGTGGCATATGGCAGCTTCTGATACAGTGGCTACCTACTACCTAAAGATCTCAGCTTTGGGACCAGTGTAGCTGATTTTTGTACTTAGTTTCTATATTCCTGTTATGTGAAGATTTGTTTATATCTGTATTTGTAGTTGTTAGGTACGCACAGCGGTAAGCTGGCTCACTAAGTGGATTATTCAAGTTGGGCACCCTGAAAATCTTACCTGGGCCGCATGTTCATGGCAGAGGAGGCGTGGGAGGCAATAGGGGAAAGAGGGAGAAATGGGCGAGTAAGAGGGAAAGCACATTCAGAAAAAGTGCACACTGTAAGCAAAGACTGAGTGACATTTCCTTCCTCAAGACGCCGCTTCTTGCTATAATTCGTGTTTTTGGTTTTTTGCCTCTGTAGCTCTGGAGCCGGCTACGGTGCCCCCGGAGTTCTTGGTGCCCACAATCGGTAATTCTGCTCTCCCCCAATTGCTTTCCCCCGTCGTCACCTTTGCTTTCGCTGCTCCCCACCCGGGCATGCCTGTGGTCCTCCCACACCATCCCAATTCCATTCCATGCCTCCCCTCACCTTTCCCCTCTCCGTCGGAAGAGGCTGGAGATAGGAGACTGCTGAGAATCCTTCGTGCTTGCCAGTTAGGGAAGGTCTGTGGTCCTGGTTCTCCACAAACCCTCTGTCCTTCCATCACATGTCCTGTGTTGAGAAAACCGTCTACTCTTTCTCAGGCGGGGCCCTCTGTACTCATCCTGGACTTGATGAATGGCAAAATTTCATTCCACCGTCATGATAATCATTTCATTGCTTTGCTCATTCAACTTTAAGACTTTCTCCCTTTTAAAATGCTGCATGAAATGATGGCTTCTTCAGCTTTTCCGTTTCTTTGAAGAATGTTTTTGAGTATGTTTTGATAACTAAATGCACAAATACTGTGTTTGGTCTAGGGTCCAATGTAAAAATAGTAGGATCTTTGTTGTAACTGGAGAACATTAAATGTCCCAAGCTGGTTTTGTTATTTTTAGTATTAATACTGTTTGATTATAATTACTTCAGTAAAATTTCTCAGCATTCACAATAAATCTGTCACTGCTTTACTTTAGAAAATTCCAGAAATCAGTAGCCATGTAATATTGTGTATAATTTTAAGAGTTTATGGATTATTTTCCAGGTCTCCTACTAAGCAAGTTTGAAATTTCTACCTTACTGTTTTTATACCGGAAAAACTTATCAATTAAGAAATTGAACTATTATAATGTCTTTTTTGAAATTATTCATATAGAAAAAAGATTTATTTTGGTTCTTGTTATTTTTGCTCAAAAAAGTCTTTCGAGCATTTCTTGAAGATTTTTTCCTGTCAGAAAAGTTGGTGGAAATGGGCACACTCCCCACCCTGCCCACACCCCAGGAATTAATTTTATTGTAAATTCACTGAATTTTTATAGTATCTTTGCTCAAGCATATGTGTCTATAATTATGACAGTCACAGCCATGACCATTATGCTAATTTTTAATACCTTTTTATTTAGTGTCAAAACCTCCCAAAAGACCTAAAACCACATATAGACCAGATGCACCTCAAATCCAGCCTGGTAATCACCACTTTCCTTGACCTTTAACTAGGAGATGAGTGTGTAAGTAACGTTAATCTGTAGCATTCACAGCTCTGGGATGACACTAATTATAGCAGCTCTTTTTCTTCAGATTCAAAACCACCAAAGCAATTATTTCCTAAACACCAAACCGCAGCAAAACCAGATATGCCACCAACTAAATCCGGTAAACAGAATTTTTAGTGCTTTAGTTTAAGAAGTTTTCTCTTTGGAAATGTTGCTGAAAATGTTTACGATTCGTCATATATTAAGCATAGAAACCGAAACGCTACAATTTTGTTCATTATCTTCTTAAAGTGGCCTCACTGTTTTAAGTGCTAAATGATCAAATCAGTGTGTGGGAAATTAGTAAATTTTACGTCTGATTGTCTGACAGATTCCATTCTCTTAAAGCATGTTTAGGCTTTGTTTTCTGAATTCTGATTTGTAATAAATAGAAGCCTGATTTTTCTGTACCTGGAACATTTTTTTAAGTGATTTTAGCAGCCTCCACCAGGCAGCACTGGGGAGGCTGCCATTGGGTTCTTCCTTGATTAGAAACAACTGAAAAAGACTTGATAATCAGGGATTAACTTCTTCTACAACACCGTATTGCCATTTGAAACAGTAATTTTTAACTAAGAGATTTCCTACAAAATAAAATATTTATATATTAGTTCTTAAAATTCAACTGTTTTGCAATTGAAATGTTCTTCTAAGATTCCAATTAGTATCAAATTCTAATTTACTAAAAGAGCATCTCTCATAATAAATGAGCCTATCAAGAAGGCAATTTATAACAACTTGGAATAAACCATGTTCTGCATCCTCTGAATTAAGCATCAATGAACACCTAAAAGGTTAGACTTGCTCGCTTTTATTACTTCTATCTGTTTATTTTTCATGATGCAGTCTTTGAGCCTGTGACATCTGAGACTGAAACTCCTTCCATCACCATAGGTAATGATGTCTTCTTCCTTCTTGGTCGATATTTCTGTGATCTTGCCCCTCTCATCTCTGTCATTCTCTGTATTGTCTTGTGTAAACACTTGTCGTTCCTCATCTTTTTCATTCATTCCCAACAATCGTTTACTATTTTCAACAGGGTCCTTTTTAACATCGAGTCAGGCATTCTTACCCCTGCAGCTCAGCTTATCCCCCTGGATGCTATTCTTTCTTTGGTCACCCTCAGAGGCATTCAGATTGCTTCAGCAGCTGATGCTGTCAAGAGTCACAGGCACATTATCCATCCACGCTTAAACCAGGAAACTTTTGAGATCTCTGTTTTTATGTGTGTATAATTTATGGATGTGGGAGAGGAGCAATGAAAAAGCTGAGATGATACGTAATTCTCTCTTTCCCACAAAAGTCTTTTCTTCCTTGATTCCATACTGTTCAAATACATGTGGACCTTTCTGTTGACAAATTCATCTTGTGATGCTGAATTCCAAACAAAAGAGGGGCAGCCCTTTTTTTGTTTGAAGGCAGTCAGCTTTGAATATTGTTTTCATCCTGTCGTCCTCATTTGCTCCATCTCTTCTGTATACCATATTTTCCATTAGTTCAGAAGGTGTTCTCAGGTGTGGCTTAAACCAGCTTTGTGCTGTGATGTCTTGAACAGTTAGGGAAAGGCAATTTCCATAAAAATGCTTACAGGGTTTTTCATGATTATATGTTTTAATATTATATTTAATCTTTTGGATTTAATGAAAAATAAATCTAGACACTAATTTAAAACCAAGGAGTTGTAATTCTTAATCTCATACCTATGCATAATTTAATCATTTCAGAATATATTATAGAATTATAGGAATCTTGTTCATCTAGACAAAAAGTCAAATTATCGCTTTTCTGACTTTTTTCATAATCATCTCTGTTCCTCACTTAAATAATTATCTCCTAATTATCTATTTGAAATAAATGAATAAGTAAGGAGAAAGAGTATTAAATTTGTTATGGAGAAAAGGCACAAGTTTATCTTTTGCATAACTGTCACAGGTCTCCATTAAATAGACTTACAAAGAACATTTTTAAAATTTCCCTCTCTGCCACCATTCCTGCAAATAAATATTAATAATGGTAGTGAAAGCCTTTCAAATACTAAGAGAAGCTTTCATAATAATTTTTCAGAGTAATTTAAAATACATGTCAGATAACTAAGAGATTTTTTTGGAGCCAAGTTTCCAATAGAGTTGGAGTCAGATAATTAAACACAGAAAAAAACTTTTCATTGGGCTCACAGTGATGCAGAGTGCGCAGAGTGTGGCTATTTGGTGAGACAAACGGGTATCAGAGGACAGCCAGTTATTAGTAAAAATACAAATTCTATTTTTCCAGAGTTCAGAGATGCTTTTTAAACATTACAGGGCTGAGAAGCTTCATTTTCAAGATAATTTTCTTTCTTTTCCTATGTTTCTTAAATCTCCATTGTTTATTGTGTTGTTTTTGGTCAGTTGCTGCCACAGACATTGACCTTGTGACTGTAAGAACTGAGGCTCCCAGGACAACATTGGGTAATGACCTTTCATGTCTTTGAGCAAATGCGTTTCTACTCATAGACTGTCTAGTCTATTCCATTACTATCTCGGTCAAGGGGCTCTCTCTTTCAGAAGATTTTCTCTTCATCTTCTCTTGTCACTCAACTATATTCTCCATTTTGAATGTATTGAAGTTGTTTAAAACAAGTTGGTTAGAATATAAGCTTGTGTGCAGCTGGCACCGAGCGTCTATCTCCCATATCATCCAGCATGATTAATGCTCCACAGGGCCTGTGATTCTGCTGTGTTCTGTGGTAAACCCGAATTTCAAATCCGCTTAGGAGTGTCTGCCCCATAAACCTCAATTATGGTTCTGTGGTCATCAACAGAAGGTTGCTTTAAGATATGCAGGCCATTTTTATTGTCTACTAATGACTTTAAGAAATGCAATGTATTATTCTAATAATGTTTAATGGGCTGTATGCCTAAACCAGGTAATTTCTAAATACTATCTCCCAAAAGCGGGAGATCCTGGATTCCTCGCTAATGTGATTGTGATGTGCTGTGCTCTGACTTCCCCTGGGTCAGGATCCTCTTTAAAAATCTGACTCCAGCAATGGTAATAAAGCTTTCAGATTATCCAAATAATGTTATATATTCCTTCTCAAAAGAATTGTCAGCAGATCCCCCAAAAAAACATTTTTTTTGCAAATAGATGACAAAAATATTCCAAACCAAAGAGACAAATTTCTCATGACTCAAGAAAATCTAGCAAAAGTTTGGAAAATCTAGAGCCAGGTATAATCCTTTCATTAGTTTCTGCAGTCATAAGTCGGCATTAACCAGTTTCCTTTCTTCAGCTCCAAAAACCCCACAACGGACAAGAACACGTCGTCCACGTCCCAAACCTAAAACCACGCCGAGGCCAGAGGCACCTCAGACTAAACCGGGTAAATATGTGGTTCCTGGTCCCTGTGGGACCCTGCCGGATGTGCTACCAGGCGGCAGTTTAACTTTGCACCTAATAACCCCTGTGACCCTGAGGGGTGAAGGCCCATGTCCCAAGTCCTCAGAGCAGTGCCCATGACTTCCTCACATGGCTCGGTACCTTCCTGGTACCTGTGTATCTTTTTTGCCTCTCTGGCCATTCAGTTACATTTTTCTCTTTGATTCTGGCTCAGCAAAAATGCATCTAACTAGCCTATTTGGTTCAATTAGTCACACATTTTATTCAGTACCACATTAGCATCCATGAGGCATAGTTTAGAAATAACAAATACTTAGCTTCATTGAGGAAGGAAGCTGCTCTTGTGTGAAACTGTTCATAAACAGATGGAAAGGGATACGGGCAAAAGCAGCCCATTGATTGAGTTTTACCAACTGTTAGGCACATTCTTAAGCTAATTCTCGGAGAACTATAAGATCCACGGGCTGACGGGTGTCACGTGGACCTTGTTTGTAGGTGTATGGCAGGGATGGGCAGGAAGGTGGCATATGTGCGGGTGACAGCAGAAAGAGAGGAATAAGAAGTGCCACCTGATTGTGAGGAAGGAGAAAAGCACTGTTCATTCAGCCCGTGCTCGGAAATTGTGCTCAGTGATGCTACTTAGAGAGGGTCTATGAGGAGGACCTTGAACGCCTGACTTCAGTGGCTGGATTTGAACCAACTGGCTGCGGCCACTCTCCTGTCCTCCCAGGGGCAGGCCTTTTCTGTCCTAATAACAGAGCGAGGCTCTGACAAGTTTCACAGCCTGAATGACTGTCTCTGTCTTGCTCTTTTATGTGCCTTTGTTTGGACAGAGGCCGTCTTTTTTTCAAAGTGGACTCAAGAAAAAAGAGCATTGTCTATATTGATTATTCATTACAATATCTGCTTAAATGGACCGACTGTTGCATCAATCACGATCTAGGGCTTTGCTTTCTAGTATATGGTTATAAATTACACTTTCACATTGTTTTTCTCACAATTGTTACAACTAAAATATTATGACAGATGCCTAAAGATTTTCCTAGGCAGGGTTTTCTCTTGTATTATCAGATAATATAAAAACAAGCAAAACTTGTAGCTAACCACACAGAGATACTAAGAATATAACCATTCCATAGGAACAAATATCTTTGTACTCCCACCTCAGAACTTTAAAAATTTGGCTTTTTGGCTATAGAACCAATGCTACACTGGTAAAGTTCGTTTTCAAAAGAGTTTAATGACTTTTCTCGTGTGTTTAACGTTTCTTTTTCTAATTGCTTGTGATCATCTCTTGCCACAGACGTTGAGCCTGTGACGCCTGGGACATCATTAGGTATGATCCTTATGTCCTTCAGCAAGTGCTGTCTCTCCTTCATTGTCAGAAGTATCTATGGTGCTATAGAGATAATGATGTCATAATTCATTGTCATCCTATTACAGCATTCATCTTTAAATATAAAAGACCTTCTTTCCAACAGAAATGTGTATGGACTTAATTCAGGACCGCTACCTGCTCCATAACCCAGCTCGAAATTGCACCATGTCCTTCTGAGTCTCTGTTCAAACAGCACTGTTAGAGTTGAGGTCCAAATGGGATCCCCCACAGTGCCCTTAATTACATCGCCAGTACAGTATCATTAGGATACCATGAAGTTTCTCTAAGCATCTTATTTTCTATGTTTCAAGTTCTACATAACATTTTTTACTTTGTTGATGTTTTGGGGAATTTTGTAGACATATTCTAGTAAGTGACCAATGGGAAACTTGCCCAAGCCTGGTCATTTTAAACTATAAGTGAATACTATAGGGTGGTTTGAACTCTTCTCGCACCCTCAGAGTTGAGCAGTGATTTGTAACCAGTTTCGGATTAGGGACACTTTTAAGAAAATGAGAGTTCTTCATCTTCATTTCTTAAATATAATTGTAACAAAACTTTTAATCTCTGGAGAGCTCTCAATTATAAAAGAAAACATTAATATACTGAAGGGTGAAATTTCAAACCAAAATAACAAAGTTCTCTCCACCCAAAGAAACTCTGACAAGTCGTAGAAGGCTTAGAGCCAGCTTATAGCATCCTATTCAAGGTTTATGGAGCCATCAGCACCATATTAATCCTAAATTTTCTTCCTTCAGCTCCAGCCAAAACAACAAAGAGACCCCGTCGTCCACGGCCCAAACCTAAAACCACACCCCATCCAGAAGTACCTCAGGCCAAACTGGGTAAATATGTGGTGTCTGGCTTAAGGAATCCCAGCAGTCTGCCCCAGTTGGGACCCCAAATTCTCTGTACATGGCTGGTACACGCCCTATCTAACTCTTAAGAGTGAAAGCTACTAGTTAGGAGAATGTGAGATATCTGAGCACCCCGCATTCCTGTGGGGAATCTGCTCCCTCAGTGATCATTTTATTTACTTTTCTTGCTATTTGACTCCATTCGTGTCTTAAAGGTAAGGCTTGCTCAGCAGAGCATTGAGCTTGCAGAATCAATTCAGGTCGACTGCTTTCACTAATCCCTTCTATATCCCCATAGCCACATTAGCAGCTGCAAGATACATGAGAAGGAGGAAGTATGTTTGATTTACTAATCAGTTTGTACTATAGTTGTAAAAAACAAGCTATGCCTGCAGAAACAGGTAGAAAATAGCATAAGGCAGCATGTTTAAACAAATGTGGAATGACTTCTCAAATGGTACAAATGCTATATGCTAGGAGTGTCGTAAATATTTGGAGCAGAAAAGAATCCAGGATAGTGAGGAAGAAGTCAGTACAGAATTTGGATGACTGGAGGGATGAGGGAGCAAAGGCAGATGAGCAGAGAATGTGCTGAAGATGGAGGGTGACTTGGTGCTCTCCTGCTGAATGGGCCCACAGATGAGTTAAGCGGGGCTGGGATGTCTTCTCAAAAGCTTGGATTTAATGCAGTGGGCTTCAGTGATTTGCACGGGACTGTGCTTTTTCTGTTCTTAGGATTGAAAATTCCTCCTCTAATATGGTACCACAAACTGAGAGGTTGTTCCCTATCTTATTACGTTAAATGCCACTGTTTTCACTAAGGACGCAGTTTCTTAGTATAGTCTCAGCTTCCTTTTGGCTATTTGTTGCATGTGATGGGCACACCTAGGATGACCCGCCACTCCCCACCCCCTCCACCTCCCACCCCCATGGCTCCTGCCTCTTGGTGTTAATGTCTTTGTGTTATCCATCCAAACCTTTTTCTTCCCTTCTCTCCCTTAGAAGCCTTAGAAGCATTATTTGTACTGGCAAGATGAATTTTCTGACATTTCATGCATTCACGAAAATCTGTTTGGTTTCTTTTATTACTTTTGATCAGTCCCTGCCACAGTCCTTGAACCGGGTGTTCTTAGAACCGAAGCTCCAGAGACAACACTAGGTAATGCCACATTACGTCCGTCAGCATCTGCTTTCCCTGCTCATTTCAAACCCATTTCATCACCACCACAACCACAGCTTTTCCCACTTCACAAAACTTCTGTGTCGTCCTCTATTGTCATTCAATTACTTCTCAATATATTGAAGAGTATTAAAACGACTTAATTGTTTTTAAGAGAGCCAAGTATGAATTTAGTGTAGTAGACATACCTGCAATGTAATGTGTTTGAATTTGCGGTATGTGGCCTCCGTGTAACCTTTTAATCACATTCTTTGTTACTGGGTTTCGAACACAATCAATGGGGGTTGAGGTGAAGATGTCTATCCTTGATCTAAGCTGAGTACATTGTCACAGCTGTTATGGCGTGACATAATTCTTGTGCAGATCTAAATTCCTACATTTTTACTATCTGTATGATTTGGGTTTTGTTTTTGTTTTTTGCCATTATAGGTAATGGTTTGGTCTTTTTGTCAGTAAGGAGTGAAATAGAAAATCTACCAAACTAATAAATTTAAATTATAAGCACCATCATTAACGTGAAATCACCCTGTTCCTTCTCCCCCCACAACTCAGCAAGGTTTGGGAACTTTTTTTACTCAGAAATCCCTGTGAGAATCTCCTTGATACATCAGCTCATGTTTCTGTGCAATTTTCATTTTCCAGAGTAATATAAATGATAGAAAGAGGCAGTTATCAAAATAGGGGCAAATATTTCAAACTCAAAAGAAAAATTTCCTGAAACTCAAGAAATCATAACAGTAATAATCGTATTCACAGCTTCTGAAACTAAAAACACTCTATTAACCTGAGGTTTTCTTCCTTTAGCTCCCAAAGAGCCTCCCCGGACCCGTCGTCCACGTCCCAAACCTAAAACCACAGCGAGTCCTGAAGCAGCTCAGCCTGACCTGGGTAAATGGGCAGATCCTTGTTAGGGACGCCTGGCAGCCTTCCCGGTGGGGTCCAGACAAAGTGGAGGGGCGAGGCAGGGTCAGCGGCTGCTTCTACCCTAAAGCAGGCAACGAGAACACGGTTGGAGAGGTCTTGTGCAGTAGCTGAATTCCTCACTCTTTGTGAATTAGAGTCTTCTCTCTAAATGTCTATCAACTGACTTCTTATTCAATTCTATGCATCCTTTAAATATTGACTATGGTGGACAGAAACAGCTGTAGATGAATGTATGGGGAAATAGGAGAATATTTCTTGGTAACCACAAAAGTTGTGTAAGTCATAGAAAGGATCTAGGGAAGGAGTTGGAGAACATTTTCTATAAAGGGCTGGATAGTAAATATTTGGGAGCTTGTGGGCCATATGGTCTCTGTTGTATGTCTTTTTCTTTTTTTACAACCCCTTTTTTTTACAACCACTTAAAAATGGAAAATCATTCTTAGCTCTCATGGGCTGTATGAAAACAAGCCACAGGCAAGATCTGGCCTATGGGCCATGGCCTGTCAATGCCTGGTTTAAAGAACCGATCAGCATGAGCCAGAATAGTTAGGAAGGATTTGAGCATTGAAATCTCTGTAGATTTGGATGACCAGGGCAGGTGGACGGAGAGGTTCAGAAAGGCAGGATATATACGGATGCCAGCGAGGGGAGGGAGAGGCTTCTCTGACTGACGGAGGCAGTCAGCCTTCTAAGTTGATCAGAGCATCTCATTGAGGCTGCAGCAGCTAAGCAGCCCATAGGACCAGTTGAAAAGGGATTTTTGAATGTGGGACTTAGGAGATGGGCTCTATGTAAGCATCATCAACTTCCATATGTGTTTCCCTGAGCTCTGGACAGAGGGATAGCTGCTGTACCTCAGGCTGAATGGCTGCCCCTTATCCAGCTCTCTTAAGTACCTCAGTTGGGCAAAGTTCATGATCTCTTTCCAAAGATAAGTTTTCAGCAAGATGAGTATGGTCTACTTTGGTCTATTACTGAGACTAGGATCATCAAAGAGCAAGAAACCTCAGGGCACTTCACAGGGGTAGTTATCTGAGTGCAAAGATAATCCCTCCTAAGTGAGGAATTGGTACCGAGGGCAGAGATGCCATATCCCTCAGCTCAGAAGCGTTTGCTTTGTACTCTAGACACACCGTTATTTCGGTACAATTCTTTTTGGAGTGAGTGTTCTGAGATTGTGTAAATGTTTAACATTTCATTGTGTTTTATTATTATTATTATTATTTTGGTCAGTTCCTGCTACTGTCTTCGAACCAGTTACTCCTGTAAGAGAGGCTCCAGGGGCAGCTTTTGGTAATGCTACTTTCTGACCTTCAGCAGTGCTCTCTCTGCTTGTTGCCCAACCCATTCCACTCTGTTGCCATTCAGCTACGTTCTTCATCTTGTGAGCTGAACATACATAAAACAAGTTACCTCCTGTTCTTAAGAGAGTCAGCCTGAACCTAGTTGGGGATATCTTCCTGCCTCACAATTCACTTTAACATTTTTTCATGCCACCCCATGCTTTTGACTAACCAGAGTGCCCTGTGAAGGTAAATGTCCTGTATCTATGGGAGTGCCTGATCCTGATCTGTGCTAAGCAGCCTGTAAGAGGGAAGTTGCTTTATGCATCCTTTGTACAGTTACCATTTCATCTGCCCGGTTTTGCTGTTGTTGTTTTGTTAACATTTGGGTAATATGTTTTTAGTGAATTGTCTAACAGATGTGATCAAGGCTAATAAGTTTAAATAGTAAGCCCCATTCTTAGGGGGAATCTGACTCCCCTTTACTCTCCACCATAGTTTAGAAATGATTCTTAACCTTTTTTGTGCAGTCAGGGAACTCTAGGAAAATGTGATAAAAATACCAATCTTGACTCTCTGAATTAATAACTTCATTTTTTATGTCAATTTTGCCCCCAAAGTATCTTCAATAACAAAAGAAAACATAGTGTAGTAGGGGCAAAATTTTCATACTAGAAAGATACATTTCCTGAAACTCAAGAAAATGTATCAATCTTTAGAAAACTTTATTTTTAGGGTTTATTTTTTAAACCCTATAATTTGCAGAACCATAAAATTTAAAGTAACTAAAAGTTATCTTTTTCCATCTCCAAAAACATCCCAATGGACGTATCATTTCACAACACAAAACCACTCCAAGTCCTACGCTCCTGAGGCTACACCAGAGAAAAGCAGAGTCCCTGTTTTCAGGACCTGGAGCCTGTCACTGATGGAGAACGTAAACACACAGGCCCTCTCCAGAGTTGCCAAGGAGTTCATGTTTGGGAGAGACAGTCTTCCCTCCAACTCTGGATAGTAGGAGACATGTTTTTGGTTTTTTTCTTCTTCTGCTTCTTCTCATAGCCCCCAAGTACGTAGTTGTATATTCTAGTTGCGAGTGCCTCTGGTTGTGCTATGTGGGATGGCGCCTCAGCATGGCCTGATGAGCGGTGCCATGTCGGTGCCCAGGATCAGAACCCAAGAAACCCTGGGCCGCTGAAGCGGAGCGCACAAACTCAACCACTCAGCCATGGGGCCGGCCCCTGTAGGAGACATGTTTTACTTCTCAGTCTGCAGGCTCCTTCAGCACAAAAACTTCCTGCATGAAATGCCTAGGGAGTGAGAATAAGGCGTGGTGTTCTTGTAAATTCAAGATTTTTCTTGAGTACATAAACTTGAAGTGTCAGACACATCATATAAGGTCTTAAAGAAGTTAAAAATCAATTTGGGCTTCAGAAGAGCAAGGAAGGAGTTTGGACTTTGACGTCACATCAGAATTTGCACAAGTGGAGAGATGACAGTGAACAAAGATGAAAAACTAGGATACGTGCAGAGGCAGCCAGAGGGAGCAGGGGTCCTGGCTCTTCTAGGCGTCAGTCAGAATGTTTTTGTTGCTGATTATGCATTTGGATGACACCGCGGGAAATTGAAGGAGGCTGATGCTGTTCTCATGGGCATCAGAACTCTCTTCTGTCCCCACCGGATAAAGGTTTCCCTGTCCTGAGAGTGGCTGGGTGCTTTTCTGGATCCCTCAGACTGAGCAGCTGCCCCTCACCCAGTCCTCTTGGTGCTTTTGCTTGGACAGAAGTCACAAGACCTTTCCAAAGCTGAGTTCTCGGCAAGATCATCATAGCCACTTTTGGTTGTTTGTGTAATGGCTGCTTGGTTATTCAGGAACAGCTTCTGCAACCATAATTTGATAAACATACTAGATGGTTTCTTTATCCAGCATCTGCGGAAGTGCAAGTTAGTTTTTCACATGCTTCTTAAGGATCGTTAGAGACATATTTAAGTAAATGCCTAAAAATGTCCTAAAGTCTACAATAGTAAACTCAGATAATCAAGCACCAACTACAAGAACTATTTCCCTCCTTTGGTGCTAAACAGAGACCAAAGGTAATGACTACCTCATGAGATGAGGAAGTCCCTAACTACAGTTTGGCCAAGTCTGGGCAAAACAACTGATTTCCCTTTGTATTCCATTACTGGGGCTGCCATAACAAAATACCACAGACCGAGTGGCTTTAACATCGGAAATCTATTTCTCACAGCTCTCGAGCCTGGGGAGTTTGAGATCAGGTATCTGTAGGTGTAAGCCCTCCTGAGGCCTCTCTCCTCACCTTGCAGATGGCTGCCATCTTGCTGTGTCCTCACATGGCCTTTCCTCTGTGCGTGAAACTCCCTCGTGTCTCTCCCTCTTATAAGGACATCAGTCCTATTGGATTAGGGCCCTAATCTTATGACCTCATGTAACCTTAGTTGCCTTTTTAAAGGCCCTATCTCCAAATACAGTCAGATTGGGAGTTAGTGGTTCAATATGTGAATTTTTGGGAGGCAAAATTCAGTCCATAACACCCTTCATTCATAAATTTTAAAAAATTATTCTAGAGGTGGGGCTGGCCCCGTGGCCCAGTGGTTAAGTTCACGTGCTCCACTGCAGGAGGCCCAGGGTTTCGTGGGTTCGAATCCTGCGTGCGGACATGGCACCGCTCATCGAGCCACACTGAGGTGGCATCCTACATATCACAACTTGAAGGACCCACAACTAAGAATGCACAACTATGTACGTGGGGGCTTTGGGGAGAAAAAGGAAAAAATAAAATCTTTAAAAAAAAAATTATTCTAGAGGTAATGGTACCCTGGCAAGATTCATTTTGAAGTGAATGTTGTAGCTCTTCATACATTAAAAAAAAAAAAACAATTTCTGTTTATTTTATTGCTTCAGTTCCTGTCACAGACTTTGAGCCTGTTACTTTTGCAGCAGAGACCTCTGGGCCAACATTAGGTAATGACCGTGGGCAATGCGCCACGTGCTTTTGCTGCTCACTGTCCCGTCCGTCCGGTTCCCGTCTCCTGGCTTTTCCTCCTTCACGAGAGGGCCACCATCATCTCTGTTGCCATTCAATCACTTCTTTCATCTAAAGAGTCCTGAAGCCTCTTAAAAACAAGATTCCTGTTGTTTTTACGAGAGCAGGCATGAACTTAGCTGAAAACGTGTATTGCTATGTGGCACATTTGAAATTGTCACGTTATCCTGTGCCTCGGTTTGTGTCAAAGCCGAGTTCAAGACAAACTGGGATCTATTCTTACTTAGGCTGATCTGCGATGACAGCTACTCTTATGCTCCTTTGCACATCTAATTTTCTAGATTTTTAAACAACTGTCTGCACGGTATGTTTGTTTCTTAGTTGGTGCTTTAGGTCATGATGTGTTTTATTACTAATCTGACAAGTAGGCAATTACCCAAATCTGAAATTTAAATTATAAGGCTCTTCCTTAGTCTGGCTCTAACTTGTCCTCCTCCTGCACAGAGCTGAGCATCCTTCTCCATCATTTCCCTAGGGAGGAAGTTCTATGAGTGTCTAGTTATAAGTGCTAATCTTCATACCTTGAATGAGCAACACCACTATATAAATGGGTTTCCCTCAAAGTACCCTTGATAAAAAGAAGATACATTGGCATAAAAGGAGTGGACATTTTAAACTACAGATGATTTCCTAGAACTTTAGAAAATCTAACAGACTTTGGAAAAACCTCTCCTCTGTATCCTGAGTTCTAAGACCTAGAGTAACACAAGACTTTTCTTTCTTCAGCTCCCAAAGCATCACAAAGACCGCGTCGTCCACGTCCCAGACCCAAAACCACACCAAGCCCTCAAGCACCTCAGACCAAACTGGGTAAATGTGGGGTTCTTGGTTTAAGGGTGAACCCTGGTGTCCCAGTGGGGACCCAGAGCAGTGTGAAGCTCTTACTCTCTCTAAGCACGAGGTCAGGAGGTGTCATCAGTAATGTCTCCTCTGTCCAGGTGTCAAGGAGAATATGACTGGGTGAGATGCAGTTGGTGCCAGACTACCTTATTCTTTCTCTGTGAGAGTCTTCTTTGATGTGAATTTAGTGTATTTCTTACTATCAAATTCCATTCAAATCTTAAAGATAAAACTTCTTTGGCAGAGCCAAAATATTCAGTTCAAGTAAGCAAATAAATTGTAAATCCCTTGGATGTTGCTAGGCTGATATTAGCAACTGTGGGTGATATGTCAGCTGTAGGAGACATTTTATTTCTAAAACAATAGAGCTGAGTACATGTTTGCATGACACAAACATTAAACATTGACCTTGCAAAGGAAAAGACTAGACTAGATTTGGACCTTGTCCTTGGGCCCACTACAGACTTGAATGAAGAAGGAAAAGTGAACCAAGGCAGAACAGACTGCCTGGAACAGACTGTCCTACTTCTAGATGGTCAAAACATGGTTCTTGATGATGCTGCATTTGGAAGGGTCCAGCTGGTCCGCTGAAAAAAGATTTTGAGGACCTGATTCAGGAGCTTAGATTTGATATAAGGGCATCAACTGTCTTTCCACTTTTTCTGGACTTAGGCCAGAAAGATGGTCTACTGAGTGTTACAGACTGGGTGAGCATCTTCATCCTGCTCTCTTATGCGCCACTTTTAGACAGAGGTCTCAGACTCTTTCTTGTCAAGAACTCTAGATAGTCCACTGCAGTGATTAATCTTTATATTTATTTCAAACTTATAAACTGTCTATTGTATCCATGTTTACTTAAACATGGTAAATGCTCATTTTCGGCTGCCATAGAAGTACAGGTTGATTATATTTTTTTAAAGACAATTTCTTTTCCAAGTGTATATCAGGTAAATGCATGAAAATATTTTCCAGGGTAGAGTTTTCCATATCAGTTAGAATCCATTAGTTAAAACCTAGGAGAAATTCACATTTCTGTCTTTAAGATACTCAAGATAGTTCACCAGCTAACCCTACAACCGACCGTGAGTATAGTTGGCCAGATCTTCAAAGAATGATCATCTACTCTTTCTTGCAGTTAGGAAGCCACTTTCTTCTTTGTTTCTGTAGAGTTGATACACAAGTAAATCTGCTTCGATGTGAATGTTCTAACTTTTAATGTATTTTAAACTCTCTCTGGTTTGCTGTGTTATTTTTTGGTCAGTTCCTGCTATAATCCTTGAACCTGTCACTCTTAGACCTGAGGCCTCAGGAGCAACATTAGGTAATGATACACTGTGTTTTCAACAAGCCTTATCCTGCTTTCGAGTTTCGTCTTTCATCCAGAGTTTCATCTTGCTTCCCGTGACCATGGTGTCTGTCTTTGTGGCCATTCTTTACATTCTTCTCAAAATTATGAAGACTCTTAAAACAAATTGCCTGTTGCTTTTAAGAGAACCAGGCATGCATGAACCTACTTTAGGGCATATATTTGCCATGTAACCTGTTTGATTCTGTGTCAGGTCGTTCTCTGCTTTGTTTAAGCAGTGTTTGTGGTAAAACTGATTTTCAAACATGTCATGGGTCTTTACCTCTTATCTGGATAGAGAAAGGCAGTAACAGCTATCATGGGCGAAGAGAATCCATTCATGGCACATCTACATTTCTACCTTTTTTTTCCTATTTGCATGGCATTTTGTTGCTTTGTTTCTATTTAGGTAATAATGTATTCTTATTTTAATAATTATGTAGAAAATGTGCCAAAGATCGAAAGATTAAATTATAAATCTCAGATTTAATGTGACTGTCCCTCATTATCCATTATAGTTTAGCAATGTTTCTTAATTTCTTAATCTTTTTATTACCTAATCAAGCTGCTCTGTGAGACTTTGATTGTAATTACTAATCTTTATTTTTTTAATTAAAAGTGATTGTCTTTAAAGAATCTTCTATGATAAAAGAATATATAAAAGGAGTATATGTGACAAAAAAAACTCAAAGAGATAAATATCTAATAAGTTGTAGAAAATCTAGAGTCACGTTTTCATCTCCCATAGCTTCCAGAACAATAGATAATGTAGTTACATAGTAACCCAAGAATTTCTTCCTCCAGCTTCCAAAACATCACAGCAGACGAGTCGTCCACATCCCAGACCAAAAACCACACCAAGTCCTGAAGTACCTGAGTCCAAACCAGGTAAACCTGTGTTCCTGGTTTAAAGGGCCCAGCAGCCTAACCCAGCAGGGTCTTGGGAGTAATCCCAGTTGTTGGGAGTAACCAGTAAGCCCCATGAGAGTCAAGGTACAACTCGTGCTAAGCAGCAGTTCCCAATGGGGAGATGGCAAGAAGAACACAGTAGGGGGAGATCTGAGCGACAACTGAGTGCCTCATGCTTCCCGTGTAAAATCTTCTCTGTCGCTGTGCATTTTGTTAATTTCCATTTGTCCCTTGAAAATAAGACTTCTTTGAAAAAAATTAGGCATATTCAGTTCAAATCACAAATACTAAGTGCCTTCAGTATCTCCCAAGTCGTATTAGCACTTTTAGGGGTATAACTCAGGTGTGGGAGACATGTTTTGGTCCTCAAACCTGCATGACAGTTGAGAACAAAGCCTTTCCTTTATAAAAAAGACAGGAGATGGCATTAGAGTGTATCTATGCAAATGCAAGATTGAGTTTTGGGTGCTACTAGCAAGATGTGCTAGGTACATAAATATTTGGAGCAGGAAAAGATAGATTAAGAAAGAGTGGAGCCTTGAAATCATCATGGTACCTGGATGAGCAGAAATATGGGGAGGAATAAAATCAGAGAGTGGATATAAGTGGAGACCCACCAGAGGAGAAAGGCTAACTGTAATACTAGTCTAGAGCGTGTCTGACTACAAGGCAGTAGCTGAAGCTTTTCTGGATCTTGATCAGTCTATGGACTCCCATGGTGGAGATCCTTAGGTACCTGATAGAGCAGCTGAGAGTGGATCCAGTAGACGTCAGCCAGCTGCTCTTTGCACACGAAGGCATGCTCTCTCTTTGCTTAGGATGGACGGATACCTTACTCGATTCATCATTCCGAGGCTTCAGTCTCTTTCCAAAGATAAGTTCTTAGCAAGACCCACACATCCCACTCTGACTTACTGTTAGAATCAGATAATCAAAGGAGGAATGAGGAAATAGATACTTGATTAGGGAGGGCCAAATTTTAGAAAATCGACTCTCTACTTTTCTAGTTTAACAGGTTTTCAAAGTTGCTGTATAGTTCTAGAAACTATATTACATTGGTAAGATTCACTTTGAAGTAAATGTTTTGAGTTTTCCCTCATTTAAAACAATCATTTGGTTTATTTCTAACACTTTTGGTCAGTTCCTACTGCAGGCTTTGAACCTGTTACCTTCAGAACTGAGGCTTGGGTGACAACACAAGGTAATGACACATGCGGTCCTCAGTAAGTGCTCTTCCTTCTCACTGTCAAACGCATTCCATCCACGTGGTAGCTACAGGTGCTTTTGCTCCATACGGCTCCATCTTCATCCTCTGTTGTCATGCCATTATGTTCTTCATCCTGAAAGCGTTGAAGACTCTGACTCTTAAAACTAGTTTTCCTTGTTTTTAAGAGAGCCGTGCCTGAACCTAACTCAGGTCATCTGTTATGCGTGCAACCATCTGAAATTGTTTGTCATCTTGTGTGTTTTTTAACCAATGTTTTGTTAAAGCTGGGTTTGAAAAGCGATTCTCTTGACTCTAATGACTGTTATGGTGTTGGAGAGTTGCTTCGTGGATCTAAAGATCTACTGGTTTTGTTTTTGAACTCTGTGCGATATTTGTTCTTTGACGGACATTTTAGTTAGTTATGTGGTCTTGTTTTAGTAAACTGTCAAAGAGTTTATATCTAGCTATCACCACGACTAAAGATCTTAGCAGTGGTTCTTACCTTTTCTATTCAATAGAAGAGTCCTGTGAACTATACTTCACTACTTGAATTAGTAATTTTATATATGACTCATTCCCAATGAACTTTCAATTGTAAAAGAAGGCATACTATCATAATAAGGGTGAAAGCTTCAAATTAAAAAAGTTACAAAAACATTTCCTAAAATATGAGGAAATACTAAGTTTCGGGAAATCTAGAACCATGTGTCATGCTACCCGTGGCTTCTGAACACAGACTATTAATAACTGAAGGTTTTCTTTCTTCAGCTCCTAAAACGTCAAAACGGACCCGTCGTCCACGTCCCAAACCTAAAACCACACCAACTACCAAGGCGCCTCAAACCACACCGGGTAAATGTGGGTTTCTGGTTAAAAGAGTGAGTTTGAGCAGCTCTTGGGAGTCTGGGAGTGATGCCGATGGTAGGAGTGATGCCATGTAGCTGATGTGTGTGAAGGCGCGAAGTGATCTGCCGCCGCTGCCACTGTGGAGTTAGCGAAGGAAGATGTGGCGGGGGACACCTGAGTAGCAGCTGAATTCCTCATGCTTTCTGCATCAAGATCTTCTCTTTCAATACGTATTTTACCTACTTTTTCTTATTTCATTCCATTCTTCTCTTAGAGATAAAATATCTTAAATAGAACCAAGCATTTTTATTTCAAGAAACAAACATTAAGTGCCTTCCATCTCCTCACAGCCACATCATCAGGTGTGATATCCAGGTGTGATATCACAGAACGAGGCTTGTCTTTACTTCTCAATCTGGAGCATAGTCAAAGTCGAAACCTGCCCCAAGATGAAACATTCAGAGATTGAACCGAGGCACTATGTCTGTGCAAATCAAGCTTGTTTTTTGCAGGGGCTATAAACAGCTGTAAGCCTAGAGAGAAAAGTGTGTGAAGGACAGGAATAAGGAGTTGGAAAGAAGTTGGGTCATAAAATCATGGAGATGAACGGAGGCAGAAAGAAAGGAGGTGCAGAAGCGAACCAGAGGGCACGGACTTCCTGGAACAAGGGAGGTCCCGCTTCTAAGTGGTGGTGATAGTGCTGAGTTTGGAGTTTGGAAGGGTCAATAAGAGCTGTCCTTGAACGTATGACTCAGAAGCTTGGATCTGACCCTACAACATCTGTGGTCTCTCCTGCAGTCTCTGCTACCTGTATTGGGTACCACATTTTTGTGATCAGAGAGCTGCTCTACTGGGCACCACACACTGAGTGGATGTTCATTATCCTGATTACTTGAGTGCCTTTGCCTCAAAAGAGGTCTCAGCCTGTTTCCAAATACGAGTTCTCAACAAGATGAACATGTTTCACTTTGCTTTATTCTCTGCCGTGCCTCCTTTCAAACGTAAAAGCTATTTATTGTATCCATGCTTATTTAGACATGCTATTTCCTTAAAGCTTCCACAGAAAAGCCAATGATTGCCAGAACAGTTAGATAAGTATATATTTGGTAAAATGGTTTCCTAGGGCAGTCGTCTACGCCAGTTGGAATTAAGTACTTAGACACCCGGGAGACTATCATGTTGATTGTATCGAGATACCAGACCATGTAGGAGATAACTGACTTCCTCACAAAAGAAGGTGTGCCTGGCTACAGGGTGACCAAATCTTTAAATAACAAGTATTTAATTTCACAAAAATTTTAAAAATTGCTATACACCTGTTGAAGCAATATTATACTAGTAAGATTTAATTAGCTGACATTTCACAAATGTGTATTTCGTTTCTTTTGATTAGTTCCTACTACAGATCTTGAACCTGGTACTGTCAGAACTGAAGCTCCGGAAATCGTGGGTAATGAGAATGCGTGTCCTTCAGATAGTGCTTTTCCTGCTCATTGTCATACCATTATCGCCACAGGCTCTCCTGCATCTTAAAACCATTTCAACACCCTCTGTTGTCATTCCATTAGTCTTTATCTTGAAGTTAATGCTAAGCTCTATGTAGAGTGATCTGTTAAATTTAAGAGAGCTGCATAAACTAATTTCACGATATCGGACTGCCACGTAACTGCTCAGCACTGTGTCATGCGATCATGTGCATCTGTTTAAATGGCGTTGACTCTTTTAAGCTTCATTTCAAACATGAATCTCCACCCATCCCTTCTTTACACTGCTTCTCGCTCATCAGTTGTGGAAATACCATGTTTCTTTGCTCACATTACTTTATATTGTATTAGGATCTATTTGATTATACTGGTAGGTCTGTTATTTCAAGGAATGATATTCTTAGTTAATTGTCAAATTTAAAGTGTGCATAAGTCTTGAAAGTTTAAATGATAGGCTCACATGATAGGGTAGGCTGACTCTTCCTCCTTCTCTAACAGGGTTTCTTAACTTTTATTGAATCAAGGACCACTTTGAGATTTTAGTTGGCACAGTCCATTCATTATGCATTGATCCTTATGCTTTCAAACAGATGCACTCATTATTGTATCCATGATTATTTAAATAGTAGACAAAATAGTAGACATTTACATCAACATGAGCAGAAGTGCAAATAGACTGATAAATGCTTTTTCCAGTAGAGTTAGAAAAGTATATATTATATAAATGTGTAGAAAGCTTACCCAGCAAGAGTAGATGTTATCAAGAGTCAGATAATCAAACATCTGGGAGAACTTCTTGTTGACCACAGTGATATTTAGCAGAGTGCAATGTTATGTCTACTTTAGGGGATTAATGGGTACTTGCCACGGTTTGATCAAACCTGCAAAGAACAAGCGTCTGTTTTCCCTCGGTTCTGAATCTTAAAAATTGACTTCTGAAATTTAATCTTCAAGTGAATTTTTTAAATCTCTTTGGTTTATTTTATTATTTTTGGCCAGTTCTTCCTACAGTCCTTGAACCTGTCACTCTTAGGACCAAGGCTCCGGAAACAACATTCGGTAATGATATTCTGTGTTCTTCAACCATTTTTTTCTGCTCATTGTCAACCCATTCTATCATCATAATCACATTGTCATCAGCTTCATAAGACTGTCTTGTCATCCTCTCCTGTCCTTCAACTTTATGTTCCTTCTTCTTAAGAGTATTGAAGACTCTTAAATTACCCGTAGTTTTTAAAAGCTGTGCATGGACCTAGGTCAGAATACCTGTCTATCATGTAATCTTATTTGACTTCATGTCATGTACTTTTGTCTAAACCATGTTCACATTTAAAGCTGAGTTTCAAACACTGTCGGTAATGTCTATATCTTTTCTAGACCAACTAAACCACAGCAATTTGCATGGTATCATGGATTCTCTGGCATATTTAAATCTCTTAATGTGAACGTAAGACCCCACCACCTACAGTTTGGCTATAGTTCTTACCCTTCTCTGGAGTTAGAGATCTACAAGACTCTTCACTCCTTGACTTAATTTTGTGTGTGGGTTTTATCTCTCAAGAATCTTCAGTTATGAAAAAAAATTAACAAAATACGGGAAAGTATTTTGATCTTAAAAAACATATGCCTTGAATTTCAAGGAAGTATAACATATTTTAGAAAATCTAGAGCCTTATTTCCAAGACCACCTTCAGTAGAATAATCCAAAGTCTCTTCCTTCAGCTCCTAAAACATCACAACGAGCTCGTCGTCCACGTCCCAGACCTAAAACCACATCAAGCCCTGCTGCACCTCAGACCAAACCGGGTAAATGGGTTATTCCATGGTTTGAGGGGTGAGCCGTAGTAGCCTGTCCCAGTGGGGCCCCAAAGCACTGCATCTGATGGGAAGTAATAGTCTCCATGTTCTCTAAGAGTCTAAGGCATGAGATACGGTTAGCAGCTGCTTCTTGCATGATGGTCTTGGTCTCTCTCCAAAGATGTCTTTATAGCAAGATTGGCATAGTCATTCATGGCTATTTATTGCTGGATCTGCATTTAAACATGTGATCTCTTTATTGTAGCTGCAATTACATAAACATAAATATTTTTTCAACTTCCAGAAATGCAACAAGTTACTTTCATATATATTTTCATATATTGCCTAAACAGATTTTCCACAGCAAGCTGACACGTTACTTAGAATCAGAAAATCAAACACCTAGGAAAATATCACGTTGACCATGCTAAGATGCGTGGCAGAGTTCAACGGCTGTGACTACCCCCTGCAATGAATCGTTCATAGCTACAGTTTGACCAAATCTTCAAAAAGGGACTGTTTGCTTCCTATCAACTCAAAAGTTTAAAAAAATTGTTTGTCACTTGAAACTAATATTTTGAAAGAAAAATTATGACTTTCTATGTGTGTTTAAGCTTTCTCATGTTCGTGTTGTTGCTTTTGGTTAGTTCCTACTACAGGCTTTGCACCTGTTGTCCATAGTTCTGAGGCCCCGGGAACAACATTAGGTAATGATTTTTGCAATCTCATTACATGCTTTTTTGCTCATTAAAATCCACTCCATCACTGTCATGGCCAGAGTTGCTCCTGCTTCGTTAGACTGCTGTTGTCATTCCATTTCAGGCTTCATCTTGTAAGTAGTTAGGATTCTTAATTCAAGTGTTACCTGCTATTTTTAATGGATGTCCCTGGATCAAGTTGAGGAAATCTATCTAGCATGAAACCCTTTAAAATTTCATGATAGATTCAGTGAAGAGTCTGAAGTCCAAATTTCTCCCCTGCTATTCGGTGTTTACATCTAGAAAGCAATGACAATTAAATAACATGAACTTTCTCTGAGCAATTTGCTTTCTATAAGACCTGTGTGTTATTCTCATTACTCTTCTTGTTTTAAGGAATGAGGATTCCATGTTATATTAAATTATAAAAAAACAAAAGTCGCTTCCTGAAAGTGCCAATCCTAGTAAATATAAGTTACAGGCTCCCCCACCATCCATAAACTTGACTCTTCCTTATTCTCCACCAGAGTTTAGCAATTGTTCTTAATCTTTGCTAAATAAGAATCTCTCTGAGTATCTAAGTATGCGTGTTAATACTTACTCCTTTAATTAACAAATAAACGTTGTATATTATTTTGATCTCTAAAGGACCCTCAGTGAGGATAAGGAGCAAATTAGATTAGTGTAATAAAATTGTTCAATCTTAGGAAAGAAACTCAAGAAAAATTTCAAGTGTTACAAAACCTAGGTCCATGTACAATGCTTCGGATGGTTTCTAGACCTGCAAACACTAGGTGACCCAAGATTTTCTTTCTTTAGTTTCAAAAACATGGAAAAAATAAAAACCCATCCTCCTCCCGAACTAAACTTCCTGAAGCTTCTTAGATGAAACCAAGAAAATCTATGATTTCTGTTTTAAGGAGTACTTCCAGCCCATGCAGTTGAGTCCAGGCGTGACAATGATGTGACTTGCTAACTTGCACTTCTCACCTCTATGCCCTCTGAGAGAGAAGGCACAAATAGTGGTTAGCATTGCTAAAATTTCAGGATTGACCAGAAGTCTCATGGTTGGGGGAGATCGTAGCCAAATTCATCACGTGTCCTGCATAAAGATTGTCTCTGACAAAATATGCAGCTTATTCAATTCTCTTACCATTCCATTCCATTCATCTCTTTTAAATTAGTGCTGCTGCTTTGGCTTATGTAAACAAACATTGCCTTGCCCTCCGTGTCCCCAGCACCATATTAGCAGTTGAGTGGAGTGGGGTGAGGAACAGCAGGGGAGATCAAAAGTAAGGGCATGTTTGACCTTTTGAACAGAGTACAATATAATTATGAAAAAAACCTTTCCTTGAACTTTTCTTAGGTATAAGACAATTTGCTTATACAAAAGCAGCTTGTTTAGTTGAGTGGTAAAAATATAGAGAGAAAATATTTAAAGTCAAGGATCTATGTAGGCTGATAGAGAATAGTTGGGCTTTGAAATAACTTTAGGATTTGAATTAGTGGATGGAAGGGTGGGAACAGCAAAAATACAAAGTCTTGATACCTGTTGGGAGTAGCCAAGAGGATGATTAAAGTGGAACATAGGGCAAAACACTGCTGGATGATACCAAACATTTTATTAATGACGCTATCATGAAAGAAGCTATAGGAAGCTCTTAGAAAGCCCTCATGGGAATTCAGATTGAGATACAATAGTCAATGAGAACCTAATTTTTGAAATAGGCTCTTGTTTTTTCTAGAAAGATGTTTAAAATGAGGTGTCAGCAAAGTTTTTTATGTGAAGAGTTCGATAGTAAATATTTTAGGCTTGGCAGTAAATAGCTTAGGCTTTGCAGGCCATTTAGTCTCTGCCATAACAACTCAATTGTTAGACTGTTGTACTTTGTGCAATTGTGCAGTTGTACTTTGTGCAGTTGTACTTTGAAGGAAACCAAAGCCAATATGTAAACAATATGTAAATATGCCTTGAATCATCTTAGTTTGTGGGTATGGTTGTATTTCAATAAAACTTCATTTGAATTTCATACCACTTTCACATGTCATGAAATATTTCTCTTCTTTTAATTTTTTCCCATCATTTAAAAATGTGAAAACCATTCTTACTTCACAGGCCAGGCAGAAGGCTGGATTTGGGAGGGCCATAGTTTGCCCATTTCTGCTTTAAATGATGCATCCTCTGCACGGCTCTCCATAACCCTGCGATTTTGAGGGTCTATGTATTTCAATGCATTGCAATGCATTTGTCTAAAACCTGTGAAATAAGTTATACATAATTGACAACTTAGACCCTCTTCTTTCAGCTCCCACTGAACTGCAGCCCCTTATTTTGAAACCAGTGACATCACCAAGTCTAGAAATGACACAAAGTCAACCTGGTAAATACAGTGTTTTATCTATCTGGGTACACTTGTGAGCTCCAGGGGGCACACTCTAAATGTTGTATTTCTGAATATAAAAAGTGCAAAAGAGTACACATTTAATAACTCGCTCTGCATATTGTACAAAGCTCTTGCCATGATTACATATTGGTGTTAAGTTAGTGATACTACTTTATGTCGTGCTCGTATTCACTGTGTTAGTCAACAGTGCAGAAAGACTTCGCTTCTTTCCTGTGTGTTTACTCTGCGTCATTTTAGAGAACAATCACGTATCTGATTAAGTAGTCCACAAAACCACTTAAAAGAACTGATTTTATTCTTTATCCCTATTTTTCCATAAAAACAGTTACAAATTTGTAGTACTCTTTAGCAGTAAGCTAAATCTGTGCTCTGCCATGTGCAAAAAATGCTAGTTCAGTTGTGACCATCAAGCAAAGAAAGTTCTCACTTCAGTAAAGATAACAAAACTTCCTTATACGATGTGAGCCTGAACATTTCAAAACTGAAAACTAGTTTTTAAAATCGTTCTTAGCAAGTTATTGCTACTCTCTGACATTTATTTTGAAACATTGGATCTTATTTTTTTTTTTTTTGTTATAAAACTGTAATTTCTTTTCATCTCCTTCGTACACCTTTAGTTAGCTAAACAACTTTTGGTGCTTGTGTTGATGGTACAAGGTATAGTTGTCATTGGTAACCTATAACACATAAAATTGTGAATTCAATTCAGTTATTAGAGCTTCCTTTAGTGTTAATAATATTGTTATTATCGTAACAGGTAACATTGAGCACTTATAGGTACAAGGCACTTTTCCTAATACTTAGTTTGTATTCATTCATTCAATGCTCACAACAAACCATCCGTGATCAATTGTATCATTTTGTGTTTTTTGCTAGTTTCTGAAGTCCTGGAGTCGGTTACATTTAGCACTGAGTCATCCATGGAAGCTATAGGTAAAACTGTGGGATGTCAGGTGTATGTGCTTGTCCATTGCATTGCAGAAGCTGTCTTTGGATGTCCTCATGCTTTGTGACATTTCGTGGCTCCTCACATCTTGTCTGAGCTCATCCAGTGAATCTGGACAGTCGGATATCACATACAGCGCATTGTGCTGGTGTCTGCTACATTGCTATGCAAGTTGCACACTTCCATTAGTTTCATCTCACCCTGAATGCAAAATTTAATTTTTTAATATTCTGACCACTCTTTGAATATGAATATACACTTCCTATTTTTTATTTTGATATTGTTTTTAGTCATTCATCCCTATGCTTTCCAAGGACTCACTCTATGTCTTTTTCTCACTAGAATCCTTAAAAATGTGTAAGGAAGTGAAATGATCTGCTTTGCTCCAGGTAGAAACTGCTGTAGACTCTGCCAGTTATTGTGCGTGTGTGTGTTTTCCCGCACAACACACTGCGTTCACTTCTGCCGTCTTAAATTGTAGTCACCTTCATGATTTACATAGATGTTATTCTCACGAATGTATCTACTTAGGATAACTAACCTCTGTTTTCAAACTAAGCACAGTTTTCCATTGCAGTGTGCTACGGGCTGCCCACCACTAACCAGACATCCCCGCTTCCTCCCTAGCCCCAGCCGAAACAGATTACGTATATCCCACTGCCAAAGCACCACTCAGGCCAGAGGAGCCAAAGGCTGAAGGTGGTAATGGTTTTCACGCTTTGATTCATTTATTCAACAAATTTTTAATTAGCGTTTATTATGTCCATGGAACGGGAAAGTTCAACCTGTGGTGTTTATTCTACACTGAATAGATTTGAAGAGCTATAGTTTCCAAAATTCTTGGATTCTTAAAATTGAAGTGATAATTGACTGACAACGGAGATAAATTTTAGTTTCTCTGCGGTATGTAAATATCGAGGCGTAATAGTATCTGACAGACAGTTAAAACATGAATGCTAGTTAGAGGGTTAGCGTTGTAGAATAGGATTTCCTTCTTGGTTCTCTCTTTTTTCTTGTTTAAATCCATTGTCCTATCTGTAAAAATATGACGCAAATTCTTAAGAGAATGAGGTGTGTTGATCTTCAAGAAAGAAATGCTTGACTGTGCTTACTATCTTACTATTTTTAAAATTGTTCTCCTTTGTTTTGATACAGTTGTGGAATCTGTTACAAATGTGTCAGAACCACCCGAGACCTCGCTAGGTAATGACACACCTCGGCAGCTTTTGTCCCCATTGCGGCCATCATCTGAGAACCTCAGGTTCTCGCTCATTGTGAATTCATGTTGCAACGTCATTCTTTGTCATGGCAGTTAACTTTCTTTTTATTCATAACCATTGTCCAAAAAGTCTCTCCTCCCATTCAGTTTTGTATCTAAACCTTCGTCTCTTTCTCTACTTGTCAGCCAAACTGTCAAATCTAAAACATCTTTTTCCTAACATTGAATATTCTGCCAGCTTGATATTGTGTTGAATATTTCAGATATGTTTTTGTATAATGATCCATTCATACTTTACGCCCTAGCAACTTACTTTCCATTAACACTCGTTCCATCACATTCATTTACATCTTTGATATTTTTCCCTCCATCATTTAAGTGAAATTCATTCCTCTTGACTGGCTTATGCTTTAACTTTTTTTTATTACTTTGTTTTTCCCTTTATGGGTACCATGGAATATATCTTTCTAGCATTGTTGAGTAGGTACTAGAGTGTAGTGAGGATTTAAAAAATAAGGATATTTCTCACTTCGAAAGTATTTTGTAACTTGGCACGTCTAAGGATTTTTAAACTGAATGCATTATGAAGAAGTAGGAATGCTATTTTGCTGCAGACTTGCAATTTTCATTACTCTTTTCAATCTACTTGTGACCATCATTTCTGTCATCTGCACACAAGTTGTGTGAAGCACTCTAGTAACCCCGGGTACTTTCCTTCACTGCCTTAGAGACATCACCTCTGCCTTCCCAAACTATAACCCTACCCAGCCCAGATGAGCCTCGGACTGAACCGGGTAAATACGTTATTTTGTATTTCGCGTTGAAGGTGAGTGTTTGCAGAATTTCTAAAGAATGGAAAGACAATAGGGGCACTACCAGAGACCAGAAGCCCTAACCTCATCACTCCGCTCAGTCTTTGACAGGGGTCCTGCCTGCCTGATGCCCCGTTGCCTCTATCTGTAATCTGTAGCCAGCCGCGTCTTTAGAATACGGCTGAGAAACACCTCTCACCACTCTGCCAGTGTTTAGTACAGGAAATAGTAATGTTTCTGGGAAGAACATCTGTATTCCATTTTAAAATACAAATATGCATCCTAATTTTGAACACTTTATCATCTTGAATAGTTTTACAAGTTCTATGGTCATATAAAAAGCATTTTAAGATATCTAATTTGTGTTTAAGATGAACAGAAACCTCCAGAAACAGGCTTCACTGTGTGATCCACATAAAGTGGAATAACTGGCCAGTCACCTTGTCATTATTCAGGTCTTTCACTTCTTCCCACTCCTTCCTGCGGTGGTTTGGCCATTTCACTGCATACAGTTAGGAGCAACTGAAGTCAAGCCAGTTGCTTTGGCAGATCGTAGAGGTTTACTTGATGGTGGAGATTGAAATCAAGGAAAAGAAATCCTTAACACAGATAACTAAACGTGCTTCCTACTATAAGGAAAAATCGTCTCGTTACCTATAGGCTTTCTTGGTAGCAGTTTATCAAAAATAAGCCCAAACTTGTGTTTTGATTGCCACTGAACTTTTTTATATGGCTCTGTTCCCAAAGGGCCAGCCCTGGTGGTCCAGAAGTTAAGATCCAGTGTTCTCACCACCAGGGCCTGGTCTGTGTCAGGGTCAGGGAACCCCACCACCCTTGTTGGTTGTCATACTGTGGCAGCTGTGTGTTGCTGTGATGTTGAAAGCTGCGCCACGCGGTCACCCATGGTGGACAGGTTTCAGTGGAGCTTCCAGACTTGGGAACTGGCATTGTCTGATAGAGCACCAGAAGGGGTGAGGATGATGCAAAAAGACCAGACAGCGTTCAGCTCCACTGTACAGAGGGGCACTAGGACGACAAAAACAACAGATTTCCAAGGGAGATATGGACAATAATTTTGCTCATTGTCCTCTGAAATATCCTGTTAAACATTGCATATTAAACTCTGTAGTTTAGTTTTTACAAAAATTACACATTGATTATATGAACTGAATCTGCATCAGTTCTCTCTAACTTTTCCAAAGTTTGTTTTTGATAGATGTAATAATATTATTAAAATGTTTAATGGTAAATGCTATTAGTGATTTGTACCTCTTTCTGAATCATTTTTCATGGACTTGCTTCATGACATGCCTTTCCCCGCAGGCGTGTTTCTTAGCCCCTGGGGAAGCAAGCAGCCTATCATTAGGAACCTCAGCCAGCAAGGAAGTTGAGAGTCAGGAAATCACAAGACTGAGAGAAACTGTAGAGTCATAGAACTTTAGGATTGGAAGGGCTCGCAAAAATCCAGTAACTTTTGATGGAGAACCTAAGTCTGTATCCCCAGTGACAAGCAAAGGGAGCTCTACAACTCCAGGCTCCAAGCTCCTCAACCAGCGTCATCTCAACATACCTCGGGGTTCATCTCTATGCAGGCGAGAGGATTCCACTGGGACCAGCGCACGCCTTGTGTATTTCGTTTTAGGATCAGGAAGAAGTCTCTGCAGACCCTTTAGAAACTTCTTCCAATATCTAATAACTCTTATTTTCAGGAATCTTTTCTTAAGGTGCCTGAAACTCCGTGAACTTGAAAATCATTTTTTTCTCTCTCTCTCTTTAGCCCAAACACACTTTAGTCCAACCAAATGAGCTGTTTCCACAATCTGCAACCTTGCATTTGATAATTCCTTTCCTCCAGCAGGATATACTTTTAATTTTCTTGGTGAAGACACAATTGGTTTTTACACTGAGTGTCCTAGAACTTCTTTGGGACCTGCCCAGCAAAGGAATAACTTTATTCAGAATGTGTGCTTTCAATTTCTGGTCAATTTCTCTTCCCCAATACAACCAATAAAAAATGTGTTTTGTTTAATAAGATTTTTTTCCTATTAGCATTTGCTGTTAAAATGCATTCATCTTATAGGTATATTTGGAATGTAACATGCAAACTTTTTTTTAGAAGAAATTGTATCTATTTGCACTTAAAAATGTTTATACTGGGATAATCTGATAAAATGGTGTGAACTTGTAATAAGGATGAATTATTATTATTATTAAATTTATTTTTACCCTGTATAAAAGGTATTTGAAGTAGATATTTCTGGAATTCCAACAGTTTCATTTACCAGCTGAATATCTTGGATACCATTTAATGTATCTTCTTGTTTTGTTCAGTTTTCCGTCATAAGAAGACAAGAAAATTACCTTTCTATGCTTTGTGGCTCCTTGGGAGCTTTAATTGCATTAATTGCTGGTATTTAGGTCTTCAGTACTCAACCAACGTCTTTGAGATCCTAGAGGCTTAGGTACTGGAATTCTTGAAGAGCTCAAGAGCTCCGAACCTATATCCTTTCTTTTAGCTCCCAAGCAGACGCCGCGTGCTCCTCCCAAACCAAAAACATCTGCACATCCAAGAGTCCCACAAACACAGCCAGGTAAATACGTATTTTATATTCTGGCCTGAAAAGTTGGATATTAATGGAGCTATTCTGTTGAATTACAGCGAGTTGAGTTTTTAACCCTCGTAAAACAAGTCTTCCTTTGAAACCTAATGAATACTTATATTTATTTTTAGAATTTATCAAAAAGCATGTTTTTGGAATAGCTTATTCCATAAAGCTTGCCTTTGTTACATTATTTATAAGGGGGATGGAGAAAAATGGAATTTCTTGAAAGAGTAGGCTGCCTACTCCCTGTGCCTCTCCCTATCTCTTCCATGGTCCTTGAAGATACCTCCCCCTGCCAATCACCTACTTTATTTTTTTGACTTTTAGTAGATTTTGTTTAACAGAAAGTCTTGAAGATTTATATATATATATATATATATGTATGTGTATATATATATATATATCTTCTTCTATAACATAATGATACAATTCTGTTTGGGTTCTTTTGCTGTAAAATTTTGATAAGGACCCAAACAAGAGTCATTATAAACTATTTTTCATTTTGTTCCAGAAGCTCTTATTCAAATGACTAACTCTAACCCTAAGTTCTCAACCAAGATCTTGTCCAATTTCTCCAAATGCCTTAGCGGATCCCTACTTTGGGCTACCATAAACTCAACCTGCCTCTAAGAAAGTTCATCATGTTTTTCCTCCTTTCACTTTCCCCTTTACACCCGTGGCAGGGCCTCAGCATTCTACATCTGATTTTTCTTCTCTTCTTCATCCAGCCCCTGCAGTCCGTCTTTTACTAAGTCTGGTACATTCAGTCCTTCCGACCGTCTCTAGCACTGGTGCCTACTCCAAGCATCCACCCGATCATGCCCAGTCAGTTGTCCTTAATTAACTGATCTCCTGTCTCTTGTCTCCTAATTTCAAATTATCTCTCCCCTTGATCTTTAAGTGATTGATTAACTAATTCGTTTCATCGGTTAGTCACTCAACAAGTATTTATTGCATGTGGACTATGTACCAGGCACGTGCTAGATGCTGTGGGTGTGAAATCAAAATTCAAGGAAGTTAGAGTCTAGGCCAAATTTATCCTTTATACACGGCCCACTTCCACAAGGTGTGTGAGGTGCACCTACCTAATTTACCAGGAAAGAAACTTTCTCTGCCGCTCATGGCCTGGGGGAAGGAAAATGTCAGCAGCATCAAAATTATGCTTGATCCAAATAGCAGTTCTGAATCCCACCACAAATCCCATCATCAAATCTCGTGATCTTTAATATCTGATTCTGAGAGGAATTTTGCCTATTATTTTTTGCTTTATAGGAAAATTCCTTACAAGACAGTTCTATGTTCCACACAGCTAATGATTTTAAATCTACTTTAATGTATTTGAAAATGTGTTTTATTTATTGCTAAAACTTTGCTATGAAAATGATATGGGTATGATACATAAGTATATGAAGGTACCAAGGCAACGATTCCCTGAAAGAATAAGAAATTAAAATAATAACAATAAGTACATTGGAAACATTAATCCATAAGAAATACTTGGAAAAATAATTAATGATTAGTGAATAAGTAATGATTAATGAATAGAATAGGGATTTTAAAAAGTAAGTATACTAAACTTGTGAATAGGAAACCAAAATCTAGCTTTAAAAAATAAACAGAAAAAAATCACATGAGAAGAAGCTCTTGAATTTTATTTAAATATAAAGCATAGAATAAAAGCAGAGAAAGGAGAAATGGAAAGAAATAAGAAAGCATGAAAACTTGGTGAATGTTGGAAAATAAGAAACGCTGGGAGTTAAGACCTTGGGGATATAAATTCCTGGTTGGTAAAATTCTCAAAAGTAAAGGAGATGTGAAATAACAAGGAAGACTTATTCATAATTTTGTCTTTTCGAACTGTACTCTCTACTTTAAAAATGCAGTTTAGTAAATCAGGAGCTTACTCTAATTTCCCATTATTAATTTATAAGTTTCAAATTTCTTTAATTTTGACTTAGACTTTTAGCCAACCTTCCTCCACGAGATCTGCAGCTTCAGAATGGAGAGGTCCGTATGCTCAGTGCGTCCCCGTCTAACTCTGAGACCCTGGAGTGGCTGCAAAAGGAGAGCCTCCTGGCTCTGTCCCAGCCGAGGCCACTGCCAGCCCATCAGCCTCTCCTGTGGAAAGCGGCTGCAACTCAAATACTGCTGGCTTTGTCAGGGGTACTTAATGCAGGGGATGATTTGGAAAATTGATCACGGTAAATGAAACGCATTCTAATTACTCTTGGAAGCGGGTGAAATTAGGATGTCTCTTATCCAAGAGAATATGATCTTACTTAACAGATCCCAGGAGTATCCTAGATTTTTATAGTCTTTCAAGGACGTTTGTATATGTGTACATATGTATCGCTAAATATTTCAAAGACAAAGATTCAAATTCTAGTACTTCCTCCCTTACCCTGGCCAGCTCTTGTAAATTTCAAAGGGCTATTTGAGCAGGAGAAGGTTCTGTTCATATGTTCTACACCAAATGCAAATTATTATCGTTGGGCGATGAGGGTGTCACCTGACAATAGTGTATACAAGTGAAAGTGGAACCAATGTGTTCACCCACCACTTTTCTCACATTAAATTCTGTAATTGGGCATGCCACTTTTATTCTTACTTATACTTAAACTATGTTTATAAATTAGATAGCAAAATTTGAGTTAGAACAGGTTTATTATTTATACCCAAAATTGAGAAACAAGTTGAAATGTGACCTGGAGAGCTGGGATGTAGCTACTGATAATGGCTGGACCTCAGCATGCAGTTCAAGTCTTATCTCTAGTGTTTAATAAAGACATCACCTCGGGCAGATAACATCACCAACCCAAGCCTTTAAACCGAAGCTGATAATTCCTTCCTCCCGGGTAATATGGTGAGAATCAAAGGCCATAATCCTTACGGAAGCATTTTTGAAATTGTAAAATGAGCTATAAATAAATTAGAACTTTTTTTCCTGGTAGCTGGTCCATTAGCACCTTGTTCCTCCAAAGGAACAGTTGTGTAAAGACAATTTTAGTTTGTGAACACGTTTATTTAAGGTTATTTGGGGCCTAGGAATTGCAGGGAGAGTAGGATGCGAGCCCACCCGTTGCAGTCCATGCCCCTTCCCTTTCTGCTGTTGCCTGAGCTGGCCTTACACTTCTCTTCTCCATGCTTCACAGGCTGCTGCTCTGACTTCACCGAGTTCACCCTCAAAGAAAGACATGGGGGGGTGGAGGGAGCATTTAAGAAATCAAGCAAACATCCAGAAAAGAGGTGCACCCTCGAGTTAGTTTAGTTACTGTCTCTTGTGAAATGAAAGTTTCAAAAAATTCCCCATCCTACCCTTATGCTTACTCAAATTTTGCAGTTTCTCAGGTTTCATTTTTCTAAAAGTATCTGGAATCCTAACTGATCTATTTTTAGAGCTTATGGTTTACTTTCCCATCCAGCTGCCATTTCATTGCTTTGTTTCATCAGTGGTCAGGCTGACACCCTGTCATAGCTTATGTGTTAAGCATGACCGAGAGATGCTGAAACCAAACATTCTCTCTTTCAGCTCCTAAGGTGTCCCAGCATGTTACTTCAAAGCCGAAAACGTCACCAAGTCCAGAAGTATCACACACTCCAGCTGGTAAATGCTGTATTTCATATTTAAGCCAAATGCATTCTATGTCCCACTTTGCTGCAGTGGAACATCTCATGTATGTGAGGCCAATGTTTCAGTTATGTTCAGAGACCGTGTTGTATCATGCATGCCATGGTCATTTCAGAGCTTTCATAAGAGTTCCCTAAGTGCTCACATAGTGAGCTAGTAATATAGTCAAAAGACAGAGGTATGCCGAAGATAGAAAGTTTTTTTAGAGCTAAAGTTTTCTTATAAAAATAACCTACCATTGCTAACTATGGTATGCTCAAATGTTTCACCAAAATAAGATAAAACAAAGAATTTTGGATTTTTCCACAAAAATGATAAAATGATGTTCTGCAAACAGAGGAAATGATGTTTAACCATTTTCTTGGGTTCAGAAATTTCACATTATCCAGCGTTCAATGTTTTTTTTTTCCTGTCAAATTCTATTTTACCAGATCATGGAGCAATAGCTTGGGTTAAGAAATAAGAAATTTGTTTCACAAAAAAAATGATTTTTTTAGCTACAAATCTATTTCTTGCCTATCATCTGAGAAGGCCTTTTGTCCATTTATGGGGGAATAATCTCATATTTGTGAGAGTAGTCAGGGAGGGGACTGCAAGGACCCAGCCATTTCCTGGTCTTGCCACCAATGCTCTGAGTCCTCAAGTGACCTCAGGAAGGTCCAATTAATATAAATTTCTAGATGCTCCTAGAAGCATACAGAACATTCCCAGGACCAAAGGATTTCTAAGCAGTAGCTTGAAATGATGGCATTTTGGAAGGAAGCCCAAATTGAGTTGCTATACTGCTTTCCAGGTTGTGTGAGGGTGTTACTGTGCTGTGGGACAGTCAACACCTGGCGGTGGTGGTAGGCTAGAGAGGCTCCTTTGCCCTGAAGTCTAGAATTTAAATTTGTACTTCTCAATGCAACAGCCAATGAAAACACCAATGAAAAACAAAAGCTGATCTTCCCACTTGCAAAAAGTCAACTTCTTATTTGCAATCATGGAAAAAAAAAGGTAACAGAAATTAAGTCATTACAGATAATAACAATAGATTTGAGTGATTTTATTCACTTTTCCTTTTCATTAGAGAAATTAACATTGTTGGTCCTGATGTGACTTAATGTCATTAAACCAACGTATATAATAGCTAAACTTTCTTCTTTTTTAATGCCTCATATTTGCTTTATTCCACCAACACCTCATTTTTCACGGAAACGCGAACCCGTAAGCTCGAGCACTGGAACACCGCGCACATTCCCCCGGGGCCTCCGTGGGCTTATTCTACTGACTCTCCAGTTCCACACATTCAGTTAGAATTCCGTCTCTAAACCTGGTGTTGGTCCCTCCATTGTGATCATCAGGGGTTCCCCTATTGTTCCTGGGGTGTGATGCTAACAGGAACAATCATAAGGCAACCCCGTTAGTACGTTTCCGCTTCCTCACAAGCATTCCAACAGAGTGGATTCTGTTGTGTTCAGTTTCTGGGTTGTAGCTAGGCTCAGGTTTGCATCCTGATGAACCCAAGACCTTGTTTACTGGCTCCTGTAGGTTAAACCTCGGAAAACAGGGATAAATTATGTGTATATTTAATACGTCCTGGTTTCCTAGAGAAATAGATGCTCTGTAAAAATATAAAAATGTAAAATGTAGTGTGGAAGTCAGGACAGAGTTATGTTTTATCACGATGTTTATCTCAAAACTTATTCTGAGATATCAGAAGGAACAAGCTTGCATTTCTAGACCTGCGTCAAACAAGACGTCAGTGTAGGATGTGCTGTACAGCTCTTCGCTTCTGTAGATTCCTAGGTGGGATGCAGGTTTCATCCAGTTAGGCCTTTAGAAATATCTTGCAGCCACTCAGTTGAATTATCTATGACACTAAATGAGGAGTCGTGACAAACAGCCCACCTACCACGTCCAGAACCAAAGTAGAACTGGCTTTTCTAGGAGCTGCCTTGGAGGAATGATAGAAAAATCAGAGCAAAGGAATCGCCCTAATGCCTGCTCGTAGGCCATGCCTTCATCATAGATTCGTTTCTACACCAAGGCTGCCTTGGCTTTGTGGTGACCGTTGTGGCCCACAGATATTTGGATAGACTTCAGTCATTGGAGCAACCAGGAAGAAAATCTAGATTTCAGCAAGCTATCCAGTCCTCACAAATGTTCTGTGTAGCTACTCTTTCTGGTAAATTCTAATGTGTAGTCACACTCAGCATTTTTGCAGTTAGGAGGTAAGCGAACCATGCTGAAATGCCTTTGGATGTGGAAGCACTTGGACCTAGACAATGACTGAATGGTGTTATGTATGGAAAGAAGGATGACCCTGCTCTTTCTAGGTTGGGCAGGTGGTAGATGATAATGCCACTAATGAAGACAGGGAACACAGAGGGAGGAATAAAGGTTTGTGCACATGCTAGGTTTGAAGGGCCAGAGGACTTTCAAGTGGGAGTGTGTAGGTGGTATTTCTGGATTTCTAAACAGAAGCCAGGATTTGGGATGTAGTTTTGGGAGACACACATCTATGTAGAGAAGGTTCTTAAATCCTGTGAGTGGATGACGTCATCCAGGAGAAAGCATAGAGAAAATAAGAGGTCACAGACGACAGACTTGGGGACACAGTTATATTTAAGGAGTAGACAGAGGAAGAGGAGCCAGCAGAAGTTGCTGTTAAAAAATATGGAGTACCAGGAGAGAGGGACTCAGCAGGCAAGGCAGGGAAGGGTAGTGGACAATGACAGAGAGGGATCAAAAGAGTTGCTGGACTTGACAGTGCACGCCCACAAGCCCATGTCTGAAACCCATGGGCTGATGCTTCAGAACGTAGCAATTTTCATAAAGATAAAACAGCACATACACCATCGATTACAGGCATGTCACTATGTCTGCAGTAAGAAATATGAAGAGTCCTACTAAGCAGGATGAATGAAATCTAGAAATTGCCTTAGGTCAGTTCTAGTCAGGTTCTGCTATCAAGTAAGTTAAGAAAAAACTTTCAGTTTTCCAAGCATTTTGGATTTCAGAACTATTGATAAGACATTGTGAATACATGGTTGCTAGAGATTAGTGAAGTGGAAGCCAGACTACAGTGCATGAAGAAGATACAATTGAGAGACCAGGAAGCAGAGGCAGACACAGTCATGCGCCACATAACAACACAATGGACCACATATACGACAGTGGTCCTGTTAGATTAGGACCGTTGAGCCCAGGTGTGTAGTGGGCTGTACCCTCTGGGTTGGTGTAAGTACGCTCTATGATGTTCGCACAATGACAAAATCGCCTAACGATGCATATCTCAGAAAGTGTCCTCATCATTAAGTGACCCATGACTGTATAATTTTTTGATTAAAGGAATGAGAGTGGGAGTGGGGTGCTTTGAAAAGGAAGCCATGTCAAGGAAATGATAATTATTTTTAGGATCTTGGAGCATTTGAGCTGTTTCATAGGTGGAAAAGGAGGAACTCGTGGATAAACGGAAATATGGACTAACAAAGTATGGGAGATAGTAGAAATAATGGAAAGCGAAAAGCCCAAGAAAAGATGGGAGGGAGGTGGCTGAGAGTGCAGGTAAATCTCAGAAAGCTGCCAAAGGACCGGAGACCTGCTTCCTCTCAGACCTGCCCTAAGGGTGCAAGGTCAGAATAAAGGAGCCGAATCTTGAGGGGAAGGGTGTGTGGTCTACACTGTAGCGCTTCTCGAAGAGAATCCATCTCTTTACAGTGTCTTGCAGGGGTAAACCTCCTGAAGACTTCATCTTCCTCCATCTTTATAATACATTAAGTCTCTCCTCTACTCTGGCAAAACGTTCACGCACAATCATTTGCATTTGTCCATATTAGACATTTCCACTCAGTTGTCTTGTGTTGGTTGAATTTTTTTTTGAGTGGTGCCCTTTATTCAAAAGATAGTTAATATAATTGGTTAGTTACTATAAATGGTAAGCTGGTTAATATAAGTGAGTCAAATATAATAATGGTAAATACTGTTATAAGGAAATCAAGACAACCTTCTCAAATGAATTGGCATCATCTGCATTGACGAGTTTCCCCCAGCACGGAAGAGTCAGGGTTAGGAATCGTGCTCTTGTTCAGGTTAATACATGGAGGAATGCCACAGAGGAAAAAAGGAAAAAAACAACTTGCGTTTGTTGGAGCTGCAGTGGCCCAAGTAAGAGAATGATTCATATCCCTTTCCTGTGACTATGTCTGTTCCTTTCCTTTCCACTGATTTCACCTGCTCTAGGAAGTCTGCGATGGCTGTTAAACCATCACTTCACGGTTAAAAAGTGCTGGTTGCAGCAGCAGGAATCGCGTCACCCCAGCCTGGCTTCCTCAGTAGACCGAAGCAGGTGGCGAGCCAGGTGTTCACAGTCTGGAGGATTTACTGGGAGCACATTTCTTTTCAGCTTCTCTGGTCCGTCTCCCAGCTCCTCTTTGTATATATGGTCTGGAACCGTAACCCAGTTAGGGTATTTATACCCTACAGGCTGCTTTGTATGGTCATGGCCTTCTCAGAGCCATATTCAGGTGCCTCTCCTTTACCCTCCAGATAAACATTAGTTGGATCTACAACTGGAGATTCCTCATATTTTACCATTTGAATCCCCCAAAATACTACAGAGCAAGGGTGGAATGTTCTCTGTTGTGATGGGTTTTCTCTACCTTTGTCAACCACTGATCTTTTTGAAGTTGCCTTTTTCTTTAAAAAAAAGAAAAATCCAGGGGGCTGGCCCTGTGGCCGAGTGGTTAAGTTCGCGCGCTCCGCTGCAGGCGGCCCAGTGTTTCGTTGGTTCGAATCCTGGGCGCGGACATGGCACTGCTCATCAAACCACGCTGAGGCAGCATCCCACATGCCACAACTAGAAGGACCCACAACGAAGAATATACAACTATGTTCCAGGGGGCTTTGGGGAGAAAAAGGAAAAAAATAAAATCTTTAAAAAAAAAAAAAAGAAAAATCCAGATTTTTAAGTTTCCCTGGATGTTACCTTGTAGCTCATAGAGTTCTAATTGAGTGAAGTTTCTTTTCAATGTACCAAATTCCACAACTGTAATTTCACTGTTACCCTGTGGTCTAGACCAAGAACAGATTAAATATGATCCCCCAAAGCAGTAAAAAGACAATGTCTGTTTTACATAACCTATTTCTACACCAATGGTAAAGTGGTATTGGCCACCTCATGGTACAAAAGTTTTCTTCATCTTCCTCTGAGGCAAAGTTCTAGCCTGAATCCTATTTTTTCCCCAGTATCATATAAGATGCAAGAAAATCGCAGTGCCTGCCAAAGGGACTCTGCTATTTACAAAATCTTCAGTGTGGTGGGAAGACTTCTCAGTGAGAGAGTAGGGCTGAGAAGGTTCTCCCTGTGGGGAAACTGAGTCAAAGAAGTCCTTTACCTTTCTCTTGGAAGGAGACTTCGCCGTAGAAATCTGGTGCTAACAATAGGCAAATCACTCTGGTATTTCCCTCAGTGAGAAATAGGTTGTCAAATTCCCGACCAACTGTTTTATTTTGCCAAAATAGAACTGGGCACAGGCATTAAAAATATACTGGATATCAGGGACTAAATATGGCGTGGGTCTATTGTTTAGCTGACATTTTTGTCCTTGTCTTCATGTTCTCATATGTCAGGAGGCCCTGCCACCTAATATACTGGAAGCCACATCACTAAGCAGGACAAATCGACAACATTTATGTCGCATTTACTCTGTAACGAGTACACTCACAAACTACGTGTGGTGCCTTCTAATGGGTGGCTGATTCCTTTAGCTCTGTTTTCTCCCCTAATAACTGTTAGTGCCTTTAAGAATAAAACTTTGTTCTCCTCTTAGACGCTCAAGAATTTTGTCTTTCTTGCCATTTCTCTCATTTGCAGACCATTTGTGCACTTTATCTATGATCATGTATTTTCTACTGCTGTCAGTAGAATTTTCGCATGGATGTTAAATGGCACCTAACCCCTTCAGGCAAAAACTGACTTTCTATTTTGAAGACCACTGGAGGGAGACCCATTTTCTAGTGTTGAATTACATTAGTTAGGTCCTCTTTCTTTTTTTCCCTCACGGGAGGCTTCAAAATGAGCTGTGACCAACTTTGTTTTACTGTCGCTAGAACCCTCCCTACACAACGCCATTCTTCCATTTTGAAAAGCACGGTCGTCTTCTTGCCTCTGCTCTGTAGCCATTGCGGAAACGCCTTTGCTCCCCCATGCTCTTCGGTCCTCCGCATCCAGGGGTGGTCGCACTGCAGCCGTGACGTCTAGAGTACAAAGTGTTTGATCATCTTTTTCTTTCAGTTCCGCGAGACGTGCTCCTTCCCCATAAACCAGCCCCCGAAGGCTCTCAGAGCGAACCTGGTAAATGAATTATTTTATCTTCCAGTTAGGAGCTGTATTTCTCCAAAAATATTCTTGAGGCCAATATGTATTTTTAATGATTGTGATGTGGAAGCACTTCAGAGAAAATTATGGATATAAAATGTGTATTTATTTGTGAGAAGCTTTAATCAAACAATCTGTATGAATTTTTTTTCCCTGGTTAACATGAAGGAATGGTACATAATTAGTTTATTTTCCCTGGAAGTGTTTTAATTGAATAGGATATCATGCTAACGTTATAAGACACAATTATTAACTGAACCAACCATTTTCACCTGCTTTCAAAATGTAAATATAACACATTCCAACTGTGGGTGTACTTTTAAGTAAAAAATGTGGGTGCCTAACCAAAATTTTTCCTCAAAGTGACAGTGAATGAGAACTTTAAAGTTTAAGATAAACTAAGTTCCCCGGGTGGCATCTAATACATAGAATTTTCTCATATTTATTCTGGTTCTTAAAGAATGTTCAAATGGATGCACATAGAAACACAGAAACTGTTTTTACTTCACCAGGTAGTAATTCTCATAAATGTTTCTTTGGTTTGCTTTCGGCCTAGTTCTGCAGCCTGTTACCTTTAGCATTGGCCCACCAGAGGCAACAATAGGTAATGGCTTTCCCATATTGACCCCCTCTAATTGTTTTCTTTGCTACCATCAGGACTGCAGGTCTTTCTCAAATAGTTATGTCAAAACATCATCTCTTCTCAAACCATTCCCTCCTTTTATTTTCACTGTTAGTACTCTTTCTGAAATAGAAAAGCAGTGGTTTCTCTGCTGTAGCGGCTTTGCTCCGAAGACCAACTCAAGGTAGCTCACTACAGAGTCTGTCCTCACCTACCTCATTCATCTCCGTGTTCAAAATGGCTCCATGTTACTCATGCCCATCTAGTTAATATCTCTGCTGGTTTAGTGGTTCTCAGCTGTATTATTACAACACACTGGCAAGTTATGAAAGATGCTGGCAAGTGATTGTTATTAATATTGGTCAAAATACTGAAATTTGCCAATGTTTTATTTTAAAAAATAAATTTGGGGCGGGCCCTGCAGCCCAGTGGTTAAGGTCGCGTGCTCCGCTTTGGCGGTCTGGGGTTTTGCCGGTTCAGATCCTGGGCATGGACATGGCACCGCTCATCAGGGCATGCTGAGGCGGCATCCCACATGCCACAACTAGAAGGACCCACAACTAAAAAAAATACACTTCTATGTACCAGGGGGCTTTAGGGAGCAAAAGGAAAAATAAAATCTTTAAAACAGAAAGAAAGAAAGAAATTTGAGCAGACTCCAGATGATCTCTACAATGATGATATTCTCACTCATTTTGTCATTCTATGTGCTTTCTCGGGTGGGAGAGCTACAGCTGACAGCCCCAGGACCATGTCTAACCCATACTCCATCTTAACCGCACATGGTCATGGAGTGTGTCAAGCATTGAACATGGTGTATTATCTATCCTGGTAGAAAAAAACAGTTGAGAACCATTATTCTAATAGTCCACAGTCATTTCCCCGAAGGTCTGTGCACATTTAACTTTCCTCTCCATGACTCACTTAGTGTTTCCCTTTTTTGACGTCAAATGAAGGAATCTTGTGTAATATCATTCTAGCCTGGTGCTGGCTTCTGAATCCAAAGACTAACAAGCTTGCAACTTGTCTTTTGCAGGTCCTTTAGAGACCCGAGGCAGCCCTTTCATTCCCATGATTTCACCAAGTCCTAGTCAAGAGGAACTACTAACCGCTCTGGGTAAATCTTGTTTTGATATTTCAGTGCTATGAGGACCCACCTTTCAGGGTGTACCCTTAAAGGAGCCATATGCACATTGTGTTCGTAGGTTGTTTCCAGACAATAGAAGGTCTCTTTTTTACCATTATAAAAAATATCCATTTCACTTGATTCTTTTATATTGCCGGCATGTATGTCCTTCTAATAGTCATGCTGATTTTTAGTATAAAATGAGAAAGTTTTAAAACATCGTGACAACATTTCAAGTATTTTAAAAGGAAGAATGTCCCCAAAGCACATCAATGCTGTACTTTTTTGTTGCTTTTTCTGTATTTGAAACTGCATTTGGAAGAAAAATTTCATCTAGTCTTTACTGAATATTTTATGGGTACTAAGCACAATGCCAAGCAATGAGAGGCCCAAAGTCAAACTGTTTAAAGGTGAGTCCTTCCCCTGGAGAGCTCGCCAGCTCAGATGAAGACAGTATCTGTGATGGTGGCGCTTCCTGTGTACATCCCTACGTGTATTTTTTAATTTCAGCCACGTAACTTTGAGGTAGGTCCTTTTACTTGCCCGATTTACAGATTAGAAAATTGAGGCACAGAGAGATTTAAAAATTTGGCTGAGTCACACAACTAATGTCAGAGCCAGATTGGAACCCGCACATTCAGTCACCAGAGTTCCTAGGATTCACCCCAAGGCTATTCATTACAACAAGTGTGATAGAGAAATGAGCAGCATGCTGAACATGCAAACTACCTGGGGGCATCAGGGAAGGCTTCACAGAGGAGGTGACATGTACACTAGGTCTTCAAGTTGGAGAGAGTTGAAGTTAAAAATGCGAGAGGTCCTTTCAGGTTAAACACAGATGGGTGGAGGCACAGGGCAGAGAATGGCAGCCAGACTCCTGATGAGCGTGTGGGGCATGTGGAGAAATGAGACTGGATGAGTCAGTTGGTTGGGATGAGCTGGCCATGCATTCGAGGAGTTCAGCACCAACATCCTCACTGTGGAAACCCTAGTTTGCCTGACTTGGCTGAAAATGAACAGGAAAACAAGAGTTCCCTGCTTGTGATTTTTGGCTCCCCTGCCCTGTCCATGCCACATCCCACATAGCTGTGTTCAAATTGGTGGCCTTATTTTCCTCCCTCAACCCTTTTCAAACAAATCCATCCTTTGTCAGTGTCTGCTGAAATGAAGTTACTAATCCCATTTTTAAATAAAATCCTTTTTGAAGGAAAAAATTTAAAACTGAATGAGCAAATTACCCTAATTACCAAATATTCATCTATGGTAGCCGAGGCCCACAAAGTCAGCGTCACCAATGAGGGCAAAGTCAAAAGCACTTTTCAAGACCCACTGCTGTATATGCTAATTATCTAATGGCCAGTCCCTATTTTTAAAACATGTCTTGATTTATTGAAGCAAGAACCATCACCTGCCATCTTTCACAAGTATCTCTCTTGTGAGCAGAATCCAGATTGTAAAGCAGGGCAGAAAAAAGATGACAATATATTATTTGCACCAAGTGTTTCCTTGGATCCAGTATGCGGCAAAGTGCACACTGTAATTTGCTATGTCTGTACGATGCTGTGAGGATTCCAAGATAATATTGGGGTGGAACTACTGCTGTGCTTATTTTTTATTTTGTCAGGAGAAATGTGCCTGTATGTCAGTAAACATAGACTTCGTTTTTCACGTGAAGAAAATAGAAGAATACTTATCTTATAAGGTGTAAATGCGCATCTTTCCTTCAGACCTATTTCCTTCCAGCTCACCTAAGTAACTTGTGGAATTGATGGAACAGAGAGAAGACATGAAGGCAGTTAGGAGGCACCCAAGTATAGCCACATCCAGGATGATGTGACAATGATCCTGAGCTAAAAGCTTTTGGAAATCCTAATAATAGTCATTAATAACAGTGCAAGAAGACAGAAAATATAATAAGTGAAAGTTATTACAATGTATCATTAACTTTGTATTATTATGATTACTGGACATAATTATAAATGCAATTTACCCTTTTATCATCACATGGTGCAGATAATACTGTGGGTTTTTTTACATGTCCATAATGATAATTATTAAAGCAAGCCACCTTACTGTGTTTTTCCCCAGCAGAAACAGACCAAACCACCCAAGAAGTCTTCACCACTAAGATTTCACGAACAACTGAGCTGGCAAAGACGACTCCGGGTAATGCTATCCCCCTACCTCTCATAGGAACTTTTGCTTCTTCACTTTTAATCAGGAAAGAAATTTCTTTTTCAGAATGTAATTTCTCATCACAGTGAATTACTTGGCTTTTTTCACGATTTAGGTGCAGGACATCAGCCACGTGTGAATACTACTAGTTGAATGTAGGAAGACAAGTTCTTTAGCTGGAGCTGTGCTTTTGGATGTATTGTCGACCACTTGATGCTAATAACTAAGAATGAAAGCTCCCGTTTTTTTCCTTGCTTGACCTTCATCTGCCTCATTTCTACATCTGATAAATAAGAATCTTTATTACCTTCCTCTTCCTCCTTTCTCTCCATCTATTTTCCCTCTGTCCCATCTCCCCAACTTGATGAACACATTGACATTGTGGCCTGAGGAAGGAAACCAGTAACAAGAAAAATCATTTTTTAATGATGGCTTAATATTTAAACCTGGATGTTTAAATATTAAGGGAGGTTTTCTCTGGAATTTCTGACTTCTATGTCTTCCTTCCCAGTTTTTGGGATGTGAACTCACCTGCATGAAGCTCTTTGTCATCTTCGTGCTCTCAGAAATCTTTCCTTTTTGTATTTTTCTGTCCTACTTGGGTTATAACCGGTGGACTTCCACCATTTTTTGTTTTCTTTCTTTTTTTCTAAATTACTCCTTTTGCCCATCTCTACCTCTATCATATGGGAAGAAACCCAAAAAACAAAAGCAAACTTTTTTTAAGGAGTTGGAAGACAAATGTATTTTCTCATTGTCAGGTATAATTTGGGGGGAAAATTTGGTGGAAGAAATTTGAAATAATAAGAGGAAATGATAACAGTAAAAGAAATCTGATTTTAAGGTGTCTATTTTATCGCAAGTGGAGCAGTACTTACTCTAAATAAATACGACTGAGAACACTATGGCACAGGACCGTTCTTGTAACTTTTCTAAATCTTTTTTTTACTTGCTTGTTTGGTTTAATTTTATGTTTTAAATGTGCATTTTGTTATTTACTTCACTGTCTTTATATTTATTAACTTCTTATTTATTTATAAATATACACAGAAGTCAGAAGCATCATCGAATGACAGCCCTCCCACGTGCTCATAACCAGCTTCAACCGTTAACAGTAGATGTTCAATCACATCACCCCACCCTGATTTTCCTATGTTTATGTTTTATGTTTTTCGCAAATCTCTTTGATGTCTGGCTAATAGAAGATAGCTGGATTCTCATAATCAAACACATTCATGTTTTTGCAGCGAAATATATAAATATTTACAATAAGCATCATAAAGACTATTCAGCTCAGGTTGTGTTGCCAAATGAGGAAAAGATTTCAGCTTTTTAGAGCTTTAGAGATTTCATCATTGAGGATGAAAGATCATAGGCCTGTTCTTTCCTTGCTTTTGCTTTTTCTTACTTTAATGGAAATATCAATATTGTGTCACCATTACTAGTGTATGTAGAATTTTTATCAAATTCCCTCTAAAGCCTTGTTTTATCAGATAGGACTTTCACAGTTGATTGGATACATGTCCAGGATCTGACATCATTATATGAGATGTCTTAACATATTTATATAACATGCTATATTTTAATTATTTTCTTATGCTCTGAGGATCCCTAGCTTGAGCCTAAACTGCATTACCCTAGGATTCCTACTTTCCTAGGCTTGTGCCAAGGATCTTAGAGTGAACTCACGAGGGATTCATTTGCATGAAATGACAAAGGACATCCTAGGAAAGAACCCATCTTAGGGATAAGAGTAGCAACCAAATGGTGGTCCAGCCCAAGAGCCCTGCTTGGGAGTAGTCGGTCACCTTTAGTGAAGGCACTCTGTGTGTCACTAGGAGCACCCTCATAAATGTGTGCCTGAGCTCTGCAGAACAGGAAGTCAATCAACTGTTTTATTTCTGTTGTGTTGACTTTTTAACATCAGGCATTAGATGCACAACAGAGCACACAACAATTTGAGAGAGACGCCGTAGGGGTGAAGTTGTTCCTCTTGATCGCACTCTGCTGCGCATGTACCGTGACCTGTGGCTTTATGGTCTCCAAGCCTCAGCACGGGGGCCCAAGTGCTCCAAAGAAACCTTGTACCTAAAACCTAGGCATGAGTCTGCTGGTGGAATCTCCTCTCCTTTCTCTGTGGTGTCCTTGCTTCTTTGTCTGCTGAGACAACACCCTGCGGCGCGCTGTAAACAAAGCCCTGAACCATCCAGCTCCTCTCCTTTGTCCTTCTCATCTCAACCTGTAGTAGAAATCCACTTGGCCAGAGGCACTTCGGGAACATTTTGCTTGTTTTAACTTTTTTCAGCCCCCTGAATCCTCCTTCCCCTCTCCCAGTACTGGGCAGGACGTGGGTCCCTCAAGGTGTTTCTCCTGTAGTCCCTGTTTATTTTTGATGTTATCTTCACACAGTATTTTTAATGCCTTTTACAACTGATTTTTATAAAACTACTTAGATACGAAGCCACCTTTTATAATTCTTTTTATTATTAGCCACTAAAAACTATGTGGAAATGATGTTTACAGAGTTACAGCCTCACAAAGTTCTTTTGTCTTTTTTTTTTTTTTTAGTTTAAAATTGAAAACTTAGAACGATTTTCTCAAGGCTATGTGTTATTTGGTGATGAGCTATATGGGGAACTCACAGCCTAAACTTAAGTAATATTTCAGGTCTTTTATAAAAAGTTCTCTCTAGATTTAAGTAAAGACTGTGGAAAAAAATAAAACTAAAATTCTGATCCTGTGGCTTTAAAATAATTAATGTTGTGCTGATTATTTCTGTGTTCTGCTCTTTCCTGTCTAAAGTTTTAGAACTCATATGTGTTCTAGAATGAGGCTAATAAGAGCCAGGGTCCTTGTATTTCTTTAAGCAAAAGCAATCTAACATTGAAGAAATTAACATGAAAAGCTGAAACAGGTTAAACTGACAGGGAATCCTACGACTCTCAAGGAAGATTGAAGAAAAACATTTGCAAATCATCATCATGCATGTTAGGGTGTGTGAGAATCAATTTTTTATAACAGCAGTACCTCTGTTTACTCTAGTTATTACGTCTTGAAAGGCCACGCTAAACCTACAGGGAATTTCAGTATGTGTCTGCTGTTTTTGGCCTGAAGTGTGGCAAAATTCTGCTCATCAATCTTCACGTTGGAAGCTTATAAATGAGCTACGTTATAATCTGTTTCACAGGTGTATTTTTGTTAACTTGGTAGGCAAGGCGTTGCTGATTTATGGTTATATAAAAAACCCACTCAAGATGTGAACGAAACCATCAAAACGATGTAATCTCCTTATATAGTTGCAAGAAAAATTTTTTCCAGTCTTAGCTAAAGCATTACCAAGAAAGCTGGTGGCAGGAGGCAGTGTGGTGTGTTGAGTGGGGAAGAGGAGGGAAGGATGGACAAATTCCAGGATGAATGCACACTCTAAAACCTTAGGAAGCAAAAATATTTCAGCTGAGTTTCTCATGAATTTGCCTGCTTACAATGGTCACTTATTTTTTAAATTTATTCAACAAGTCTTCATTAGGAGTCCTCACTGTGCCAGGCCCTGGACAGCAGGAGCAGGAAGTGACAAAGTAGCATGTTGTTTCCAGGGCTTGTTTGAGTTCTCACTCCTTGCTCACCCTGTCTTGATGGGCAGAGCACCAGAAGTCATGTTCTCTCCTTTCTAAGGCTTTAATGGATGGCACTCTGAGTATTATTAATTTCAGGGTTCATGAGCTAAGACAGTTTGATAGAAGCCACATGTTCCTACTGTTCTCTTTGAACCTACCTAAGAATATTTTTATTTTTGCCTTCAAGATTACTTGTCTTTTTTGGCAAAATAACATTCCACGGTGATTCCCTAATTGAGAGATGTAGATGGATGGGTGGATGGATGGATAGATGGTTGGCTTAAAGATTTACCATGTTAAGAAAACATCTAGTAAAATAAATACCCTTGAAAAGCATGGGCTAAATGATGACTAATCCTTAACGCAGGTTACAAATGGCCTACCTCACTCCATGTGCACCTTTCATTTCCAGACATGAATACTTTCACTTGTTTGATTTTGCTTTAGCATCCATGCTGTAATGTGTAACTGGAGGTTTCAGAATGTGCTTTCAGAATGTTCCATGCAAAGTGTGTGAGCTCTTGGTGCCCAGGGCGCTCAGTCTCTATGGAATGGGCTTTGGAGAGTTGGTTATTAAATTTGATGCATTTGCTCTATTTCAGCACCACACAGACTGTACACCACCCCAGGGAGGCCCAGAACTCCTGACAAACCCCGCAGCAGACCGGGTAAGCTGTTTCTCTTTCTGATGACCTAAATAATAAGCACATCTGAGATCATATAAAATGTGTTGAAACAGCCAAATACACCAAAGGAAGGATACAATTCTAAGCCTTGTGGATAAGTAGAAAGGTAATGAATTCATGGAAGTGGCAAGACTTGACAGAGGTTTTTAAAGATGACCAATTCAGAGACTACTACGGAACTTTATTGGTATAAAAGTATTTTTGTAATAGTATTTGTGCGTAAATCACACACACACACACACACCCCTTCAATTTTCCACGGCAATGATAGAGATAGCATTAGAGTTAGTTATGACGTCATATTTCCTGCTTTCAAATGTTATTTATCTTTTAAGAAAAGATGGGCTCTTCCAGTATAAAAGGATCTTGTTCTGGGAGAATATCTTTACTTGATTCCTTCAGATGATAAATCAAAAAAAAAAAAACAGCAACAACTCAATTTAGAGGTTGTAAACAGCAAAAATAAACTGATAATTAAACATTGGAAATCACTTTAAATTTGCTAAATTCTCCAAAGGTTCTAGGTTCTCCCTCACAGGAGCTTGTTAGGGAAAAGTTCACTTGAAGGGGCTGGTTTGGTCCATGTAGGTCGCTCCGATGCCACAGTGCAAGTTGGACCAGAACACTGGTGTTTTCTGCCCCTTTTTTTGCTGTGATTCTAAGAAGTCTTCTTAGGGGCCGGCCCGGTGGCACAGCAGTTCAGTGCGCACCTTCTGCTTCGGCGGCCAGGGGTTTGCCGGTTCGGATCCCGGGTGCGGACATGGCACTGCTTGGCAAGCCATGCTGTGGTAGGTGTCCCACATATAAAGTGGAGGAAGATGGGCACGGATGTTAGCTCAGGGCCAGTCTTCCTCAGCAAAAAGAGGAGGATTGGCACCAGATGTTAGCTCAGGGCTGATCTTCCACAAAAAAAAAAAAAAAAAAAAAAAAAAAGGAAGTCTTCTTAAAGTTGTAAATGATGAGACTGGCTTATAAGTTAATGTTCTTGGTGAACAGCTTTCCAGGCGCATGGGAGAAGCAAATAATCGTTTCTGTCCTTTGGTTTATTGAAAGCCCACATTTTTTCACAGTAATCCTCCAACTCCTGAAGGTAATTAGGCACATACATCTTTATAAACAAATATGTCTCCATGTGACTTTAGTATCATGATAGCTGTCGAGAGCTTAATGTATGGCTGGTTCTGTTAAAGGTTCCTACTACATAATGAAACAGTAACAATCATGGCTCACATTGACTGAGGGCTTGCCATATGTCCTGTGAGGTACAGTTGAGAAAGCTGAGGTGTGGAAAAAGCTAGAAAGTACATTTGAAGTCAAGCAATCTGACTTCAGAGCTTGCTTTCTAACCATAACACATGTAGTGCTTTTCCTTAAAGAGTCTTTTAAACAGAGGATGAAATGGATGACCTCTTCGAGTTTTGGTAGTGCTATGACTCTCTACAAGCAGGGGAGAAATTGAAATGGTTTCTTCATATTTCCATGTTCACCAATGAACTTATGCCAGGATTATGAGGGAACATTGTTACCTAGAGACTCCTGCAAAAGGACCACCAATTTCTGAATTATGAATTAAGGCCTTGAGAAATAAATACACTTCAAGTTTTGGGTTTTCATTAGGTATATGTAATCCTGATCTTTCCTCAGTTCCATTTTGGAAGGTATCTAGTGCTTATAAATGAAGAAAGATAGTCCCCATTTGGAAATAAACTTCCCTTGCCAGTTATTTTTTCAAGTCCCGTGATCACCTCAGAGCACAAACTCAGGTCTCTATTCCCAAACTCATGTCTATAATTTTTATACCAGAAGTGTGCTTTCTATAATATGAATAATACTTTTTGGTAAGCCATCATTTTTTTATTGCCTAGTTAATGACTTCCAATTCTCTGGGAAGCTTTGTTTTCCTTGGCTGCAAAGTTTTAATAAGACAATCTCTAAACTATTTATTTCCCACTTTATTGTAGTTCTGAATAAGACAACTACAAGACCTAGCAGGCCCAAACCCAGTAGGATGCCCACAGGGGATGGAATGGGAAAGGCAGTGATCAAATGAGTAAAATGTATTTTCTTTTGATCCTATCAAAATAAATGTTTTCATTGAATTTTTATAATTTTGTTCAATTCACACTTCAATATCTTTTTTACCAGTTTTGGAAGTTCTTGGTATAACTAGAATTGAACATTGTAATTCATTCCAAAATCAAAACTTCAAATGTTTGTGAGAACATTAAGAAGAACTTTGCACTTTTCTAAACTCAGTCCACTAAATCAGTTACCATACATAGTCTTGATTCTTAAAAAGATCCTGATTAAATATGAATTCTTGAATGAAAATATCAAAATAGCTGTTTTCCCTTATTTCAAAACACTTTCCATGTGCAGCCTTGGTCTTTGAGACTATGATCACTTGGTTTTCAAGTTTATAATTTCACAAGTATCATTATAATTTTTTTAAAAGACTGCATCTGTTAGCAATCTGTAATACGATATTCAAACAAGGAGAGCAATTAGGAGTTGATCACCCTGGTTACAGTCTTATTAACGCTTCCAACATTCATGTTAGTTCACTGACATGACCCGGATCCAATCAGATCTCAGGAGGAGGCAGCGTACAGATGGCTCGGACAAGGATCTGATACAAGCTCAAACGCCCAACTCACTAAGTGGATAAATGGTAGTTACTAAATGCCTTAATATGGGATTGCATCGTCCCCTTTAAACATTTTTTAAATACTACAAATCTTGTGCTTGCTTATGTAAGAAAGCATGAAAATTAGTTTATTTAATGCATATATATTTAATCAACCCATTGTAGTTCCCTAATGAGAAAGAGATATGAATAAGACCTGAAGATATTCGGACTAAAAATCACTTAGATTTGTTTTAAAATGTGTTTTTTGTACCAGGTTATTACAGTGTCTGAAGTTCTAGGATTTCCTTTCTCTTCAAAACAATTATTGAGGCAAATACTATAAATTCCTGACTCATGAAAAACAAGAAAGCATTCCAACATCTATTTGTACTCAGCCGCTCCCTTTATTCTTCCCAAGTGTGGCGTTAGGCGGCGCAGAGTTTCTCAGATTGACATAAACAATCTGGCTCTAAGCAGAACCACCTTCTTAACATTCAAAAGAATTCCCTGGAGCTTGCCTAAGTAAAACAGGAGAAAGCATTTATGTCAACAAAGCAAATGAAAGAACAAGTAGCTATGATCAAACTTGAAAGTCATTAACCTTCAGTATAATCAAGCATTGATTCTCGCTAGGAAAATGCTGTCTTTTAGAGGAAAACAGTATTATTATATTTTAGTTTATCAGCAATATAAACATTTTTCCAGAGCCACTTATAACACAAACTGACGTGTTACCCTCTTGTGTAGATGAAGTCAACTTCATCTAACTTAGCTTTGGAAGGATGATTGATCTCTTATCAGGGCTTCTTCAATTTAATTAGTTAGGTGCTGATAGAGTTGGGTTGGTGGGCACAGGTAGACAAAGCGAGCTCACTGTTTCCCCTTTTCTTGCTCTACCTCCATCCCCAGCCCAAATGTGTGGCACTTGTTCTATGTTCTAGTGTCTGTCTACTGGAATCCCCCTTCAGGGAAGAACTTGCCGCCCACCTGCAGGGAGTGAGGTCAGCAGATAGCGTGTCATTGTCAGCTCCTTCAGAGCCAGCCTCAGCTGAGAAAGCCATGGTTGGAGGTCTAGGTGGTACACCACCATGTCTGCTACAATAACACCTAACAACCAAATGATATTCACCTCAGGAGTGCAAGGTTGGCTCAACATTCAAACAAGTTCATGTAATTCACCTCATTAACAGAGCAAAGGAGAAAAATCATACAATCATCTCAATAAATACAACAATCAACTGTTATACAAAATTCAAAATCCATTCATGATGAGAACTCCCAGATAACTAGAAATAGAAAGAATTTTTCCCACTCTAATAAAGGGCATCTGGGGAAAAACCTACAGTTAACATCATACTTAATAGTGAAAATCTGAATGTTTTTTTCCTAACATCATAAACAGAAGCAAGGATTTTTATTTTTACCATTTCTGTTGAAAGCAGTAATGGAGTGTTTAGCCAATGCAATAAGGCAGGAAGGAAGCAAATGGTGTAAACTGGAAATCACAGATGACGTGTGTAGCGTATTACAAAAGGAAATTTTAATAGCTCTCAGACTATTTGCCTAGGAAATAATGTTTTGAAAAGTTGACAAGCAAAAGAATGTTTTTAAATCTGTTCTCTCCAGATTATAGATTTACATGAGTCCGCCTTACTTTGATTCTGCATAGTTTTGACCTGGCTTATTTACAAAAGTACAGGTATTCGTGTTAAGTTTATTTTCTTCTCTGACGCAGTGCCACTATCTCATCCACTCTCACTTCTAGCCTCTAGTGAATCTTAATGAGACACCATTTCTGTGTCAACTGATTCCTTATCCAACTTTGACATCTTGCCCAGAATATTTACCTTTATTATCCCTCTTACGTACATTTTCCTATAGTTTTTCTTGCTAAAGTTTTCATCCCAGATATTTTACACTAAAAAAAAAAAAATCTGTTGATAAAGAAAGTCTGTAGGATTTATGGGACATATTCTTCATGGTCTTAGGCCACTTAAAGTTGTACCTTTGGAAAACTAAAAAAGAAAGATTCTGAGATCTCAAAAACTATGGACCTTTGATTATTTGGTCCTCTGTACCAATCTTGCAATGATTCCATAAATCCCAGGAATCTTTAAACCATCTTGAGCCAAGTTTCTCATTTCATAACATCAGTACATATGTTGTCCCTACTCTATGTGCATTTCACATCTATATGTATAAATATTCCTCCACCTCAAAGTTTGAAAGTGGCCTGCAGAGGTTGAGGTTTTAGATAGGTCATTTTTCCAGCACTCTGCTTCTTCAAGGTTTCCAGAGATGCGTCTCAGGTTAACTGATGTGTTCCATACATTATAACCAACTTGAGATCTGACTCCAGAGATGCAACAAGCATGCATTAGACCAAGGGATCACAACAACTATGGTCCCACAGGCCAAATCCGGCTCACTCCCTATTTTTATAAATAAAATTTTGAAACATAGCTTGCTTTCACAACGCAATGGCAGAGTTGAATAGTTGTGACACAGACAGTATGGCCCACAAAGCTGAAAATATTTCCTCTGACCTTTAACAGACAAAGTTAGCCGACTTTGTGCTGGACAATCTCTCTAACCTTCTCCCTGTGGAAGGAAGCTCCTGAGCTGGGCAGCTAGTCCTTCATTCGGCCAACATTTATGGAAGGCCCATTATGTGCAGGCAAAGCGTTATTTGGAAACCACCTTGGGACCTGTGGTTTGGCAGATATGTTAATTATCTGAACCCCAGACTCCTTTTCTGCATCCTGATGAAGAATCCACCCACTTCACTGCCCCCGCATGGAGTGCACTTGACAACCAGAAACCAGACTCCTCCAAGGTGAGGAATGTGTTTTTCTGGGCTTGTGGCTAAACCTTCCAGTCTGCTGGCTCACCACGCCTCACTTTTTAGCCAGGTCCTAAGAGCTGGAGACAAGGACACAAAGACCAGTCATCCATAAAACCACCCCTTTTTGGTCACAGGGAATCGTCTCTGATACATATGGAAATTGATTTCCAGTTTACCGTGTTTGCAAAGTTTTTGTTGCCATGGTTAAAAATACCCAAATGGTTTCTTCATTTTTGACGATAAATTGCTAAGGGGTGAACTATGTAAATCCAGAGATTTCTGGAGAACTCCCATATGGCAACTGGGGCTCCTGCTGAAGCTCAAGTCTTGGTGCTTCCGGAGCCAACTCTGCCCTTTAGAAAAGATTAATCCTGCCTGAGGGAAAAAGAATTCAGGTCACAGCCGGGGCCAGATGGGCTGGTCAGCCACCGATTCCTGAGGAGTCTTTCTCTGTATTATCTCGCTTCCTGCTTCCTCTCTGCCTTCCCACTGCCTCTGCCTTTGGCCTTCCCTTGCTCTCCTCCGATTCAGGGCAGCAGAAGTTCACAGGTCTGCGGGGCTCCAGGCTCACACTGCTGCCTGGCTGACACGCAAACCACAGCTAGACGGAGGCAAGGCCGGAACTGTAGTTCAGCCTCGTGTCCCCAGCTCAGTGCTCTTTCCCTGAACTCCACGGCTGTCTTTTGCAGGGCTCTGAGCAACATTGCTCTACCCTGCTAACTTTCATCTGTTTCTAAAGGCTAGAGAAAGTTCAGTGTAGCAGCTAATCGATCAGAGGACTGACTGAGTTTTAAGGATCCTAACAGTATGATGCTTCTGTCTCTACCTATATGGAAAGTGACAGAAAATGGCTGGTTTCTGCTGAATTCTCCCTTAATTGGAAAAGAAGCCAGGGGAATTTTATCTTTGGTCTTACGAAGTAATCCTGCAGAATTTAGGATTCTCTCCTGCATCTCCAAGTCGCCAGGCCCTGTAGCTTGGTAGACCCGCATGTGCATGCTCAGGGACCACTGCCAGACTTGTGCTAGTCTAAGTCCCACATACTAGTGGCATGGCTGACGACACATGCTTGCCAGCCATGGCCATTTAGCCCCACACAGTGGTGACACCTCAAACCACCTAAAAGACAGAGTATAGGACTCTGGGGCTAAAGTCACTTAGAGTCATTGTGAGGAAGAAGAGAAGGGAGATGACATCGGGAGGAAGACAGTCCTCTGTGCTATGCCATTTTGTGCATTAGCGCAAAGAGGCACATGTGGGTCTAAATCCCACACTTCCTGGCTGTGATTTGCTTAAGACCCCCTTGCCTTGAGTTTCCTCATCTGTGGCACCTGGGTGATATCTCCCACACAGAAGGGTTCATGTAATGAATGTTTAAGGAGCTTGCACAGTATTGGATCAAAATACTTTGTTTTCTTAAGGATAGGAAGATTTGGAGAAAGTGGGTCAAGAAGGATCTACTACAGGTGCACACAGCCTACTGCCCTTCTAGAGTACAGAATACATTTTTCTCCCTCAAAAAATAGTGGTAAAGCATTCTCACCAAGCCAGGGTATCCCAGTGAACAGACGGAAGTGTTTTCCTTTCCCCTATGCCGTGCGCAGAGTAACCACCCAAGTGAGTGATTTCCCTGGCCCCATTGCCACCTACAGGAGGGCACAGGAAGAAGACTAATGAGCCTTTTGTCTTCCCCATGCCTGTGGGATTAGCTACAAAATAGTCACTGACCCCAGAACATTGCTTTTCTACCACAAATAAGCAATGTTGACTTCATGGCTCCATATAAACATTCTCTGTGATTTTATATATTATCTTTTGTTCAAGCAGCAGAAAGTGTGGGTTTTCAATATTCTGGTTCATAAAAAAATGTCTGTTTCTATTCTTTCTTAATAATAACTGTCAGCCACATTAGGGAAGATTATTTTATAATGTAAAAGAATAATGATTTTAAAAATAGGACAGAAACCTAAATTGGTTCCTCCTCCCCTTAGGATAGCTGTCCAAAATCCAAGCTCGGGTATTTAGGTGAATGCCTGAGTAATACCCACCAGATTGTATTTGAGAGACTTAGGAGATAAAATATCACACACAGTAATTTTTAGATCAGTTTCTTCCAAATAGCAGGTCGGAGTTCTAGGCCTGCCCAGGACTAATTTACAAATGTCAAAGGTACAGCTCCAGTTTGTGGCCTAACCAGCCTGATAGCCAAGGACTCTCCAGGAATATTTTTAAAGTCAATTCCTTAAGTATAAACCCAAACACATTGGAATTTTGAGGTTTTTTTTTATTGGGGTAGAGGAGTTGGAGGAAAGTTTTTCAAAACCGCAAAATGTACCCATGAATTCTGGCAAAAACCAGCCAGTCATCGAAGATGAAGTCTGCCTGACAAGCTAGTACCAGCCAGGAAGGCAGTGTGGGGTGGGCATCGTGGAAAATGAAGACAAAACCGCAATTCACAATCAAATGTTAACTCTTCGGAGAAAAGATCACAACCAATGAATGTGGGGCTTTGAATTTTTTCTCTATGCAGATGGGAGAAGCCAATTCAAATGTCTGGGCACAAAACCATCAATTCCCCTGCTCTGCAAAGAATGCGCATCATCACTGACAACTCTACCAAGACACAATGAAGGAGAACATTTCATATGTTTTGCTTTATATTTATTCCCTGTCATTATGTCTGCTCATAGGGGTCAAGCAACCGCCAAAGCCATCAGGTGCTGGTAGAGATGTGTTAGTGGACTCCACCCATGCCACAAAAAGACCAGGTGAGGAATAAGATGCTGCCTCCCATGCTCTGCTCTGAAACCTGGGCAACGACTGCAGTATCATTTGTTGCAGCAAAAACAGCAGCATCCACACAACCCCCAAAGGGTCAGAATCATGTAACAGTGCATGGGTATTGTTGGAGAAACATTCTAAAATATTATCTCTGAGGGAGTGGAAAGTGCTCTGTGCACAAAGGCAAGATTAAGAAGAGCCTCGAATAGGGTACCAATTTAGTGATTGCTCTGTATAGTGTTCTGAGGGGCCCCAGTGGACAAATGCTGCGGTCACGTGGGGTCTAGTTTTCCTCATGTTCAAGTTCTGCTGTTGTGTAACTTATTACAATATCCTTTGGCCTGAAATGATTTATGTTCCTAATTTAAAACTATGTTGTATGTAGTAGGCCAAAATTATGAAGCTGGTGACTTGGAGTATCTTTGCATCAAATAAGAACTCTGTGCTTTTTAAAAGGATGCTGTGAAACCTACTTTGATGTATTAATGTCTGGGCTATAGATCTATACTCTGTCACCTCCACTCACTCCCCTGCATGTACACGCACATACACACATGCATAAATACACACTTCTTAGAATCCCAGGAAGTACTTAAAGCCACAGGGCGTTTTCCTAGGTTGTCACTTTTACTTCAAGATTTTTTAAACCAACGTATATTATGGAAACAAAGAGATGAATTTTTAAGCTATAACACAAGACTTAAGATTTGGGTTACAGAGGACTGCTCCAGGGTCCTCTAGCTTTGCCAGCCTTTGTGCAAATTATAAAAAGTTGCCTCTTCCCTCTGCCCTTTGGTCAAACCACTAAGGAAAATGTGCCCTTGCTCTGGGCTGGCAGCCTGGCACCAGGGCTCCTGAAGGGGTGGGCAGAGCGGGTAGGAGACTGTGGCTTCCCCTGATGCCCCAGCCAGGCGCCTTCGTGCAGTGTGCAGCCGCTCACGGTGGCCCTGCTCTCCAAGGGCGCAGGCTTATTGCTCCCGCCATCAGGGCTACTTTGTTATAATCATCTGAGAAGGTCTGAAGTGTTTTTTAAATTATAACTACATAGTAGAGTTGGAGTGTGGGGTAGAGCAGCCACTAAAGAAGAAGTTCTATGCTTCAACAATTTACAGCTAAAATGGTGTAAGAATTGTAGTCTGAAAATCAAAGCAACTGGGGATAAAGAAGCTCAGAAATGCTACTGTTGAGTCTACGTGGGAAACTAAAGATGGTAAATTCTACACAGCTATACAGCCTTTCAAAAGGCAGATGTGCCTATGTATTTTTATCTATAATTAGAGGTTATTTTGGATATGGATGCTAGTGTGTTTCACTATCCCAGGGTACGTTATGAACATAATTTAGAAGAATATCAGACAATTTTACTCATAGGCATCTTGCTATAGAATCTATTCTCGGTCATCCAACTGTGACTTAAACATATTTTTTAAAACCTGTGATTGTTATAGAATGAATCCTTATGACAGCTTTATCTGTAATATAATCTTTTAGCCACGATCCCAGGCACTCGCCGTCCACCCTTGCCACCTAGACCCACGCCCCCACGAAGAAAACCTTTACCGCCAAATAACGTCACCGGAAAGCCAGGAAGCGCAGGTACGTCGGTTGTAATCCTCCATTCTCCCTCCATGATTTCACTTTCACTAACTAACGCAAGCCCGTCTTGGCGTGCTAGCTCAAGCAACGGACAAGCCTGTGGTGTGTGTGGCAAATGCCTGTGTTGGCCCTGAAGACCAGACACTGTAAATGACAGCTTTGAGGACTCACATCCTGACTCTGGGTGGGTGGAGTGAAAGAAACATCCCTGTGCCTCTAAGCCGGTGTGCTCCTCCCTTGTTGTGTGCTTGGAGCTGAGACCAAAGCTGACTCAGGCCCTCCAACAAGTGGATTATTTTGGATGAGATGTACACCGCCAACCCACCAGGGTTAATGGAAAATGTCATCCACTTATCGTTCTGTCTCCTGAAATGAAATCCTATACATCTCATTGAAAGCTCCCCTGTCCACCAGCCTTCCTGCTGGCCCCAGTATTACGGTGTGAGGGGGAAGACTGGGGACTGAAATCTTCAGGGTGACTGGGCAGGTCTAGCCTGTGCAACAAGCCAGGAATATATTTTAGAAGTCAAGCTGCCTCTCATCTTTATACCTTGGCATGTGTTGTTTCCTTCCCGTAGAAGGACCCTTCCCAGGTACCTTGGATGCTCACACTTCATTTTTTTCTTGAAAAAGCCTTCTCTAGCTCCCCAAAGTAGTCTTCGTCTTGCTCCCTGTTCTGCTTGTCCTTGATGCATTCCTCTGCTAGAGCAGAGAGCACGTTGTTTATACTTGTTTCTATGCTTGTCTCCCCTGAAGACTGTGAGCTCTGCGGTGACTGGGTCCTTGGTACACCTTCTCTGAACTCCCAGAACTAAATCCAGTGCTTGGCACACAGAGGATATTTGATAAGTAATCGTTGAGTCAATAAATGAATGAAATTAAGAATCAGTGAAAATTGACCCAGTTCAGAGCGTTTCTCTTAAGGGCTCTTCATTGGACCTGCCGACAAATCACAGCATGTTCCCCATCTTTCCTCCATCTCTTCCCATCTCTTCTTTCTAAATATTTTGTAGGTGGAATCAGGATAAAGGTGTTAAAGACAGCTATGAAAGATGAAAGTGATGAGGGTTTATGACAAAGGGGATGGATGTCACCTTTTCAGCGGATGAGAGGAGGCTGTGGTGATGGAGAAGCTGTTATGATGTATCGTGTGTGCAGAGACTCTAGATGGCTTTCCATCAGCTGAAGGAGGAGTCAGCCTCTCATCCATGCTCCTGAGGCCTTCCTGAGTCAGGACCCAGGCACATGGCCCCAGTGAGGAGACCAGGTTTCTGCACTAATTGTAACTGGGGGCAGCTGTGACTGAGTGCCTGCAGCTTTCAGGTCAGACTGGAAGAGTCACAGACTGGAAGTGATGCCTGAGTGTCCCCCGTGGATGCCACACAGCTCCGCTGTAAAGCTGTGTCTTCAGCTGCAGTTCCACAGCCTTGGTTCCTGCCATATAAAACCCTTGTTTCTCTCCCATCAGTAAGTGTAGCTTTGGTACAGCCCACCAGCCTGAAGAAGAACCATACACACATCCCCTTTCTGAAATTGGCTGGTTCCCTGCCCTGCCTCTTGCTGTCCCCCTCTAACTCAAAGGAAGTGGCTGCACTGAGGAGCCAAACACAAATGGGCAGTTGTACAGATCTGGCCCGATTACTATGACAGAAAGTGCATCCTGAATTCAGGAATCAACTAAATGGCCTGGGAGTCCTCTAAACATATGTCCTCTCTCACAAGTGCCTGTGAGCACAGTCTTAGGTTGCCATGTGACATCTGCCACTTGTCCCCTAGCTCCAGAGCTACTGAGGCCCGAGTCCCCCTCTCCTTGCCAGGGTGAAAGTGCTATGCCAGCATTTCCTGCTAGCTCTGCCAATTCTGAAAAGCTCCTGTGGGCTGCAATGCCATGTCTCTTGGTTTTAATTCGCCCTCTCACTGTAGCCCACTCCCACCGGGACCAAAAGCACGGCTCTGCAGGGGTGGGAGCAGCCCCTCTGGGGGACTCTTGCAGAACTCCATGCTGGGCTGGTCCTTGGGTCAGGCTCATACCTCTTGATGCTTTATTGTCCAACAATGATTCTTTTTCCCAGGAGGGCTATAAAATCCAGCCTAGCCTGCACTCTACTCTACACGCCCAGACTTGCCTGGGCCTTGGGATGGATCCAGTTTTGGAAACCTATAAGTCTTGTTAGAGTGGAAGAGACACTGTTGAATATAACATCTCAGGGTAGCACTGTTCTGGCTACCAGGCTAGAATCACCAACATTACCTTAGAACTCTTTTTCTTCCCCTCCATCCATCTCTCATGCCTGCCAGTTAATCTCCAAGTCAGGCCGTTCCATCTCCCTGACGTCTCTCACGTAAAACCCCTTCCATCTAGTCTCACTGCTTCTCGCGTAGTTCACCTCCTCTGCCTTTGCCTATATGACTGCTTTAGACTCTTGACTTCTCTCTCTGCCACCAGCTTTGCAACCTAACCCATCCTTTTCTCATCTGATCATGTTACTTTCCTCGTGAAAATCTTTCAGTGGGTCCTTGTCACCTAAAAATAATGTCCAGATCCATGGTTTGGAAGGCCCTTCAAGATCTGCCCTTCCCTGCCCCTCCACACTCAGCTCTCACTGCACCCGGAGCACCCTTGGCTCTCACTCCTTCAGATTGAACACACCAAGTGGTTTCATGCTTCCCTGACGTGGTTCTTCCTGCCCCTCTGACCAGAACGCAGCTCTCATACCTACCTGCTGATCGCCTATCCTCTTCTGGCACAGCCTCTGTGAAGGCATTCCTACCCTCCCTCCACCCAACACTCTTCATCTTTGCCCACAGACTACTCCCTCCTCTTGCCCTCTCTACGACCTGATCCAGTTCTTTCACAATATCTATAATGCCTCAATATATTTGGCTCACACATCTGTCTCATCAAGGACACCAGATCTTATTTCTCTCTAAGCCTGGCATGTTAGTACCAAGCCACATGGTAAGTTCTTAATACATATTTATTGAATAAATAAAAGGGGACTTGGCAGTGCTCCTATGAAGCCTGACTGCTTTGGCCCTGCATTACAGGAATCATTTCGTCAAGCCGAGTAACTTCCCCACCCTTGAGGGCAACGCTCAGACCTACTGAAGCCCCCTTGGAGGGAACAGAGACAGATAAAAAGCAACCAACGGTTCCTGCTTCGGGAGAAGATCTTGGTTAGTATGTCAGTCATTTCCCACTGTGGCTTAGCTGCAAAGTACTAAAAGATTTCAAATTAGGAGGAAAAGAGTCTCAGTTCTGGACCATCTATTTTTCTCAATTTTATGATTACAATGAGTCTTTTTACTTTTAAAATTATGTTTTTAATGCTTTGTTATAGAATGTGCTCCTTCCCTTCACAGACATAGAAGAAAATGCGGAAGTTTTTTAGGAAAGTCTCCTGAAAATGCTTCTTACTGAATCTCATGTCATTGCTAATTGCACATGTTAATTTACTCATGAGTATCAGCAACTAGGTTGTAATCCTTAAATCATTGTTTATTACACTCCAGAACACCTGCAGCAGGACACAATTAAAGGCCTTTTACTGTGGATAATATGTATAATAATAACAATAAAGGAAATCAAAGTTGCAAACAATTGACTAGGTGGCATTTTAACATTTATAGTCTTTAGTACTTTTTCATTTATTGTGAAGCTTTTTTATCTTTTGCCAAAATTGTTTATTACCTTCCATTCTCAGGTAATACGACTGACTTTAGCTCAAGCCCAACAAGAGAAACTGATCCTCTTGGGAAACCCAGATTCAAAGGTATGCATGATTGGCTCCAGTTCTCAATTTTGATGAGGCAGTCTTTGGTGGGTGTTATCAGTCAGCTGTTGCTGTGTAATAAGCAACCACAAAATCTCAGTAGCACACTCTAGTGAGGATTTATTTCTCATGTGTCTACAAGTCACTGGGGATCAGCTGACCTAGGAAGTGCTTGGCTGGGTGATTCTGTTTCTAGCAGCAGGTGCGACTGGGCCTCCTATGGGTTGGGCTCCACATACTTTCATTCTGGTGCCCAGGATAAAGGACCAATAGTGACTCAGGGGAAGCCGTTCTCATAAGAATACAAAGTCAAGAGACCGGTGTCCACACACACAACTGCATTTCAACATTCCTGCCAATATTCGTTGTCCAGAGTAAGTGACATAGCCGAGGGCAAATCAAGGATTGGGGAAGCATACTTTCTCCATGGATATAGAGGCTGTTTTTGAACAGTAATCTAATCTACCACAGTAGGAGAGGTATCATATAATATAGAGCCCAGTATTCCCTTTTGTAAAATTTTTTTCGGAAGTATAAAATTTGATACATTTTAACATATGTATACACCCATGAAACTATCATCATAATCAAGATAATGAATACATGCGCTGCCTCCAAAAGTGTCATCAGGAACCTTTACCATCCCTCCCTCTCACCCCTCCAACCCAACCTCTCATCCCTAGGTAACCACAGATCTGCCACACTATAGATTAGTGTGCATTTTGTGGACTTTTACATAAGGGAAAAATACAGTATGAACTCTTTTTTGGTCTGTTTTCTTTCACTCAGCATAATTATTTGGAGATTCATCCATGTTGCTACATGTTTCAATAGTCCATTCCTTTTTATTGCTGACTAGTAGTCTATTGTATGGATATATAATAATTTACTTGTTAAACTTGTTCATGACATTTGGATTGTTTCTAACTTTCTTACATTACCGATAAAGCTGCTAGGACCATTCACATACAAGTCTTTGTGTAGACGTATGCTTTCATTCCTTTTGGACAAATGCCTACGAGGAGAATGGCTAGATCATGTGTAAGTGTATATTTAACATTGTAAGAAACTGCCAAACTGTCTTCCACAGTGTACAATTTTACCTTTCTGTCAGCAGTGTATGACAGTTCTAGTTCCTTCTTGTCTTTGCCAGCACTTGGCATGGTCAGTCCTTTTAATTTCAACCATTTTAATAGGCATGTAATAATATCTGATTGTGATTTTATCTCGCATATCTCTAATGACTAAGGATGCCGAACGTCTTTTCATGTCCCTATTTGTCATCTGTATGTCTTTTTTTGGTGTGTCCAAAATTTTTGTCCTTTTATTTTTAATGGAGTTGCTTATTTTCTTATTGTTGAATTTTGAGAGTCTATATTTTCTGGATAGAACTTTTTTATATACATGCTTTACAAATATTTCTTTCCCAGTGTGTGTCTTCTCTTTTTAATTTTAATGAAGCTCAGTTTATTAATTTGGTTTTTTACAGATTATATTTTTGGTGTTGTATTTAAGAAATCATTGATTGATCAGATGTCAAAAAGACCTCCTCTGTTTCCTTCTAGAAGTTTCTCCTCCATTTCCTTCTAGAGGTTTTCTACTTTTACATTTGGGTCTATGATCCATATTAAGTCAAATTTTGTATATTATTCAGGTATGACTCCAAATTCATTTTCTTGCCTATGGATATCCAACTGTTCCCCCAACAAAATTTGTTGAAAAAACTATTCTTTCTCTACTCAATTTCATTTGTACCTTTGTCAAAATTCAATTGTCCATAAATATGTGGAACTGTTTTTGGGCTCTCTAGTCTATTCCATTGATCTGTTTATCTACATTTACATCGATACCACAGTGTCTGAATTACTGTGGTGTTATAATAAGTGCTGCATTCAGGTTGTGTTAATCCTCCAACATTGTTCTTATTTTTCAAAGTTGTTTTGGCAATTCTGGGTCTTTTATATGTCCATCTGAATTTTAGAATCAGCTTGTCCATGTCTGAAGAAAAAATAGCCTGTTTAGATTTTTGTTAGAATTGCATTGAATCTATAGGTCAACTGGGAGAAATTGACAGCTGTACAATGCTGAGTCTTCCTACCTGTGAACATGCTATATCTTAGTATTTAGTTCTTCTTTAATTTCTTTCTCCACTGTTTTGTAGTTTTCAGTATACGGAAAACCATAAAAGTAATATTATTTCAATTTCCAGTTGTTCATTGCTAATGATTATTGTACAATGATCTTGTATCCTGCAACCTTACAAAACTCGGTAGCTTTTTTGTAGATCCATTGGATTTTCTACATGCGGAGTCATGTCATCTGAGAGCAAAGTCTTACTTCTTCCTTTCCAACTTGGGTGCCTTTTTCTTGCCTTGTTGTACTGACTAGAGCCTCCAGTAAAATATCAAATAGAAATAGCGAGGATGGACATCCTTTCCTTTTTCCTGATCTTATGGAAGGCATTCAGCATTCAGTCTTTCACCATTAAGCATGATGTCACCTTGAGGTTTTTCATAGATGCCCTTTATTGGCTTGAGAAAGTACCTTTCTATTCCTACTTTGGTGAGAATTGTTATCAGAAATGAATGCTAGATTATGTCTAATGATTTTTCTGCCTTTTTTGAGATGATTATATGGTTTTTCTTGTTCAGTTTGTTAATATGATAAAGTAATTGTTTTTGAATTTTAAACTAACTTTGCATTGCAAGAACAGACTCTATTTGATCATAATGTATTCTCATTTTAATATGTTGTTGGATTTAATTTACTAAAATTTTGTTTAGAGTTGTATTTAATGAATGATATTGATCCATAGTTTTCTTTCCTTGTAATGTCTAAGTCAAGTTTTATTATCAGAACAACGCTGAACTCTCCTCTTCAGTTTTCTAGAAGAGTTTAGAGTTGGCATTGCTTCTTCCCTAAGTGTTTAGTAGTATTTACCAGTGAAGCCATCTGAGCTTAGCATTCTCTTTGCAGGATTTTACATATAATTAGATTTCTTTAATAGGCATAGGGCTATTCAGAATATTTTTTTCTTCCCTAGATAGCTTTAGTACTTTTTGTCTTTCAAGTTGCTAGTCCATTTCATCTAAGTTGTCAGATTTATTGGCATTAAGTTGTTCACAATATTCTCTTATTATCATTTTAATATCTGTAGAATCTGTAGTGATGTCACCTCTCTCATTCCTGCTGTTGATAATGTGTGCCTTGTTCCTCTTTTGCATAATCAGTCTGACTGTAGGTTTATCAATTCTTTTGCTCTAATGAAGACGTCAACTTTTTGTTTCATCAATTTTGTCTATTTTTTCTATTTCATTTATTTTTACTCTGATCTTTATTATTTTCTTCTGCTTAATTTGGGTTTAATTTGCTTTTCTAATTTCTTAAGGCAGAAGATGAGCTCATTGATTTGAGACCTCTCTTCTTTTGTAATATGGCATTTAATGCTACAAATTTTTCCCTTGATATTACCTAAGCAACATCCAAAAATTTTTAATATATTGTGCTTTAATTTTCACTCTGTTCAAACTATTTTTTAATTTCCCTTTTGATTTCTTCTTTGACTCATTGATTATTTAGAAGTGTGTTGTTTAATTTCCAAATACTTTGAGGCTTTCTGGAGATCAGTCTGTTACTGATTTCTAATATAACACCATTGTTTTCAGATACTCTGTATTACTTGAATCCTTTTAAGTTTACTGAGAAATTTTTTATGGCCCAGAATATGGTCTATCTCAGCATACGTTCTGTGTGTACTTGAAAAGAATGTGTATTCTGCTGTTCTTAAGTGGGATGTTGTAGTCTGCTAGGACTGCAACCACAAAATACCACAGACTCAGTGGCTTAAACAACAGAACTTTATTTTCTCACAATTCTAGAAGCCAGAAGTCTGAGATGAAGGTGTCAGCAGGTGTGGTTTCTCCTGAGGCCTCTCTCCCTGGCTTGCAGATAGCCACCTTCTTGCTGTGTCTCCAGGTGGTCTTTCCTCTGTGGGCACACATCCCTGGTGTCTTTCTCTAAGGACACCAGTCATAGTGGATCAGGGCCCCACCCTTATGACCTCATTTACCTTTAATTACCTCTTTCAAGGCCCTATCTCCAACTGTAGTCTTATTGGGAGTTAGAGCTTCAACATAGGAATTTTCAGAAAACATAATTCTGACCATAACAAGTGTTCTGTAAATGTTGATTAGGTCAAGTTGCTTGTTGTATTGGGCAATTTTTTTACATCCTTAGTGATTTTCTGTCTACTTGTTCTATCAACTAATGAGAGAAGATTATTGAAATCTCTGGCTGTAATTGTGGATTTATTTCTACTTGCAGTTCTATTGGTTTTTGCTACATGCACATTTAAGGTCTGTGTTTAGGTATAGATCTAAATTACTTAACATTGTAATAAACTCCTGATGAATTGATCCTTCATCATTATGAAATGACATTTTATGCTTATAGTAATATTCTTTGCCCTGAAGTCTATTTTGTTGATATTTATATGTCCACTCAAGCTTTCTTGTGATGAATGTTATCATGGTCTCTCCTCTTTTCATCCTTTTACTCTTAGCTGATTAGCCTCTGTATATTTAAAATATGTCTCTTATGGGCATCATATAGTTAGGCCTTGCTTTTTTATCCAATCTAACAATCTTGCCTTGTTCTTAGAACCTTACATTTAACACGACTAATGACACGGTCAGGTATAAATCTGTTATCGTCTTGCTATTTGTTTTCCATTCGTCTCATTTATTCTTTGTTCCCTCTTTCCCTCTTTTTCAGCCTTCTTTTCGGTTGTGTGTTTTTAGGATTCCATTTTATCTTTTCCATTGCCTTGTTAGCTATAACGCTTTGTTTTGTATTTTAGTGATGGTTTTGGGGTTTATGGGAAGCGTCCTAACCTGCCACAATCTACTACCGGTGGTATTCTACACCTTCACAGTAGTGTAAGAGCTTTACGTTGTATAGCGGCTTTGCTCTCCTAGCCTTGGGGCTATTGTTGTTACACATTTTACTTTTACCTGTTATATACATCACATTAAATTGTCATTATTTTTGTTCAAACAGTAAATTATCTTTTAGAGAAAATTAAATAATAAGAAAAATATTGTGTCTATTTCCCTATAGAGTTGCTGTGTCCCGTGCTCTGCCTCCCTCTGTGTGGATCCATATTTCCATCCAGCATCATTTTCCTTCTGCCTAAGGGACTTCAATCTGCTTGTAGTGTGGGTCTACTGTTTATGAGTTCTTTCAGCTTTTATATGTCTAAAAAATATTTTGCTCTTTTTTTTTTAAAGATGCTTTCACTAGTTACAGAATTCTAGATGTCAAGTTCTTGTCTTTCAGTTTTGACAGGCGTTGCTCCACTGCTTCCTCACCTCCGTTCTTCCAATGAGGAAGCTGCTCAGTCCTTATCTTTGTTCTTCTATATGTATGTCTTTTTTCTCTGCCTCCTTTAAAGATTTTCTCTATATCGCTGGTTTTGAGAAACTTGATTTCGATTGGTGTTGTTTCTTCATGTTTGTTGTGCCCCTAGACACAACCCTCTGGGGTTTTAGAGGTTTTATCAAATTTGTAAAAATTTTGACCATTATTTCTTCAAATATTTTTTTCTGCCTCCTCTTCTCTACTCAGATAGTAAAATTACATGTATATCCTACTGCTTGAAGTTGTCCCACAACTCACTAATGCTCTGTTCATTATTTTTAATTCTTTCTTTCTCTCCATTTGGGTTTTCAGTAGTCTTTATTATCGTGTCTTTAAGTTTGCTGATCTTTTGTTCTGCAATATCATATCTGTGTTAATCTCCTCCAGTATTTTGCATCTTATGCATTTTAGTTTTCATCTCTAGAAATTTGATTTGGGTCTTTTTTTTATATCTTTCCTGTCTTATTTTTGACCACGTGGTCAAACTGTGGATAATAACTGTTTTATTGTCCTTGTCGGATGTTGTAACATCTGTGCAAGTTCTAGGTTGGTTTCAAATGATTTAATTTTCTCCTCATTATGGGTAATATTTTCCTCTCAATTTCATCTTTTGGGTGCTGGATATGCCTTTTATTCCTAAAATATTCTTGAATTTTGTTCTGGGGTGCAGTTACATTACTTGAAACCACTTGATCCCTTTGAGTCTGGCTTTTAGGATTTATTAGGTGGGACCAGAACTATATTTACTCCCCACTACTGAGGTAAGACTCTTTTGAGTATTCTTTCCAATGCTGCATGAATTAAGAGGTTTAAACCATGCTCAGGGGGACCAAATTCCTTGTGGATATTAGCATAAGCTAAATGTACTTAGAAAAGTAATTCAACAACCACGTCCACATCATGTATCCCAGAAAGAGGAGTCTGGATTTTCACAAGCTTGAACCATCTACATCACTGCTTTCATCCATCTGTTTACAATGTGAGACTCAATGTCCTCAAACAGGTAATTATATTTATGAATTCACCTCCACCTTCTTTACAAGCTCAAAGCATGCTAAATGTCAATGCCCACTCTCTTCTAGGTCCTCATGTGCGATACATCCAGAAGCCTGACAACAGACCCTGCTCCATCACTGACTCTGTCAAACGGTTCCCCAAAGAGGAGGCAACTGAGGGGAATGCCACCAGCCCACCACAAAACCCACCCACCAACCTCACCGTGGTCACTGTGGAAGGGTGCCCCTCATTTGTCATCCTGGACTGGGATAAGCCACTAAATGACACTGTCACTGGTAAGATCATGCATGAGGACTGTTGCTGCGCTAGGAAGCTTTGACAATGCAATGCAGTGGGAGTGTGGAACCTCAGTCAAACTACGGCCAGCGAGGCCTGTCTCAAGAGCAGTGAGTCCTAGCAGAGTTCCGCTATCCCTGTAGCACATTATTGTCACAAGTGTCATATGATGGGAAAAGGTCATCTTTGTCCTCGTTATGGGCTCCCTGTTAATGGAGCAGATCTCTGAAGTTGCATTCTTTTCATCTCCTCTGAACTCTTTATCACAATGTGAAGATATATCCAGTCTTTTCATTACCAAGAAAACTACAGCTAATACACAAGAAGTTGCCGCTGCTGATGATATTGAAACCCGTTTTCCTTTCACCAACCCAATTTCTAGATGGACATAGAACTTTGAAACAGGCTAAAGGTTATTTCAATCATTTTAGGAAAAATTTTTTTTAAATTCTATTTGTGGTCGGTTTTCTACTCATCTCAGGAAATTTTGATTCTGCTATCACCCACCCAATTCCTCTAAAAGTGACTGTGAAAAATAAGATGCTGTGAGTCATTCTCTGAATTTGTGATATGGGAATTGAGTTCTCCCTAGTGAACGCGACAGTCAAAGTAGAGAGGAGGGGATGAGACTAACGACCTAGGTCAGCTGGAAGCCAGAGCAGATCGCGTGAGTAGGCCACGTTCCTGCGGCCCAAGTCCCTGCCTGTGCCTGGGTGGGCAGACAGAGACCAGGAGACCCAGCAAGAGGCTGTAGGGCAGAGGAGAGACCAGGAAACAGGGCCAGAGAGGGAGGGGAGACTCGGGATCTGGCCAAAACATTTCTATGAATAAAGGAGAAAACAGCAGCTGTTTCTCCTCAGACAAAACCGTTTGGTCTGGGCAATTTCCCGTGCAAGCAGCTTAGCTTTGCTTAGCTGGCTTTTTCTTTTCTTTTTTTTTTTTTCAACCATATTTTGTGAATTTCCTATCTCATGTGAAGCTTGCCTTTGTTTTGAGGAAGAACCAGCCACTGCCCATAGTTCCTGGAGATTTGCTTAGTACTGCTTCTTTACTTGGGACCATGCCAGCAGGTGCTACCATCCCAATATCTAAATCAGTCTCTAAGTATTGATTATCTACATGTACCAAAAAGTTCAAAACTCTCAATCCATATACTGTGCCACTAAGGAGTCTCTGTGATAGTCTGAGGCTTAGTTCTCACAAAACCAAATGATCTATAAAATTTAATTTGCCTTGAAGATGTAGGACATCAGGTTGAAATTGGTTAACCTGTATCTAATAATCGAATACATCCAATACATATTCATTTGGATATGTCGGGAATATCTGATTCAATTTTTTAAAGCAGAAGGATTTTTCTTTCTGGTTCATCATGTAACATTTTTTAAACTATATAAACTTTTAATCTCAAAGAATCATGACTAGGGTATACTTTATCCATCTAACCAATTACTTTTGTAACATTGTTACTAAACGTTAATGGACTGCCTGAGATCCTTCACAAGATCGTGGACTTGTAATAACAATTTTCATGGATAAGGATCACATCTCTTTAGCTGTAATATTTTCTAAATAGAAATAAGTCTATTTTTAACCATTGCTCATCACCTCGTCTAATTTAGATGTTAGACCATATGCCCTAATGGTCTGTTCTAATTTTCTATTTTTGTTTATTTTTAGTGTTACGTTAAATACCACTTGATTTCAGGTGTAATCTCTTATAAACCAGCAGCTCAGATAACACAGGGATTAATTCTCATATCATTGCATGTGGTTTTGCAAGAAAGGATTGAGAAAGAAAACAAAAAGAGAGTGAAATATACTCTTCATTCCCCAAGTTGGCTTCTGTCACTAATCATTCTTTTCACTGACGGGCACGTGTTCATCTCCAGAAAATGCATCCAAATTTAGTTGTTTCTACATGTCCCTTCTACACTAAAGTAGAAATAGGTGCACCAAAGAAATTGGTCATAGCCTGGGCCCTTGGACAACTTAAAGTTGTTAGTTCTAAGGTGTTGCTCTCTGAGGTGCCCAGAGCGTGCTGGGACAGACTGAAACCCCAGACCAGCTGTATTCTGGATATGCAACCTGGTATATGATTGGCCTCACTGAACTTTCCTTATAATAATAATAATAATAATTCCCATTGTTATCAATTTATCACGAGGATAAAATGAAACAGAGGATTTGAATGTGCAGCATAAATTAGAAGCTGTTCAATGAACTTTGTCAGTAACAGCAATAGCGGGACTGGAGAGAGCAAAATCACCTTTATTGTTTTCATGTTCTGTTGACCAACTCTGATGTTCTCAATCCTTGTCATAAATAACTTTTTCTGTTAAGTGAATTATCTCATAACAGGGCAATAAAACCTTCTGAGGGGGGAGAAAAGACCATTTATTCAGCATTAGTTCTTTATAGATTTCCGCATGTCTTTACTGTTAACGAAATTATAAACAAAATCCCATATTTTAAAATAAGAAATATGGATATATAGTTAAGGGGCTATCTTTACCTTCTGAAATATATTCAGGATTGTCTACAAATATCCATTCCAAGCATTAATATTCCATTTTTATAATGTTGGTGGGTTTATGAAAAAGCTATTATCACTTTAAAGCATTAAAAATAAAAGATATTTTTACAAAGTCCAAGAATATACATTCAAAAACTAGAATTCTGAGAGAAATTCTAGATATCTTTTTAATTATGAAGGTAAAAACTTCCAGATCCATTTTGAAAACTCTGATCCTTCGGGACAAAAATAGTATTAAACTGACATTTCAAACTTGAGTCAAAAGAAAATTAGAGAAGATGTGCAATGAGAGTTTCAAGGACTAAAAGGCCGGGACGATGTGAAGAAAACCCCACAGTGGATGAGGGAGTCCAAGCCAAAGATGTTTCTGAAGGTCGTTGTTTTCATGTATAACCAACTGGAATGTCCTAGAAACTCTTCTCTTGGTAACTGAGCAGCACTCCAATCTTTCCAGTTGGAATCTTTCAAATGCTTATAACCCTGTTTTCAAGACATAACTCAGGGATAATAAGAGATAATAAAATCAACAGTAATAATAGGCACCACCTGTTGAGCAAAGTGCTACTAAGCACTTTCCATATGTTCCTCATTTAATCCCCACAAGCTACACTACGAATAGATATTACTGACATTTTACAGATGGGAAAACTGAGACTGAGATCAAGGCACGTGGCTTAGTCTCTCTCTTTCCATTAAGCCGTGCGTTTTTTAAAAATCCATTTTACTTCCATTTTAACTACTCCCATCGTTTTCTAGTAAGTATCCATTCACAGCTGAGGAAAAGATATAAAATGGACATATTTGAATTCAGGATCCTCCCCCGCCCTCCCTTTCCACCCTCTGTTAAAATGGAAAGCCAACCGAGAGAGAGGTTGGGAACCGAAGGAGGCCGAGTGCTTTACTGGCTGCGTTCATGTGTCCGGATGCAGTGGGTGTTGCCTTCCAGTTTAATTTTGAATTTTTGGAAGGATGAGCATACGAAATTATTCAGAAAGAGTCGTGGTCCTTTTGTGATTTTTAAAATACACCATTAAAAATCCTTCCCAAATTAAAATTGGTGATGATGAGTCTCCCTGAGTTCTGCTGTAGATTCATTTTTATTACCAATGCGCATCTCTTCCCTTTGGTCTCTGCGCTGACAGCAGAATCCCCAGCCACCTACAGCTCCTTGCAGCCTTCTTGACTCCCTCACTCCCACCACCAGCTGTTTCCTCATGTCGTTGGAGCTGATTTTGAGTGGGGTTTTATTGTTTGCTTGTTGTTTTTTGTTTGGTTTTTTAATCCTCTGTATGATCTTGTCACATGCATTAAACTAAATCCCAACTGAGGGCAGGGAAGACCAATTAACAAATTCTTAAATTATATTCTCTTATTCTGAAAGTCTTGCTCTTTTGGTTAGCCCTGCGAGTTCAGAGAAACGTGCCTGTAAGTGAAATTCACGCAGATCTCTATGCAGATTTTAAGGGTGTGATTTTTTTTTTAAAATGCAAGGGTAATTATGAAGGGTATATGTAAGCACATCTATACAACTTGTGTAACTTATGTTAGCAATGGTAGACAAATACCGTAATTCTATAGTTCCAAATAATGAACTCTAGGAAAGATTGGTTCATTATGTGGTTAACTGTTCTCTGCTGCTATGGTTTTGAACTCGAGAAGTTTTGTGCAGCAGTACAAGTATTTGGGGGCCTTTTCCCCAGTTATTCTGCAAAGCCCCACTGAGCAGGAAAAGCCCCACTCCTCACACAGCGCTTTCTCCGCACTGCACTTCCCAATGGTGGCAGGCTATCTGCCCTATCCAACAAAGCCATAGGTCACCAGGAGCTAAAGCTGCTTCAGGAGGGTCATTGGTCTTCACAGTCACCAGGCCTTCCTGCTCCGGGAAAGGGAAAGCAGAAATTCAACGCAACTCCCAAATAAACTTCCAATAAGCTTTGGGAGCTTCGTCATCCACTATCCTGCCCATTGGGAAACTGCTAATGTGTAAGATCAATACGTCTCTAGAACTGAGATCAGAGTTGCTCACTTTCATGAGAGTGACTCTATTATGCTATTTGCCTCAAGAACAACTCAATTAGCTGGAACATAAAGACAAGTATCTATTGTCTTTTTCACTTTGCAGAATATGAAGTTATATCCAGAGAAAATGGGACATTCAGTGGGAAGAACAAGTCCGTTCAAGTTACAAATCAAACCTTCTCCACAGTAGAAAATCTAAAACCTGACACAAGGTAAGCCACCACTGCTATGACAGGTGGACTCTGAGAGGGCAAAGGTCATAACAAAGGGATGAAATGCCATCCTCTCCTCTGTCTGAAGGGAGGGTCTAGTTTGCACGTCATTCTTCGGCTTCCTGTACCCAGCACTAGATACCTCTAGAGTCATGGTTTGCAAATGTGCAAGTTATTGGTGGGGATACAAGAGCCAACAAGACGGTCTTGTGAGTTCACAGTGTAGTTGGGAACATTGAAAAATAGGTGTTAATACCAAATGTTGATATCAAATACCAAAATTTAGAAAAGGAAAAGTGTATGGACCAGAGACAACTGGAGCATGCAGGATGTAAACTAGATTTGAAGCACAGAAGAATTTGGCTGGCGTGCTGGAGAGGGGAGGGCAAGAACTGAAAGCCATGTGGCAGATGTAAGTGAAAGTTTGTAATAGCTAGTACTTACGACAACTGCAGACTGGTTCCAGACCAGCAATCCTTTTTCTTTTTTTTGTGAGGAAGATTGTTGCTGAGCTAACATCTATGCCAATCTTCCTCTGTTTTATGTGGGACGCTGCCACAGCATGGCTTGATGGGTGGTGCTAGGTCCATGCCCAGGATCCAAACCTGCAAACCCAGGGCCACCAAAGTAGAACACATGAACTTAACCAGTACGCCACTGGGCCAGCCCCTCAGCAATCCTCTTTTGAGTCTTTTTACCATGCAAATGAGAATAGATTTTTGGAAATAGAAATATGTAATATTAGCATTGTTCTATATGAGCAACTTTTCCTGGCATCCCTTACGACACATTGATACCAGATTGTTTACATTGCTGTATAGTTTTGTGATTCCTTTTTAAATCTAAAATACCTCATCTCTTATCAGTTCATTTTATTGTTTCAAGAAAAGTAAGGGCCTTATAAATTTCTAGAAATCTAGTAAAGAAGGATTTTTTTGTTTTGTTTTGGTTTTGTTTTACATGGCTAAACCATCAAATTTATTGCTCAAGGAGATTCTCAAATGGCTGCCACCAAGCCTTGCCTTGACAAAGCCATCGCACTGAATCCACTGCTGGACTGAATTTCACTGTCTGTGCAAAGTCACTTTCTTCCTCAAACTCTAAAATGCAGCTTGATAAACTGTCTGTGCTTTCACTAAAAACAAAACAAAAATTTGACATTTTAAATTATAGTACACTAAGTGACATAGATCAATTTTCAGAGGGACACAACTAGGAATTTTATCAGATTGAATATTCTGTAGCTTGATCAAGTTCCTCTGTGCAGGAAAAGACCAGCAGAGATGAAGACAAACCCCAGCAGCTAAGGTTTCTTTCGTAAGTCTTACTTCTTATACCTTTCATTGGCATCGATTGATTGAAGTGAGCTGGGTATTGATTGTGACCCCAAAGAGCCTATTGGCTCTGACAGAAGGAAGACTCTTCTGATCTTTTCAGGGGAAAAGGAAGCATCTAATTCCTTATAGGAGGTTTACTGTGTATAGCCCGTAGTCCTATACTGCAAAAATAACACTTTTCTGCAAGCGTTTTTTTTTCTTTACAGTTCTCTATTTTGAGCTGTAATATGGAAAATTTTGCACCTGCTAATTTTCTTAAAGGATTTAAGTTAGCCAAAATAAGCATACATTTCAGTAAAAGCCCATTTGATGATCTTGGTTCTGTTTCCAGAACCAAGGGAGAGAGCCTATGTTTATTATACTATACTTTAAGGAAAGAGTAAAAGAGAAAAGGTAATTTAATTTGGACTTTTTAATAGGCAGATTTGGGCTTATAGAACTTGTAGGGTTTTCCTCTTCAGTTTCCTGCTTTTTGTTCCACCAAATAAAAAGTGAGCTGTGCATGCACAGAAGGCACATGGAAAGGCCTTCGATTTCTAAATGTTCATCGTGCTCCCTTCTCAGGCTGTCCTCAGCTCTTCTCACAGAGCTCCGATCAGCTCATGATCAGAAGTAGAACACAGTTCCTCCAGAGACATTTTAAACCTCATTTGTTTGTAAAAGGTTTGCATTTCCATTCAGCTAACGTTTACTAAGCGCCAACTATGTGCTGAGCAGTGCTTGGTGGTGTGGCTGCAGACACGCACAACTGTGACGCCTGCCCGTGAGGAGCCCGAGGCCAGCGGGGCAGGCAGTTCATAACCCATTATTCTGTACCAAGTGCTGGGAGCACTGGTAGAAGTCTGCACAGGGGCGATGAGCCTGGAGTAGGCAGCCCTCCACAAAGTCTGGAGAAATCAGGAGAAGCTTCCTGGAGAGGATGACACCCAGGCCGAGGCTTGGAGGATGAGTAGGAAGGAGCGAGGGGACTGTGGTGGGGACAGGAATGTCAGAGCAGCACGTGTTGGTGCCGAGGCCCCAGCGGCATGGCTGTGCACCGTGCCCAGCCGGCTGCCTTCCCCAGTGTGGCGGGCAAAATTTTTTGAGCTGAAATATTAAAATTATGTGTTGAAACCCCTATTAGTCAACATAGTTTAATGAATTAAGGAAGAATAAAGTGAAGTCAAATTATTTAAGTTAATTTGAGATTTCTGAAGCCTGAAAGTACCTGGGGAAGAAAACTAATACCCATGAAGCAAGTGGAGAGCATCCCAAGTCAGCATAAGAGACCAGGCCAGGGCAGGACTCACACCCCGGCTCTGCAACTGAGAAGAGGAGAGAAGGCCTCGGGGAATCCTTGAGACTGGAACTTGACAGGAAAGGATAGGATGGAATGGGACAGGCTGGCAAGAAAAGAGAGAACAACAGTATTGTTTTTCCAAATCAAATCCATGTGCACAACGTAGGTGAAATGCAAGTCGTTTTCAAAGCTACTACTGACAGCAGGCTGCAGCCACAATCATAAAATGATGAGTTCCCAAATTTAGATCTGTCGGCTTTTCGATGCAAGCTTTCTTCATACTATCTTACACTGTTAAGGCAGGTTTCTTTCCTGGCCCAACCATGATCCAAGATTAATGCTAACAAAAGACACACCGTAAAATAAAGAGGAAGTGTGTACAGGATGCGGTGACCTGGTGTTTTTTATTACCTGTAAAGAATGACTTCAGTCACATTGCAATGCTTGCAGAAATTTTTGAATCAAAATATTTGGTAAAATTAAATTCCCCAAATAGGGAAACTTTGAATTACAGCTGTTAAAATTCCCTCATGAGGTTCTAGAATTCCCTTTATGAAAAGCTGGAAGATGATAACTTCTGAAAGAATTACCATAGCTTTATTCAAATTCTAGGAGACATGCAATTTACTTTAGTACCATCTTCATCATTTGTCCTGACTGAAAAACACGCGATCTAAACACAGGTGATAATCATTCCACACCCGCACAGGTGTGGAAGAGCTTGGCGTTAGACCATTTAACCCGGGAGAATCGAGGCAGAGAAAATTGACCTACAGAGCTTGTTGGGTTAAAATTTCTAAGTGTTCACACTATACCAAAAAGACAGAGGACTGGACTACCCTTTCCTTCTCACCGCGTATGCCAACCTTCTCCCTGCCTGTTTCTACGACTTCGTCAGGTTTTTAGCTACTCTGCGGAAGCTCGAGAAACAGCCCCCAGGAAGGGACCATCCAGCAGCTGTGGTGCTGCTGGCGGAGTGCAGCTGCTCACCTGGAGTGAGCTGTTTCTGACGGCAGAGAGCGGACTACACGGCTGCCCGGGGCACCTGAGCGCAGCTCCCAAGGCGGCACAGCGGGGCCCACCGCAGCCCTGCAGTGGGCTCTCGTCACACGTGTGCACAGGGAAGAGGGCTCTTGTAGGGAGCCAGAACTGTTTAGTCACGTGGAGCTGAAGAGATCTATTAACCCAGGCAAACTGCTGTGGCCCAAGCCCGCCTCTTCCTTTGGAGGGCCCCTCTCTCCCCCTACTCTTAAAATACAAAGAAAATTAGAGATGTTGGTATCCAGCCAAATCTCTACCCATCTAGCCCACCCACGATATTTATTTTCCACTTAATTTTTCCCCATGAAACTTCAATGTGTGGCTCTTGTGGAACTAAAAGAAAAATATCAAGAAGAGCCTCTCCTATCTGGAGCCCACCACTTTGTTTGCAAAGACCCCTGTGATTGCTTTCAGTTCTGTGAACAGAAGAACGGAGGAAGTATATGACGCAAGCCATAAGTCTTGCACCACTGCTTAAAGGGAAGTGTGGACTACTTATCTCCAAGTCTCTCCCAGCTCTAAAAGGATGTCGCCTTATGATATCTGAAGCCATGCACAGAATCAGGGGGAAAACTGGAACTGAAAATAAAACCAAAACCTAGCTCAGTCTTACAGCAAGTAGAGTTGTCCTGGTAAACCATTTGCCTTTGAATCTACGTCTGTGGTCTGCAATTTGCTTTCAGACGAGTTGCTTTTAGCACACATTTGGATAATCCACTGATGGGCCAGGCTGCTCTCGATGAACTCGGGCGATAGGTATGGACACACACAATCGCTGTACACCAGAAAAGCCTTTTATCTCCCTCTTCTCTTCAAATGAGCCCGTGTCTCTCCTTGCTTGACTGAAAAAGTGAAGAGTCCACTGTGTGTGCCAGACTTACATGTGGCCCAGCAATTTCCTATGAAAAATGTACTCTGTCTGGTAATTAAGATAAATCAAGCTCCCTTAACGAGCCCAGGGACTTCTACTGTCCTCTGTGGCTGGGGAGGATTCTGGAGAACCGTTCTTCCTCTGAGACTGAACCTGCCGAGGTTTCCTGTAGCTGACAGCAAAGATAGTTGGGGACTATTGTTTATGTTGTTTGATTTAATAAAATCGTGGCACTAAAAATAAAATGGAATAGAAGCAACCACTTCTTATGAAATGTAAATCTGGCGAACAAAACAGGAGTGTGGAATAGCCATCGCGCCCTTACGCATGGTGCTTTTGTGAAATCCTGGTCTCTGCAGACTGTGTATTAGCTTTTCAACATCTCCTCTCATGGGCTCCATAGAAAGGAGTAAAATAAGCTGCTGGCGCATTAGGCGTTTTATTTAGTTTTATTGTAGGTGTGGGCAGCAGA